AGTTTTTAATATGTGCTCTCTGCAGTGTGTAAACGTATCACGGTAGATGTACACAGGAAAGTATGTCATAAAATCAGCAACTTGTGGCAGTCCTATCGCCAACTTTGTGGTTTTTGCCCATGATTCTCCCCAGGCAACTTTCATTGCACATTCTGAACCAAGGATTCTTACTTTGCCATTTGGCTTTATAGTTAACAGGGTAACTGGGAAAATGAATGGCGAATCACTATCCAACCAAGCTATCACCTCGTCATCGGCGTAAAGATCTATGAAAAAGCTGTTCCATAACTGACGATTATAACCAGGTAGATTTAGCTGTCCAGGATAAGTTAAAACCAGCGGATCCTTTGGTAGTGGCTCGTATTCTACTTTGAAAGTTTGATTGGGAAAATGTTTTTTCGTTTGATTCAATAGTGTTTCACCAAAGGTGTGATCCTCCTCTGATTCATTATCAAGTACAAGAACCATTTTGCCCATCCATCCTGGCCAGAAAAGAGGAATCGTCTTCAACATGTTGCAGTAAAATCTATGTCTATGGTCATCTCTTTTACCTGACATTCTCATATAGAGTGAAATTGAAGGATGATCATGTTTGGCATTCTTTGTGGGAGACTGAGAAAAGTTGAATTTTGAAAGTAAATGTTCGTGATCAATGATATCAAAAGATCTGTTTGGTTTTAGAATAAAGTAAATATACAACGTCCCCACACAGCCAACAGCGATGAGCCAAGACTTGATACCAACTTTCATTTTTATGGACCAATTGCTGTTATTAAAGCGTTTATCTTCTACAAAATGAGATCCTCATTTGTGAAATCAATCCACCCTTTTGCCAATATGAAGCACTTATAGTATTTTTGTATGTCAAGTGGTACAAAATAGTGTTATCATTGACTATTACACATATTACAAACAGAACCGCTGTTACTTATAAAAGAGTTAAAAACATATTTGCATCATAAAACTGCCAAAAGACAGTGTATATATAAAAAAATATAACACAGAAATACTTAGCAAAAAATTTCTTTCATAAGAAGAAAAATCCCTAACCACGTTCGACAGTTTTTGTCTTTTTTGCTTTTTCACTGTATTTAAAGATATTTTTTTCGAAGTTCAAGCAAACGCAAGAAAGACAAAACTTGAAAGTCCAGTTTCAAGTAACTATTGCAAACTCGCATTTTATATTTTAAAGAATGAAATGGTTTTGTCATTTTGATCGATTTTCATAGTGCCTGAAATATATATATATATATAGTTGTCATCTCGATATGATTGAATATCTTTAAAGTTATCAACATGTATTAAAGTAAAACAGCAGCTTAAAAGAAGATTTTCATTTGCATGTTATGATTTGTGAAAAATGTGTATATGTTGTCCATATTTAACAAAAACGTATTCTCAAAAGATACTCAAGCAAAGGACAGAAAAATCACATGGATGAGGCCGAGGGAATCAGAATTCAGCCCAGATTTCAAAGTTTCTATCAAGGAAAAATGGCGTTTTTTAATCCGGGGCGGATTTAGGGTATGTCAAATCAGTCACGCGAATTTAGGGTATGTCAAAACCAGGGGCGGATTTAGGGTATGTCAAATCAGTCACGCGACCGATGTTTATAGTTCAAAAATTACTTATCAAATTTAATGATTACAATTTTTTGTGATCATTGAATTGCCGATGTATAATCGTATGAATTTCATTGTCAAAATTATGTTTTATTTCTGAAATCGTACGTAAATATCACGTTAGCAAACAGATCAGTACATTTTACCATATCTGAATTATATTAACTGACTGACTGATAAGTGGGGTGGCTCGACTGGTTCGACCGATAACGGAGTTCAAGAACGCTAATTTACGCCATTCTTTCGTAAAAGCACTATTGCCAATACACATTTAATATAAACGACAACTTTGTCGTTTATATTAAATGTGTTTAAGCCATTCTATTGGTCAATAGTCAGATCAGTGGACGATCTGGAATAATCACGACTGATAAGCGGGGTGGCCGGAGAGATAAGGGAGTCCAATTGCTTTCGTGTAATTGGTTCGTTTAAATTTTTGTCTTACTGTTGTTAAGATATGTTCTCATATTCTTTCCGTAATTAATAAATCATTAATTCAAGTGTAAGTAATTAGATGACTAATGTTAAGAGATACTTATAATGTTATCAAGAAAATATTTTTTATAGTTCCTAGTAGTTTTCCGTTGACGTCAATAAACCATATTTGTTATCAGAACCCAAAATAATCTTACGTAAATTTTGTATAAATAGAAGTAGTTAAATCATTGTAAAATAGAAGACGTTGAACATTAGATGTGATCGTATAGTTATCTGTAACATTTGTTGGTGTAAGTCAAATTATAATAAAGAAGAACATGGCTACAACACAAAACCTAACAACTGTGATTGGTTTGACCGATTTCGACTGATAGCCAACTGAGCTAACATGGTCATGCTTACTGTCTGACATGAATGATTGATCGTTTCATAGTAATTTGCTAAAGCATGATAGAAACTACAGTCAGAGCCACCACAGAAATTTAGGAAAACTTTTACAAATTCATATATTGACATGAATGCTGCTGTCCAGATTGCGATTTTTTCAAGTGAAAAATTTATGGACGAATTGTAAATGTTTGTGAAGACGATCTCGCCTCGCGACGCGAGATATATTTCAGTCACTGATGTTGAAAAGCAAGCCATCATTGTTTAGAGATTTCTCAGTTGAAATTTTCACCCAAAATCGTAAGTAAATGATAACTGAAGTGTAAAAGTCAATTTATGTGAGTATTTGATGCGATTTATGTCAATGTGGCGTATGGTATGCAGGTTGATCCTTCTAAAATTGTTGTTGCCGAAGGACTTTTAGCTATGATTTCTTTAGTGCTTGGGGAATCTTGGCCGTAACATGGCAGCGAAATCCTACATTTTTTCAAATGTATTTCATTGGACAAAAAATCTGTAGCCATAAGGTGCCATACTATTATTTACAATATTATAAACAAATTTTTGGGGCCTTTAGACAGTTATACTACACATTGTTTAAGATTTGAGAAAACTAATATTGATTACATGAGAAGCTGTTTACTATAACCAGTGATAATGAGTCTTTCTGATTGATGAAGCTTTTTATTTTGACAATTTGACTGTAATAGTATTAAACCAGAGCTATTTCACATACATGAGATGTTGTCCCATGTCACATATTGTCCCCTTTTCTAACTGAACATCTCATGTAGAGATGCCAAGGTGTGTTGATCTACGGCTCAAACCAGATTGTTTTCCAGAAATTCCTAAGGGATGTCGATGGAGGAAAAACATTTCCCATAAAGTAAAGATGTGTTCCTAGGTATGCAAGGTATAACTTGTATAATCTTTCTTACAAGAAAATTGTGTTTCGCCTTGTTCACCTCTCTAAATGAACTGTAAGCCATGACTCGGCCTAAAATAACAGCGGTATCTAAGGGGCCGATTACATGGACCGAGTTGTCCCGGCTAGCCGAGGTGAGACAATTTTACCGATACCGCGACCTCTTTTATAATTACTATTAAAAACAGCATTGTGATTACATGGGAAACGAGTCAGCTCGCTTTGCTGGGACAACTCGGTCCAAGTAATCGGCCCCTAAGGACATTTTGATTACACAGGCAACGGACTATTTACAGAATAAGAATTTTTTTAAATTTCGATGAATACAGCATATAAATATGGCAATAGAATCTTTGTAATTCAACGCGCAAAAGCATTTTGCAGTCGTGACACTACACATGAATAAAGAAAAAACTATTGCACAGAAATCACTAAACACAGAACGTAACAAGCTCATTTTACCGTGTTACAATTTTACCGTTTTACTAGGTTCATTTATCATAGCATATAATTATAACAAAATATGAATCCATGCAATTTCTTTTCATAAATCTGGCTGACGTTACTTCTCCGTTTAAGACATGATCTGGAGCACAGACTCGCCATACCCTACACCAGACCGCTTCTAACGCGGAACAAAGTTGATTGTAATTTGGTATACTTACATTTCAAACTGTTTTTTTTTCTAATTAACTTCGCTAGCACCTCACTAACGATGCCGACGCTGTAATGCAACCAAATAAAACATAAAACCCCTTAAACAGTTGAAGCTTGAATTTTTGTCAAATCTAAACGAGCCTTTCTACGGTATTTCTATTATTTTCCACAGATTAGTTAAAACATACACATGTGAGTAATTTGAGCTTACATTCGTGGCGGCTTATATTCACATCACTCAGAACTTAGTCGGATCCGTACAGCAAACGGTGCAACTTCAGACTGCTCTGATCGAGTCTGAAGTCCAGAGTAGAAAATAAAAAATTTTGGGAGAAATCCTAAGGAATTTACTTTTCTTGATTCGAGCACATAAGAACATTCGCGTGACATACAATATAAACAAAGACGTTTTTGCTTGACAAAATTACAAATGCTGAAAGGGTTATGACTTTGCTGTTAGCTAAATAGTGAGTACAAAGCATATTCCTGAAATCTCACCCTTTTATTAAAGTTTCATTTAAAAGGCATTAAACATAATATTATGTGAATTATGTTCATTAATTTACTTCATTTTGTCGCTGTTTTTTGAACAAGCTACTGACATGTACGCACGCGTACCTATTTTCATTAAGGGTCAGTGAGGATGATAAACTCAAAGTTCTGTGCCTATGGCGCCGGCCTATATTTATAAACTGGCAGTAAATAAATTAGCTATTGAAAATGGGCGATGTAAATTGTAAATGTTGTAAATTGTAACTAGAGTGTTTTAAGTTGCTCTGAATGTTTGATTCCGATATTTAGCCCACATAATGTCCCGGGCTTGCTCGACGTGTGGAAGTAGTGACATCGATTTTGATCCTTCTCGTGGCGATACATTTTGTACAAATTGTGGGTCTGTGTTAGAGGAGGGAGCGATAGTCACTGAAGTTGGCTTTCAAGAAACTAGTGCTGGTGGAACGAGCGTTATTGGTCAATTTGTGTCCAGTGAAGGTAAACGTATCTTATTATATTTGGTTTAAAATCATACATGTGAAGTATTGTATCCAGTCGACCCATAGGACAACAAGTAAGCAGAATTGTTCAAACTTATGTTTAAAAATGTATAATTCAGTCACTTTTAGAGTTTTTACAGACATGAATTGATCGTAAAATCAAAAAGTTTGTTAATATGTTGGGTGCCTATAAAATATGCTGATTTAGTTAAATAGTTTTTGAGAAAACGCTTTTTTCTTTTCATAACTCTTGGATTTCTCTTTTTTCTCTTGGGTTTTTAGTTTTATCTGCGGTTTTTAAGTTTCTTGTGTTTCAGAACTCTCGGAAACTTTATAAATTTTGGCCTTTCACCATGGCAATGGTGCTTCTCAAAGCAAAGCTGATTACTGTTTTCAAATTACTGTTTTCGAAGGTTCTTAAGGTTGTCAAGCATGTAGTTAAAGAATTCTTCTGAAAGAAGATTGCATACTGATATGTATATAGGACTGAGATAAAAAAGTTAGTTTAACAAATTAAAAGAAGTTTAATAAATTTTGTGGGCAATTTCGTGTTAAAATGCACTTTATGTTGATTTATAAAATTGATTTTAAGAAGAAACCAAGCACAATCCTTCAAATTCAACTATTGAATTTTTTTGAAAATTCAACTTTTTCATAATGTTGCAGGAGGAATATGAGTAAATTTTTATCTTTTTGAAAAAAGCAATATGATGTCATAGCTGAAGTTGGTGTGTCATAATAAATACAGTGTTTGAGCTTAAAATGCCTATTTTAAGTCTTCCTATTATGTTTAGTCACTAATTTTCAGTTTTCATTTTAAAAATCGAAGGAAGCTATGCAAAACAAATTTCGCCTTAATATTACAAATATTAATTGATACTTGACAAATGTGCTATGTCTCTTACTGCAACTATATAATGTTTGTTGCAAAGAAAACTATCATTTATTCAAGGAAACAGAATATCCATGTGAATGTTGTTGGTTAGCAAACATGGAAATGTCTGTGACATGGAATTTCCCATTCATTATATTTTACAATATGTAGACAAAAAGGCAAATGACTCTTTTCATTCAAACTATTGAATGTTCAATAAATAATTTTGAGCTTGTATGATTAATCAATTTTTGTAATACGTGTAGGTAATAAAGTTGGTCAAGGTTTTGGATTTAGACAAGGCTATGGACGAGAGTCAAGGGCTATCACATTAGAAAATGGTGTGTATAAAATCAAATTTGGTTTTCAGTATGAAAAAACTTAATGACTTGATCAGGTTTGAACTGTATCTAAATGATATTCATTGAACACGCATATAGTACAGATATGTTTTTGAAACACCACCTCCAGAAATACAAATTTGTTTGTGCCACTGTCTCTGTTTTCCAAATTTAATCTGCATCAAAACCAGGATGCAACATTGGTTGCACATTAAAGCATTGACCTTTCAGATTAATTTGATCTCTTGAGAGTGTTTTATTACAATTTTAGGCAAAAAGCGTTTGGCAGCACTCGCTAATCAGCTTCAGTTGAATAATCATTGTGTTGAGAGTGCATACATGTTTTTAAAACTTGCTGTAAGCAAGCGATTGACAAAAGGAAGAAGGACAGGTCATGTAGCTGCAGCGTGCCTTTATTTGGTTTGTCGAACTGAGAAAACACCTCGTATCCTTTTTAAATTGTTTCATTCTTCAACAATCATAATTTAAAGAAAAGATTTTTCGGTAGCTAAATTGTTGAATATTGCAAACACAATGAGGAATATACTCCACTTGCTATATGTATATAAGCTCTACCTACTTAAAATTGTAAAGCAATTGTATGAGTTTTAATGGGTTAAAAATCATGATTTAGCTTTTTATTCTTTTTAACCATGCTCAAAATATATTCACTTTAATGATTTGAATCATTTCTTAAATTCAAATAATTTTGAGTTGAATTGGTTTGAAATTTCCATTATGGATATTTTTAGTTGTAAGAAGGTTAAAAAGTGGGTTTTTTTTAAATTTTGATTGTTAGCGCATGGATAAAAGATGATTCATCACTTTTAAGAATTGAAAATTAACAAGTATATAAAGTAAGTAGACTTGTGCTTAGGTATGTACATATAACAGATGCAACAGAGTTGCGCCACAACACCCTAAGTATTAATTGTACTACAGCCCTGATCATACCTGTGTACTCTATCTCCTACCTGGAAAATTTATCTGAAAGAAGCAATATATTACCACAGATTTCTTTCTTAATGAAATGGTAAAAGTCTTTAATTTCCTTGACTTCATACTAGACCTTCTCATTGATTTCAGTGATGTCTTGCAAGTAATGTAACAATTATATGTATTTAATTCTATGTTTACAATGTGATGCTATACGTACATATGATACTATGTATAATGCATGATTCTATTTTATCTCGTCGTTAAAAGTCACGCATCTATATATAATTGCAGGTCGATGTTATGACTTTGGGAAAGGTCTACCTAAAACTTCAGCATGAATTGTGCATAAATCTTCCTGTTCTTGGTCAGTGTTAATGTCGATGGTATTGAAAGGAAGCTACTTCTCTTTTAAAGCTTGCAGACTGAACGTCTTTCTGTTTTCTTGTAGATCCATGCTTGTACATTCATCGCTTTTGCCACAAGTTCCAATTAGGCGAAAAGGAAAACGAGGTCGCCAACACAGCTCTACGACTTGTCAGTCGCATGAAACGGGATTGGATCCAATATGGTCGACGTCCTTCAGGCTTATGTGGGGCGGCAATACTGGTGTCAGCCAGACTTCATGGTTTCAGTAGAACGATCAAGGAGGTATGTAGGTTTATATCTTCTTGTACTGTAACTGGTATTTGGTATTTTACCATCGTTAATACTCACGTAGGTGGTAAAAGTTGTACGCTTGAGCAACACGACAATCCGAAAGAGATTGGGTGATTTCAAAAAGACTCCATCGGGACAGCTTACTATTGACGAGTTCAATACTATCGACCTGGAAGAGGAACAAGATCCGCCATGTTTTACCGAAGGAAGATTGAAGCAGAAACAACAACAGTTGGGAGAGTTGAATGGTATGCTTTACTTGAGTAATTGAGCCTCTGCTTCAACAGTTTGTTTTGAGTAAAATGCATTAATTCATCCATCAATTTATTGATTTTCAAGTGTATTTATGTTTTAGTTGATCAGCGAAACCACTGGCTTTTAAGCTTAAGTAGACTTTTGTACTGTGTTATCCGCCATAATTGAAAACGTTTAATTTGACAAACGTTTAACTTTATGCGTGTTTTAAGATAATGAGAAACAAAATTTGGATGGTGAATTGGAAGATTTGAGACGTCAGATCGATGAAAGACTTAACAAGACTAAATCGCAAAGGGATACCTCGAAAACGTATGGCTCACAATGTGCAGATTCCGATGTGTTAAGTGAGTGCTCTGCAGATGTTAACGAAGAGCGATGGGACCCTTCACAACAGAGTACAGACAATTTGCTAACATCGGAAGCATCCAGATCCGTTGATGCCAGTTATGCTGAAGAGATAAGTGATAACGGTTTAACTGCCGGAGTAAGCGATGATATCTCGAATGAAATGGGTGATGTTGATGATTTTGGTATTCAAGGAAGCACGAACGGTTCTTGTTCGATAGCCAATTGCAGCTCAAGTGAATTGGTAAATAAAACAAATGACGTGGAAATAGGCGAAGATTTGAGTGGCTCGCATAATATCGGAGAAAAGAATTCTTATGATGATTCTGCTAACGGGGATATTTTGAAATTACGACAGGAAAATGACTCAGCTATCCGCATGGTTTCTAATTCCATGAATGATTCGTTGTTAGAAAGTAGTCTTCGGAAAGGTTTGTTGTTGAATTTTTCTCATCCATTTCATTTCGAGCATTCTTTTTAGATATAAGCTATAATTGACGTCGATATATTACTTCGCACATATTATAAATTCCCATTTCCAGACGATGATAAAGAAGAAGTCGTCGAAGAAAAGCTGGATGATCTCGACGAAGATGAATTAGACAATGTTTGTTTTCCACTTAATTATTGATTTCATTGTGAATCAAGTTGTTTAAACCATCACTGTCGATGTTTTCGTTGGCAGTTTATTTTGACTAAAACAGAAGTTGAAGTGAAGACGAAAATTTGGATGGAGGAAAACAAAGAGTATTTAGAAATGATTAAAGGTTGGGAATTACTTCTAAAATCGCTTCTGCCATTAAGCGTTTTTAAATCCTAAGAGCGATCCAATTGCCGTAACGTTTTACTGCATTTATTGTACGGTTGCTTAGGAAATTTTAGTTTTCCTATTTACGTAACAATTCGTCAGCCATTTTGTCAAGATCACAAAATTTTTTGAAATCATCGTAAATCTTGTAATGTTTGAATATTGTTTATGAAAAGGATCTTACTTCGGAACACCCTATCCTTTCGATTGGCTTATGAATTTTTATAATTGTAAAACTTTAAAGTCTTGGACTCAATTATTTATTTCAACATTAAATGAACAAGGAAAGCAGATTTTTCTTGTTTTCCATGAAGCCCATGGATGCTCTCGTCCATGATGAACAGTAAATGAGCGCGTTATATTTTTAGAACATATCAACTAATTGAAAATGTCATTTGAAAAATGTTATTTGCAGTGCGGTGTTTGAAATTAAATGAAGATATGATCTTCGCACTTCGCTGGACAATTTAAGCAATTGTCTCATGAACCTGAAAAATTCAGGTGACTTAACGGGATTCGAACCCATGACCTCTGCGGTGCCGGTGCAGTGCTCTGACCAACTGAGCTATGAATTCACACAGTGGAGAGCAGGTCAATTTTGTTGGGCTCATGTTTTTCTGAGAAAAGCGATATGATCTGCGAAGATCATATCTTCATTTAATTTCAAACACCGCACTGCAAATAACATTCTTCAAATGACATTCCTTTCACGAGAACTATAAAATCGAACAGTTGGTTTAGTGAACTGCGCATGCTCATATAATTCTTCTGATAAATTGTGAACAAAGGAGGTAGGTGCTCCTAGAGCTGTGAAAAGAGGTCCGGCGGTTGATTGATACGAGCTCTATTAGTTGGTTAAGTATACTGCGCAAGTTTTCAGTCTATATTATTGACATGTTGTCCGTTCTTCTTCAGCCATTTTCAACAAATGCATTTCCGAACTCGTTACCTTGGCGATATTATCGGCCAGGTGTGCGTCCACTATGTGTAAAAACAAAGTAGCCAATACATAGACAACAACTGGTTATTTAGACTATTAGCCAACACATGTAAACTGTCGACTACAAGACAACAACTGCTTATTTAGACTATTAGCCAACACATGTAAACTGTCGACTACAAGACAACAACTGCTTATTTAGACTATTAGCCAATACATGTAAACTGTCGACTACAAGACAACAACTTCTTATTTAGACAATAGCTTGTTTTTTTGCCGTGAAGTCAATTGATGTTTACCTTGTGATACATGAATCAAAATTGAATTGGAGTCAATGGTGAAATGAAATAAATATTTGAAACATGTAATGTTTGATTAAAATTACGAGTCAAAAGGCAGTGTTTTTTGTATTTTTCCACTATACTCGAGTCTGTGATTATTTTTCTTTTAAAGTACTAATTTGAATTTCTAAGAAGTCATTTGAATGTGCAATTGGCCGATGATACCCCTTTCCCCACCCTTCCATGTGTTTCTTGAAAACATATTCAAAAAAAGTCATTTCTTTAATTTTATTAGAAAAGCAGGAAAGAGAAGCGGAAGAAAGAGAACGAGAAGAGGCAGATCCTAACAAAAAGGTAGAAAAATTCTCATCAGTCTTCGCCATTATCGATTATTCATAATTTTTTTTCGAGTTTTTAGAAGCGTCGCAAGCCTTACAAACGTAAGACGAAAGAGAAAGCGAATTCTGTTGGCGAAGCAGTGGAAAAGATGTTGATAGAGAAGAAGATTTCAAACAAAATAAATTATGATGTTTTACGTAATCTAAATAAAGACACGGAGCTCGAGAAACCTTCGGCATGTGAAGAGCCAGAGCGGACAAATTTTGCAGCGGTTGCTAACCTTATTCAGGCAGTGAAACCTATCATCCCTGTCAGATATACCGGAAGGAAAAGGTATACGTTTAGAAAAGAATATAAAAATTCTTTACTATTTTTACATCAATACTCCACACAATGCTGGTTTACATTCTGTTTTTGTTGAGTTCCCGGTTTCTGATCAACCAATGTTTTTCTGGGAAATTACTTCTTAGAAGCCCATTTTCATGAATAAAGTACATTTTTCTACTATACTAGGAACCATTTAGTATTTTCAATACCTTGTTTCAAATCGTTCTAAAGTATGGAATCATTTACCGTTTAAATACATCCAGCAGTAGTAGTGTCGCACCCAGCCCGCTTTAGGCCTGCTATACATTTGTTTCTTTAGAAATCTAATGTTTTCACAGTGAGAAAATCCACAAAAATTAACCTATGTAGCTGGAATAATGAGCTGGCTGGCTACGCCAGTGACAGCAGACAGCACCAGTAGTAGTGAAATATATGTAGAGGACCGATGTAATCAAAATAACCTTCAATGTCGAAATGACTCTTGAGGTGATAGAGATGTTCACATATGGACCTTGTGTGTCATCATGTATTACGTATGTACTTAGAACGTCGCAGTTAACCTCTGTGTCTCTTAATGTACGCTTCAATTATTCTTTTCAGAGATAGAAGTGTACTTCCCATCTTGCCAACAAAAAAAATGAAGGTAAAGATGCTAACACTGATTTACCCATAAAGTTTAACGTGATGGTGTTAGTTAAGTTCTTTTCTCTGTATTTTCAGTACATTGACAGCATCACCGACCGAAACGCAATCGAATCGCCAAAAGTCGATAGCAGTTTGGTGGTAGAGAATGGTCCAGTTAACTACGAAGATCAGGAGTGCGATCATGATGAAGTCGACAATGAGGGTGATTCACATTTGAGTGCTGTGCAATTAATGGGACAGGAATATGGTCAGGGTAAGGAAGTGCTAAAAACATAATCATTGATGATATAATTTATACAGACATTCATGTCATCCTTTTGCTCCTCTTTCAAATTTCTGATGTTATTTCATTCCTATTTTCTACTGTAATATTTTTCACTCGAATTTGAAGATGAAGCTGATGGCTATGATGATTTCGACCACTACTGAAAGTCTTAGAATGTGCTCTACCATTGGGATCGTCATGTGCTGGTGAATGAGTGGATTAATAATACGTGGGTTTAGTACAAATGCATTGGTTTAGAAATAAATTTTTCAACTACTCTATAATTTACTTGTAATTAGTGTATCATAAAATTTTTGTAGTGTTGCAAAGAATAATTGGTGGTATGTTCAAACTATAAAAATTTCATTTTGTGCTACTGCTGCTGCAGACGTCGCAATTGTTGTTGACGTATAGACGTTAGCCCGTTGTAGATTTTATTGGAAGTCTTAGCGTCATTGACAATGTTGACATACATTATTAATTATATTGACAATATTCATGGTATATACATTATTATAAAATGCCAAACATCGGCACTATTGATATGATAAGATCATGGAAAAATCTTTTTTGATCTTGGCAACATCGAGCACAAAATCTAACAAGTATATACATAATCTAGCAAGTTCTTGCATAATCTTAGCAAGATCTTGGTAACATCACGGTAAGGTCTTGGAAAGTTAACTAAAAATATCGCAAGATCTTGTCAAGAACTTACAAGATTTTTTCAAGGTTTTGCCAAGATCTTAGTCATGTATGATTTTGTCCAAGATTTTTTGCAAGATCTTGCCATGTTTACAAGATTTTTTCAAGGTCTTGCAAAGATCTTATTCATGCAGGATTTTTCAAGATTTTAGGCATATATTTCGGTATTCTGTGTACCATCTTCAGGATGGAAATAGCTATCATTTAAATGGCGAACCTTTTAAATAATCTAACATACTAATTAACAATTAGGTAAATCAACTGAAGCATAAAAAAGATATTGAAATCATTTACAATATAAAAAACCCAATTACAATTTAAACTACAATAATCTACTATCTTATACTTTGATAACATATGTGCGAGTCCTATACTACAATTGTTATTTAGTAGGTTGGATTTTTTAAAAGTTTTGCCATTTAAATGATAGTTATTTCCATCCTCAAGATGGTACACAGAATACCGAAATATGTCGTTGTTATACTGTCGTTGGCTTTTTTATTACAAAACTATATGCCGCAATGTGTTTACCTTACAGACATGCTAAGATCTCTCCATTATTTTGGCGAAGCATGGTTGTTAGTTCTTTTACGTTTGAACAATGTTGGTGTTCAACAATGCTTTTTTATGTTATTCACACAAATCCATAGCATGTCGTACTACTTTGGACAGCCTTTTTAGGAGATCGCTAAGGAGTATCTAACGGTAAGAAACAGTCGTTGCAGACTTTTGGAAACCTTTAGTTTCAAACAGCCTGCCAAAAAAATACAACAAACATTAATACAAACTTCTTAGCAGTGACGTGTTGGCATAATTTTACTGCAGTTGCCAAAACAAATTTTCCTCCCCTTTCACCTTTTCTTATAGCTATTTTAAAGTAATTTTGTTATTATTATTTTATAGAACACTAACATGAATCTTCATAAAAAAGAAATTAAATTAAAAACCAAATATCATCAAGTAAATATATGTCTGTACGTTATTTGTTTTTCATAATAAAGCATATTTATATTAATGCCTTTGCTAGCGTTGGCAAGGTTTTTCAAAAGAAATCAGCCTGGCAGAGCTGAATGTAAAAATATTCGCCTCCCCCCCAATTAGCGTTCTAGTTTCGCTCCTGCGTGTATGTTGTCTACAGTCATTGTGACAAATCAGGTGTTGTGGCCACAAAAGAAACATCTAGCATGCTCCTCAATAACTTTATTCTTTAATTGACTGTAAATCGACCCCCTGACAAGATTTCATTTTGGTCTGTCGACATCCTTTCTTCCTTAAAGTTAACTTCATACACAGCATATTGTAACTGTGGAAATAACTCTATAGCACAAATTTAAAACTTGATGACTCGTATTCATTTCAGCGCCCCCCAAAATCAGCAGCCGGGGGGGGATTGTCCCCCGCCACCACGCCACAGGTGTTACATTGCACGAATAGCTTTAGTCAGTTGACTTTGAGCAATGCAACTAGAACTTTCAAACGATCAAAGGCTTAACATCGTGAACAAAGCATTTTACAGTGAAAGTAGTGGAGGAAAATAAATTACTGCAGAACATTTTGGCATATATTTACATTTCTAAGTACCTTAGAGGCAAGTCCATTTGTTAAATTATATTGTTTAGAAATTCAAAAGCAATAGTGTTTTTCTAAATGTACTTTGAATTTAAAATTAAGCAGCTATAATTTATCTTGACTAACGCTGAATCCTGTACTGAGAGAAAGCTTTCATATTACGGAGCCTACCCTAAGACTAGTTGATTATTCCATGTAACTCATACTTCAGTACTTCGTCAGTAAAGAGACAGAATTTACCTTTCTTTCTACAACGTTAAATTGACTAATTTTCCATTGTCAACATTTCTTAATTGACGTCATTACTAAAATTTTTTATTGTGATTGGCTCCTTAGGAGCATGTCACCTTTCACAAGACAATAAGTAATCCTGCAATGCTTTTAAATAAAAAAAATCATTAGAATCTTCAGATGTTTTTTTTGCGTTTTAATGGCGTTATGCAAAGTAACGATGCATGGTGTTGTAAGTTAAGATTCATGAGACGATAATAAATTTAGAAACTAGACTTTAATTTTGTCCAAATATTCATTGAATCTTGCAGTCGTGTCTTGCTAGGTTGAGGTAGAAGAGGGTTTAATGGCGTTCTGTTTGTCCAGATGTTTCTCGACTGCTAAAAAGTAAAATTTGAGTCTGATGATGAATTTATGACAAATTCAAAATATTACTTTTCAAATAAAAATTTCATGTTTCTTTCTCAAATATTGAGTTAAACATGAGTCTTCATATTATAGTATTGTTATACATTATGTTAAGCATGTCATTGTATGTATTTGTTCCACATGATTAACGTTGATTGTTCGTACTTGAACAAATTACGTGATATTTATCAAATCTCATTTTTTAAAAGACGTAGTGTTGCCAAACAAAAGAACTATGCTCTATCTTCATTTTTATACGTAAAATGCAAACGACAATAGACCATTTTTCTGTAATATTACGCAAACATTAATCATTTAAATTTATTCAGCCTATTATATAACGCAAATATTATGATTTGGGGCATTAAGATCAATGATTAAGATGTTGGTGACGTCAACCAGAACGCCCTTTAACCCTCTCTTAACCTCAACCTAGCAAGATATGACTGCAAGATTCATTGAACATTTGGACAAGATTAAAGTCTCGTTTCTAAATTCATTATCGTCTCATGAATCTTAACTTACAACATCATGCATCGTTACTTTGCATAACGACATTAAAACGCAAAAAATCTGATGATTCTAATGATTTTTTGTTTAAACGCATTAAAGGATTACTTATTGTCCTTTTGAAAGGTGACATACTCCTAAGGAGCCAACCACAATAAAAAATTATAGTCATGACGTCAATTAAGATATGTTAACATATATAAATTCGTGTGTTTTCACTTCTACGGAAAATTAGTCACTCAGTTTAACTGTGGTAGAAAGAAAGGTAAATTCTGTCTTTTTACTGACAAAGTACAGAAGTATGAGTTACATGGAATAATCAACTAGTCTTAGGGTAGGCCCTGTAATATGAAAGCTTTCACTGTAAAATGCTTTGTTTACGATGTTAAGCCTTTGATCGTTTGAAAGTTCTTGTTGCATTGTTCAAAGTCAACTGACTAAAGCTATTCGTGCAATGTAAGTGAATGTTCTACAATTTGTATAGTCAAACAGAAAACATAATGTAATTTGCTCATTCTTAATATATCTGATTAAGAATTTAAAAACGCAGACCAACGTCATATGCAGTGTTATTAATCATGACATTTCGAATCATGGGTTTCATATTTTCTTATATTGTAGATCCCACATGGATAGAGTTGTGAAAGTCCCTTTACCGCCTGTGTCATTCACTTCAATTACTCTAACTAGTTTGTCATTACTCATGTGTCATGGTGATTCATGACCAAGAATGTTAAATTGTAGTTTCGATTCTATGTTGATGTCAGTTGTTCGTTCATATAATGATGATGGGCCCCATTATTATATGAGCCCACCTAAAGGTGGTCTGCTGATACTAAGCAAAGATCGACTCTGCACTAAGCATTCTTTGAGTGATGTTATAAATGGGGTATTGAAGTGATCCCTTTTCCTTCGCTTGAAGATACCATAAGAGTGCATTACAAAATTTAATCTATCGAAATGGCGATTCATGATATCAGTAGCTACTTTATTGGTTAATGATGCTGGTAACTTCGAGTATGGAATGGACGACGTTTTGAATGGACATCGCACAACGTCATGTGTACGTGAATAGTCACATTGAAATGATTGGACTATGAAAAGGCAATATACTCTACGAAGATGGAAAACAAGCGAGTGGAAAAACACGATCCATGTCTTGTGGTTTGTAAGTTGAGTAGATAAGTGCTGTATGAGTAACTGCATGAGATAGTTAAAAAAGATCCTGATGGTCTATTTTTACTGAATTTGAACCTTAATCATGGAAAACACCTAAATAAAAGAAAGTTCAATAAAAGATGTCGCATGCGGTGAGAAAATAGCTGGCTTTCACTTGCTACTTTTTACTTATTTTATTTAACATTTATAAAAAAATTGCAATGCTGCACGTGTAGGGTTCATTAAATTTCTAAGATAAAAATGTTACAAAAAAGTTCTATGATATACATAAAAGTTCTATTTAAACACTGCACGATGAAAAAAAGAAAGAGACCTACTGGACAATGCTTTGAAATCAGGTATTAAAGTTTTGTTCTTTTCAATATATTTAATTTTTGTTTTTATTCATTAATTATGCTGACGTTTATAACGTGTTTTTTATATAGTAGCTATGTCTGTGGGCCTACTAACTGGACAATGAATGAATGACTACGGAAGCACCAAGAAGCAAGTGTCCTTATTGAAAGATTCACACTTGCGACATTTTTATGCATAATGTTTATCAGTATAACGCATTTTAAAATTCAACCTTTAAAAATTTCCGTAAAACTAAACTTTCACAATTGTCAAATTTTCTGACAAAACACACAAGTGAAAGCCAGCTATTAATGAAGGCCTTAAAGGAGCAACATGGAAATTTTGAATCGAATGAAGTCTAGTATACATCAAAAATGATTTTAATGCAAGTCATGACGTCAATTTGGTCATTTTATTTTTCATTGTTATTGGCATGTGAATGGTCAACTCGTACGTACTGAATAATTTTTGCATAATAATTTTTTCATACGTATGGTTTTATTTTTCGTGATATTAGTCCCTGATATTAGTTTTTATTTTTCGTTTTTTTTTGTTATCACTCTACGCTCTTTCATTCTTTGTTTTCTATTAAAGTTTGCGTTTCTTTTGTTCGAGCACAAAATATTTGCTGTTTGCTGTGTCAATAGAGTAGTCAGTCCGCTTTTATGTCGCTCTATAAATTTGAATTTGTACACGACTGTAATGCACGATCAGACTACGCTGCATATTAAAGTAGATCATCGGGATCAATGAAAATTTAAAAAAATAAGAAACATCTTAAAACTACAAAAATTTAAGGAAATTTTTCTACATTTTTCATCTTTTCTTTTATCGGAGGGTTTTTTACCGGATCCACCGGTTTTCCCTCCCATTTCGTTTTTTTAGAAAAAAAAAACAGTGTCCACATTTGGGGCCATTAAGCGATGTTATTCGTCACAGCATTATATATTGTGGCTGTCTTGAATATTCACGTTTCTTTTTTATTTCTTGGCCTTTGGGTGTATCTCCCAAAACACTCCGTTTATAAATGACAACGGCATACATTTAAAAAATTAGTACGCAATACGTACATTTTGGTAGACTGCAAGTTTATAACTACTGAATGAAGTAGATTTAATCAACATATCAAGACGAAACGTCACTATTATATATCACTATTATATTATATTATATTAATATTATATTACTATTATATTATTATATTATATTATATTATCACGTCACTATTATATTATATTATATTATTATATTATATCATCATATTTAATCAAGAAGAAACGTCACTATTTTAATAAACTTCATAAAACCAAATTGTTCATGACTATGTTCTAAATTATTTGTTAGGCTCTAATATTTATATTGAGAATCCGTTTCCCGCCTGGCACTTCATTGGCAACAATATTAATCAACATAGTTAAAAACGTAAAATAAAACTATATATTTAATATCATTTACGTCAATCTTTTTCAAGATTTGAAAATGCTCCTTAGTATAATATGACCAAGTAATTTCCTTTTACCCTGGAATCCGATACTACAAGTAATTGCTACTGCTAAAATCTGGTACTACAATTGTTGAAGATCAAAGGTACAAAATTCCAGAATATCTCTAACATTCTCTTGTTTTGTGATGAAAAAAGCCTACACAGAATGAAGTCACTAAATTTCTTGATGCATCTCCGCAAAATGACAACGAACACGTTACGTTGGACCACTTGACCAAATTCATTAAATCTTATGGAAGTGACGTCATTGCATTTCTTTAGTTCACCACTGGAGTCAGTGTGGGTCTGCCAGAAATGAAGTTGAAAATCACGTTCACCGACTTAAAGGGTTTAGCCAATCGGCCTGTTGCGCATACTTGTGGTCCTTTATTTGAAATTTCTAGCACCTATCAGTGCTACACTGAACTAGTTGAAGAGTTTTCATCCATACTTAGCGAGAAAGTTTATGGCTGTTTAATATTTTCTGATTGCGACGTTAAAGTCATATCTTCAAACCTAAATATTATATCACATTACAATATTGTATTTTTTGTTTATGGTGAAATCCATAATATACTGTTGAAAGACCTATTTCACCAGCTGATTGGCTTCACTAATTGTATTATGTAGAAACTGTTAATACATGCTGTAATTAGCATTCAGTCTGTTTTTTTTGGCAACGACCAAGTACGATACGATTTTCTCGTCACTTTCTTGACAGTTTTGTAGCGTTTAAGAGTGCTTGCAGTTTTGTTTTGATAGTTCCTACTAAAGTAATACCGTATTGCCTCTTCGACAATGTGTAACTGTACATCCTGTGTCCCAAGTGCAGCAGTCATCATTTTACTAAGGTGATAGCCGGGAGGGCACATTATTGTACACTTTGTAATATTATATATTAATATATTATATATTTTGATCTATAAATTTAGGGCTTTACTCTGTGTAAGCTTTTTTCATCACAAAACAAGAGAATGTTTGAGATTTTCTGGAATTCTGTACCTTTGTTCTTCAACAATTGTAGTACCGGATTTTAGCAGTTGCAATTACTTGTAGTATCGGATTCCAGGTTTATAGGAAACTACTTGGTCATATAACACGACAGAGCATTTTCAAATCTTAAAAAAAGTTTGACGTAGATAATATTAAGTAAATAATATACATTTCTGAATAAATAATATATATAATATATAAAATCTTCCCTAAATCTTGCCTAAAATCTTGCAATATCTTGACACGATCTTGCCTAATATTTTGCAAGATGTTGCATGAGTAAAATCTTGCAATATGAGCAAAGGTGTGCTGTTCAATCGCAAAATTACTCAAGAAGAGAAGTTACTTTCTAGATTGAATCATGAAAATATTGTGAGGTAAGAAGAAATTTATCATCCAAAATGAATCAAAATTTTATAGCGTAATGGTTCAAAGCGAGGTTCAATTTAGACGACACAAATTGCTTGGTTTATTAAATGTTATCTTTGTAGAAACTATTATAACTAAGTAGATCATCCCTTTTTTCCATGAAGCCCATGAATGCTTTCGTTCACGATGAGAGAGTTATATTGTATAAGTAGGCTGTCGTTCATCACGAGAGAGTTATGAGAAAGTGGCATTGTAAAAGATAACAAGTAAAAAACGCATAAACATGCTTAGAGATGGTTTAAATGATAAGTCAAAGATGCAGAAGTTGTTTGATGTTCTTGGATCTTCTATTACTTGGATGTTCTATTTTCTTTTATGAGAAGATAGAAAAATAGATAAAAGATAAAATTCAAAAGCAAAAAAACCCCGTTTTCGGTCCATGCTTCCCGATACCCTCTTAAGCGTAAGGCACTAGAACGCTGCATGTTAACGTTTCGGTAGGAGATTTCGGCCGCTCCACGCTATCCTACTTGGGGATGCCAATACGTAGCAAGCTTCCGCCCATCAGACCCCGAGATCGCCTGCGATAGGCTTTGCTCGGGGTACGCAGGGAGAGTGCGGTCGCCACCGAAGTGTGGGCCCCTAAGCCACTGCATACTATATCGCACCCAGCTTCCACTGCTAGTTGACATCTACTATACCTAGTATTGGCTTTATATATATATACAAAAATTCGAAGGCTTACGAAAGTTGTGGTATTATCAATGTCACTACAGCGCATGCCCAGATTATTTCTTTGATAGTTTGCGACTAAGTGAGCTAATTGCCACAAATGCAATGCAAGTACATATAGTTAGTCGTTACCATGACTATGAACAATTAGTCGTTACCATGACTATGAACAATTAGTCAATGCTCTTGCGCACGCGCAGAGGATTTCTCTATTAAATTGTTACTAAGCATTCTATTTACTTCAAAATCGATGCTAGTAGATGCAGTTGATCGTTGCCACGACCATTAACTTGGGCAAATGGTCATGCCTACTGCGCATGCTCAAGCAGACTGCGCATGCGCAGATGATATATCTTAAAATTTGTGACTGAGCGAGCTAATTACTCCATAATCGCTTCTTCTACATACAGTTGGTCGTTGTCATGATCATGCACTCGGAGAGCTGGTGCCGTTGACTACGCATGCTGAGAATTAATTCTCAATTAATTTTTTACGGAGCGAGCTCTGAAATTGGTGCTTCAATATGCGCATAGCAAATTTTCAATCATATATTTTTGACACGCTATTTGTCTTATTAAGCTTGTGTTTACAAATGCATATCAAACTCATAAGCACTTTATTACGCCACTTGTAATATCTATGACAATGTTAGAGATGTTTTTCTTTTTCTCTATAACTTTGTATATGTATATTTTGTGCATAAACAATGCCCTAATATTTATGGCAGATATTATAATTCGTGGATTGAGGTAGAAGAAATACTTAAAAATGAAACTTTCAAAAGTAAAACAAAATCAAGAGTGATAGAAAAGAAAGGACGACGCCAGGTTGAACATAGCTTCATGAAATTGAACGTAGTTCCAACTACTAACGTACGCTCGAGAGTTTTGGATGAGGAGTCGATGACCAATAAAAACACGAATTATTCCAAGCATGATGACGACGATAAAAGCTTTAGCGAGGACGAGGCTCTAGTACAAAAATAATCCATTAAAAACACGGAGTCTACTGAAGATATGTTCAAAAGAAATATCGATGAATCGCATATACAGTTTGAAATGTCGTTGGCTCACGTGGTGTATAAAAGCGGGAACTGTTCATGATGTTGCTGAAGATATGTGAAAATAACTACCTGCGTCTTTCCTTTAGGACGAGGAATCTGGTTTCGAAAGTGAAAAGGAAGCAATCACCACAAAAGATTTGAAAGAAGATTCAAAGTGTATATATAGAGATGAAATATTGTGAGAAGATTACTCTAAGGAATGCTATGCATTCTGCAAACTTTGTATATATAGAGATGAAATATTGTGAGAAGATTACTCTAAGGAATGCTATTGACCTGAGATAGTACAAGGACCAACAGCGAATGTGGTGGATTCTCCGTGATTTTGTCGAAGGATTAGTTCATGTTCATTCACAAGGAGAAAATAATTTGTGAATAATTTTTTGTTTTGCACGATAAATACATATAAAGATTTATTATTGGCTGTGTTTCTCTAATTTTTGCCAATAAGGTATGATTCAAGTAAACGCATTTCGACATTTTTGGTTTCTATTGTTACATATTTTAGGTGTTTTCTTTAAAAAGTGAACTAAAATCATGCCTAATGTCTTTCTAGATCTTACATGAGTAAAATCGTGTCTAATATCTTGCAAGATCTTGCATGAGTAAAATCATGCCTAATATCTTGCAAGATCTTGCATGAGTCAAATCTTGATTTAATTTTGTATATTTATTATGTCGTCAATGTAAAAGTAAACAGAATGTGGAATGATGTTACTTCTATTTGTGTTCGTGTACTTCTATTTGTGTTCGTGTATTGTTTTTGTGGGCTACCGTATAGTTTCGTGCATATCTAAAGTCTTGAAAATCAAGTTACATGCACAACACTGAACCTCGTGACATCGTTCTTTTATAGAGAAAAAATTTATCAAATGCAGGGTTTACAATGTTCTACAGAGTACTTTCATATATGAGGCGTGATAAATGATGATACAAACTATCTCTTTGATCGCTTTGTTCATGTCTTATCCAAACGATGCTTGAAGAAGTTCAAATACGTCATTTCAGAGCGCACCATCCTTTGGCAAGACAATATATGTTCATGTGGAATATCAGACTTTAGAGCATGTCCATATATGAAAGAGTTTGATCCGGGATAGGGTCTATCCAGGACTACTCGACCTGCTTGCAGGCATATGCGACGAAAATCAGCGTTTTTTTTTCTCAGTAATGAAACGTCATTCCAAAAGCTATCGCCTTCATTTCGAATTTTTTTCCACAAAGTTTCATTAAAATGCTTGTAAAGCATCAGATCGGCTTTGGACCATTGTAAGATTTTGTCGCGAGTTGCAGGATTTGACTGGTTTCTCGAATCAACTTGTCGATTCAGTTGAAAATAAACAATATCATCCACTTTCCAACACATTTTACGCTTCAGAAGAACCAGAGACTCGTCAAAGTATTCCATGATTAGAACCAAATGGAAACGGTTAGAAATAATTTCTATCGCATCATCTATACAAGATTTATTACTTAAAAGTGACTCGTAGAAACCTAAGTCAAAGAACTGTGGATTACGTAGTAGATGCAGGCTGGGGTAGTTAATGAGTAGTTGTTGATTATGTTGCTGCAAATAATTCACTATACGCAATGCATTGTTAAGAAAGTATTCTAACGGTACTGATTTCTTTTGCATGTGAAGTCCTAACAAACCACCAAAGTTCATAAACTTATAAAGCGAGACAAATTGAGTGACAGGATTTCGTAAAATAGTTATGTACTTTGTTCCTTGTGGCATGAGCTCAAGGAATGCTTTGGCTTCGAATCGCGCATGATTTGATACTATATTTGGTCGCAGTCTTTTGTTCTGCACAAAGTCCTCCTGGAAGGGTAAAGGCCACAGGAAATGATGAAAACCATCTTTCGGAAGAGCTATTGTGCGATTATGTGTTTCGGCAAATCTGTTTAGAATATTTGTAAGAGTACTGCTTCCAGTTTTATGGGTTTTGAGAAACATAATATTTTTTTGAAGTTTTCCACATCTTATTTTGTCAACTCGCCTATTAAAGGAACATTTTATGAGGTTAAGTTTATATCACATGCAGTCACAGTAGAGAGAATTTACAGTAGAGCCATTCTATTGAATTTTTTTGTGCCACGCATGTCTCATTGCGCATGTGATTACCATAGTGGCAGCCAGTCAATTATAATTTCTGACCAATAGGAATGATGAATTGGCTTACGGCAGCCAGTAATCTTATTAAATATATACAGCAGCCAGTTGTACAGCGAAGTGGCTCTACTGTGTATTTCCTATTGGTGGGTTGCAACCTTTCCACTGGGAGTAAGAGAACAATGGAATGCTCGCCATGTTGGATGAAATTTGCATTGTAAATAAGGAAAATCTTTTGCTAAAATCATCCAACATGGCGTCTATGACGTAGATTGCAACCCAAGAATACTGTGTCACAGTGTTGAAGTTTTCGTTATCTCAGGGAAATTACAGCTAAAAGTCTGTGCACAAATGTATAAACGCCCTGTGCATTAATGGCAAAGCTTAACTCATTTATATAGTCGAGTATCGTGAATAATAAGAATTACTTAGCAGTGTGGAAGTACACTCATTGAAATATGATTATGGTTGTGAATTAATCACTTTTGCTTTTTCTTATAACCAGTTTTGGAAAAGAGTTAAATATTAGTATTAATACATTAATTTAAGTGCAGTAATTTTGTAATTTGTAATTTTATAATTCTCCCTTTCAGTAGAAACATTTAAATGACAAAAACTCAACAAATGCAGGCCGTAAATAGTCAAGTGGGGAATCACCAATGGCCATGAGTGCATTCACTAAAAAATAATCAAAACATACTTTTACAAGCATTTAAGTATTTGACGTTGTCCCTTGATTAATCTAAAAAAAATCTTACTCTTGTGTTTAGAAGAGATTCTTAGAAGAAACAGATCATTGACACAAAATATGTAGCTTTTTTAAAAAAGCATAGAAAATTATGTTCTTCACTCGTTTCAATATTGCCAGTGTGCACGGTCCTGGAATGTGATGCTTACCTAGCTCCCAGTCCATGGGTAGTGTTTTACTAAGTTTGTTTCGTTTCTGTTTATCAGTCTATAACAGTTGAACCGATTATGAAAAGTATTTTGACTTGCGTAATCTTTTAATTTATGTAGTTGGACTACAACCTTAATTAGTTGACGGATAGACTAAAGCATTACACGCGAGCAAAAATTAAGGATTGGCTAAGTTTCTGCACCATTTCATCTCACTGCCGACAGTCCAATCTTCGAGCAGTAGAAAAAATGAAACTTACATTGATCTATAAGCGGTCTTGAAAGGAGCATTCAAATTCATTCGTATCTTCCTTGACAACAATGAAACACCATACAGTTTGACAAAACCTGCATTGATTATCAACAAAAGAACACAAGCAGTAAGACGAATCACTTTTTTTGAGCAAAACACTTTGTATATACGTTGTATGTGTAAGAACACAAGACCTTTCTGCATTACTGATGATCTTTGAACTAAAATTAATGTTTTAACAAGTAATAGCCATTTAGCAAAAAATGATCATGAATTAGTAATTGTAATACAGGTTTTACAAAGAACGAAAATTTGACGTCACTACTACGCTCTCATTTCTTTGTTCATTTCAGCGCGGACATGAACGTAGTCGTTTCTATAAAAGTGTTATATGAAGAACACGATGGTAAAAAAGCAAATATATATACATTATCACCGTCTAATTGACGTTCTCCGGATGAAAAAAATGAAAATGACAGCAGTTTAGAGTATTTCTTACTTGTTATCCAACATTTCATTAGAGTACAAAATGATGCCACACACTGGAGTATGTTGCCTCTGTAATTTAGATAGTGGTATTTGTTATGTGCATGTTATTATTGGTCATAATTCGTTGAAGAAACGTAAAATATAGCTGAGCATGCATGAATGCCCCCCTGTCCCCCCCGTACGGAGGTATCCGTGTCACTGATGGTCACATACATAGATTCTTTTATAGCTTCAATATGAGTCAATAAACAAAAATCTCAGAATTTCCTGTCATCATCTTGGCAATTTATTGCACTTCCTATAAATTTCCTTCCAAGAAGGGTTTCTGGCATTTTTCTCGCCAAAGCCTTTTTTCTTTTGCCGGTCAAGCACACCGGTCACATTACCACTAATCGTTTCGCTATTTTACATGAAGTCAGTGTTGCCAGATTGTGAACAAAGTTCATAGATTTATGAACTTTTGATTTTTATTTTGAATTTTTTTGAACAAAAAGAATTTTGTGAACATTTCATGAACTTTTACTAAAAATTAAAAACTTTTTATGAACGTATCAGTTATAAAGGACAAGCTTGTTTACACTGAATATACATTGGTTTAGAGATTCCAGACAAAGCATAATTCATTCTTCAATGTTGATGTGGAGAGAATTTTTTCTTCTGTGAATGCAATCAAAACTAAAGGAAGAAATAGAATTTGCACACAAAGTCAGTCTGCGGTATTCTAAAAGTTAAGTAAGGAGTGAAAGAGTCAGGAGGCTGTTTTGAATATTCTCCATCGACCAATACTTTCGTGTGACACTCGACATTCTTTGTGCTCAAGCTCTGACTCAAGCGACGAATCGGAATCGAACTAAATAATTGTTTTTCATTGTTATTTTTTTGTTATTTTGCAAATGTGCAATGTGCATCATTATAAATTTACATGTGATTTAGCTTATTTCATTCATTTGGTGCAAATTATGAATTTTTGTCGATTTATGAACCTTGGTGGATAATATGTGAACTTTCTGAACATGCCGACATGAACTTATTAAAAATTCATCTGGCAACACTGCATGAAGTATTTATTTTCTTTCTAAACAAAATGGCGGCAGAAATAAAGGTAGAAATACAAGCTGATGCTTTCATGGTTTGCCTCACTCATGCATTATCCACTGACCGTGAGGAAGTAATGGGTCTTCTTATAGGCGAGGTATGCTATCCGTCACATTTGAAGAATATAGAAAGTAACAATGTACCAATGTTAATAATTTTCTATGAGGAAGAATCGCCGCGACGTCGCCAAATGCCAATTAGACCGAATTTCTTTATTCTGTTAAAGTTAACTTGTGGTCACATATAATTATCAAAAGCGCATAAATTTTTACTAGCTTCCCGTAGTTTGTTAAAGTAATCTTTGACCATCTTTTTTCCCATCTTCTCATTTTTACAATAACGAAGCTTGTGTACAGTGTACTATACAGAGTTAGAGACAGAGCTATACTTTCGGTTCTTCTGCGTATTGAAATGTGTATATTTCAATGTTAAAGATCGCATGCATATATCATGAAAGATTATGTAAAGATTTCATTTACATAGATGTGTTGTGTGCTTTGTACAAATTGCTAGATTTCAAATGTTTGTACAATTTATCTTTGTTATCATGCTTGAACCTGTTTAAATTCTGTTTTCTGAAGTGCTAATATTCATGTTATTATCAATAATAACTTTTGTATATTTCTAGGTTGATGAAGTGAATGCAGTGTGTCACATATTTACAGTCTTTATGCTACGTCGATCAGACAAGAGAAAAGATCGTGTTGAAATATCACCAGAGCAATTATCAAATGCTTCAAATCAGGCTGAAGTATCCTTACGTAAAAAATAACGTATATTGAATTGTTGCTAATGAAGGTCAAAATGAATTTTCTTCTGTGTGCAGCATTTTCTTATGTTTCCTTTTTGAACATTAATTTATGATTTTTTTGACAAGTATCTGACTTGTATTATAAGTTGCTATTTTAAAGCACACTTGTTGTTATTAATTTAATGAAAAGTTGTTTGAATAATTTGCATAAATCCTCTCACATTGGTTTCTACTGGGTTTTTTAAAGTTAGCCATGTGTATTATGTTCAACCTTAATGTGGAGTGCAGAAATTGGGTAAATTAACTAAAAGGAAACGACCGATGAGGATTCTGGGATGGTATCATTCACATCCACACATAACTGTCTGGCCATCCCATGTTGGTAAAGTGATTGCATTTTTTTGATGTTGATTTTGTTCACTATTCATGCAAAGAATGGTTTTTGTTTGATGTACATCTATGAAGGTGCATGTAGAAGGTTGAAATGAATATGTGTTTTATAGAACTATCATAAGTAACAAGTATGTTTGTTTTACTTAAATGCACATACATGGGCCAACATGGCTCGATTTTGAGGCAAGGTGTGCACCTCCCCTCAAATTGCTTTGCACTTCCTCTTATGTACATACAGGTTTTGCACCTTCCCTTAAAATCAAATCTTCTCCCCTAAAATACATAATCATCCTATTCATTGCCAAAAGCACACCACAAATTCAAATCTAAATTCTTAAGTACATTAAAATTAAGACATCTCCGTAATCTGTCATTTTAATCATGAGAATTTGAGAATTCAACCAATCATATAGACCTTGTTTTTCAGGGGCTATTTTGTAATAGACGATATTGTGTGTGCTGTATATATTAATATTTAATACTATACTTGTTAAAGCTCTTAATCACGTGTTAAGTATTTGTGTTCACTGGCATTGATCAAACGTTAATTGTTATTGGAGGGGGACCATATTCGTATGTTCTGCCATGCCAGGCTGGTTTCTTTTGAAAGTTACATTGTTTTTTTAAAAAATAAGCCATGTATAGCTGAATATATGAATACGCATAGTGCCCTTACCCGATTGACGTGCAACTGACGCTGAGCCATAGATTCCCCGAGAAGGCAAACAATCAGACCTCCACGCACCTCCCTTCAAATTTCTCACTCCTCCGTTGATGTTTACACCAAAATCATGCATTGAGGCAATGTATCAGATGCATTTCCAGGATAGAAATGAACATGTGTTATAGACTATTGTTATAGCAAATATGTTTTTTCTATAAAGACGTACAGACACAGGCCATGTACCAGATGATGGATCCAGGATTTGTTGGATTGATTTTCTCATGTTTCAACGATGATAGTGCCACCTCGGTAAGTTGAATTTGAAGGCAGGGGCCGGTTGCATAAAGCCTGGATAGCGTTATCCATTGGATAGCAAAACTTTTAAACTTCTAAAAAAGGTGTTTATATTTTTCTTACGACAAAGAAATTTTGTAATCCTCGAAACAATATTTTATTTCAGTGATTGCGCAGCTCAAATCGTATACTTTTCTCCTATAAGAGGTTTTATGAACGTTCAGAAAATATTGCTATCCAGTGGATAACGCTATCCAGGCTTCGTGCAACCGACCCCAGAAGTGTAAACTAAGAAAGAATTAAAGATGCCAAAGTTGAGTATGACTTTGCTCGGCAACTTTGCTTTATTTTTATGTGGAGAGTGATTAGTATGAGAAGGATACATGTCAGACTACATTCTTTTGTGGATTGTGTGCGACATTTTCGATTTATCTGAAGATATTCGTTTCCGTGCATACCAATGCCTTTAGATTTAAGTCTTGCCTATTGAGCAAACGTTGATGTGAACTTGTAAACTTGGGAAATTTATCATCGTTGTCATTAATGCTGTTTATTAAAAAACTGTTTTAGACTGGGCAACTGGTTATGACGTGTTTTCAATCGAAACCCGGCATTAATCCCAATGAGTGAGTTTATGACTTAAATTTATCATACGCCTTTCTGTGTGGTTTAACTTTATAATTTGTGAATTCAGACTTGAAAGAGTTGAAGTGCCGGTGGAGATTACACCGAGCGAATGCATCAGTGACGCTTGTCTTGTGGCACTGGAACAACTGCCGGACATTTTGGGACAGGTCGAGTTTGAGTACACCTTTAATTGTTACGCATGGATTAAACTTTATTTTAATGAATTAAATTTCATGATGCACAGCTTTTGGGTTGTTAGTCAGAAAATTGAAACGTCTGTTTGGGAATAATAAATATAGAACATAATTAATAAACAAACCTGAAGAGAAATTAATTGTATCGATTACTAAAAATGTACAAAGTTAATTTAAAGTTAAATACTTGGAATCATGCGTATCAAAAACCTATAAATCTACAATTTTTGTGATCTTTCCTTCACTGCGTAACGTGAATGTAACGTGAAGTTAATGTAAATATTTGGAAAACCAAAACGTATTTAAATGTATTTTTTGAGATGTAGCTATAGAATCTAAAATAGGACAAACCCATTAACTTGATATAATTTAGAAAAACGTTTGCGATAGTAGTTAGGAATCCAGCAAAAGCACATTGCACTTTTTCGTGTGGTAAAAACAAAACATTTCGTAGATCCAACTTAGAATCCTTTTACATCTTTTTAGTAACATTTTAGGTGCTTGACCTTGCGAGCATTTTTTATATTTTTTTTGCCAAAATAGCACAATATCAAGAAATTTCTGCAATGTATTTATGTAATTGTAGGAAGAAGAAGAAGTGTATCAAAAGGCGGTCAGGTGATTAAGAAAGGGAAAACAATGTCTACGCCGTATTTTGACACATGAGTAACAAGCTTTTTCTTGGAATTTTTTAGTAATTTAATGGAAAAGAACGATCTTCTGACGACAGTTCACAACGGAGCAGGTAAATATCTATAAGATTTAGCTATAGAGTAGAGCATGAAACCCTTTCAAAAGTATTTAAATTATGTGTCTAACGCTCTTCCGATTAATAGGTAATTCAATACAAAAAAATTTTTAAAGTAAATGGAGTATCGTTACATGTTAGTAAATGTAGATCGTCCTGGTTGGTATACTCCTGAGAAGGACTGTTTTTGTTGTTGTTGACTGACGTTCCGACAACAACAATAACAACAACAAAAAAAGTCCTTCTCAGGAGTATACCAACCTGGACGATCTACATTTACTAACATGTAATTAAAAATTTTTGTTATGCGAAATCATCAAGCGTCGATTGCGACTCTGGATTGTAAACCAGCCCCCATTAGTAGCCAATGGTTAGGTGTTTTTTCCAAGATGTTGCAAGGTCTTATGATGAGCATTTTTGCTTTGCCAAATAAAATTTTTCTTGTGTCTTGCAGTTTTTACAAAATCACTTTGTCATGTCATCGAAGTCATGTGTGGACCTCTAATGCAGGCATTTGAAAACAGAGTGAAAAGAAACGAAAGAAAAACAAAAGAATTAATCAGAGAAAAAGAGGAATTACAACGACGACTTGAAGCAATAAAGAATGCATGAAAACCTTTAAATTCGTGGCTAAGCAATTTATTGGATAAAATTCAGCATCCCACAAATGCAAACGCTGTCCAGTATCTATACAAATACTGTAACAAGACAGACATAACTCCTCTCCTGATAATTTTGCCATACTATCTTCCTGTTCCTAGTTCGCGAAAGCTTGCACACCTATTTCAACTCTTAAATCTGATCTCAATGAAAACACTTCGTCAATTGCACTGTCATTTATATTAATGTAAACCCAACGAATTATTCCGAAGATGTCGCGCGTAGCAAAAAGTGTCAATAAAATCCTTTCTCTATGTTTCTATTACTACAATGGCTATTTATTTCACTGCAATAAGCTGGTCTTTAATGCTCGCAATAAGTTGCGACATGCAGTCAAAGGTCTATAGAGTACGTTCTCAAGCTATCCCCTTACAACTTTTGAATAGGCTCTGCGGTCATTAGAGTTGTTTTCAATTGAGCTTTTTTCTTCTAGGATCTTGGAGTTAGAGTATTTGGAAAAGCGTAAAAACTAATTACAGGATGAGAAAATAAAATGCGTGGCCTTAGCTTTGGCTATTGCTTCTGTGATCTTGTGTTGGACTATTAAATACGAAAGCGCAAAGGCTAGTGTGGGTTGCTCGAACGAAGATTTTTGATATGATAGAGCTGGAAATATACACACAAGAACAAAAAGATGCATAAGTTTTTATTTTCCTTTAGTTGATTTAAAAATGTTGAATATCAATTATTGTAATATTTAGATTCAAAGTTACATTTTCTACGTGTGCAAATCAGGGAAATGAAAACAAATTTGTTTGAAAATTATCTATTTTAACAATGCATGATCTTGAAATGATTTTTTGGAATACATTCTAATTTGTGGTTAGATTTTTTATAATTTTTTCCCTTTTTGAAAACGAGAAAACATTTGAACATTAAAAAGTTGCTAATTTTGGTTCATCTATAAAAATCAAATACGTTCATTTCATTATTCTAGATCAAATTTTCCTAGCAAAGTATCTCGCAAAAAATTGCTTCGTTGTTGTGATCATAATAAATTAACATTGCTTGTAAACAGGTGCTTGTAAACGCCTAAGAAAAATTATAAGAAATAGAGAAAAGTAGCTGCAAGACCAAGTAAGATCTCTATGAGAGTTGAACAATTTTAATTCTGATGAGAGCTTTGCTTGGACAAACATGGCTTTATCACCAGAGATATAACATGAACTAGAGTGGTTGTGGCGTACAGTTTACACCTGTTTTGCGGGCTATAGAATCAACTGTTGTGACGTCATCCCATGTCATTCTTCGTTTGTTTTCTTTGATTTCAACACTAACTTTCTTGATATGACGTTCTAAGATACTTAAGCAATACTGAGTGTGATTTCCAATACATGGATGGGGAATATTTAACCTTTCTTTTATGCTGTGCATATCTGATTTGAATAGATTAAATAAGCGATTGAGATCCGATCGTGAATATTTTTTACACATGTCTTCACTCCTGCCGGCTTCACTTATTGATAAACAGTAAGAAATTGGAATAAGTTTTGCATAGTAGTCTTGGGCATTCAACGGTCCATGGTAGGCAGTTTGAGGCTGAGTTAATAGTTTATTTTCATTAATTATGTCATTCTGTAAAATTTTGTGGCCTTCGGGCAAACGTTTGTTGTACTCATCCAAATTGTTACACATTTTTATATTCCAGTCGTAGCGATCTTTCTCAAAGAACCACGCGTAGCTGAAGATAACAGATACAGGAGAGATATAACCGGTGCCTGTGTGATGAAATTTTTTAAAGGCTTCTTCAAAGTTATCTGTCTTGAATTTTTTCAATATGTGCTCTCGGCAGTGTGTAAACGTGTCACGGTAGATGTACACAGGAAAATATGTCATAAAATCAGCCACCTGTGGGAAACCTATAGCCATCTCTGTGCTTTTTGCCCACGATTGCACCCAGCCTATTGGCATTGTACATTCAGTGCCAAGGACTCGTACTTTACCATGTGGCGTTATAGTTGACATGGTAACTGGGAGAACGAATGGCGAATCACTATCCAACCAAGCTATCACCTCGTCATCGGTGTACAGATCTATGAAAAAGCTGCTCCATAACTGACGATTATAACCAGAGGATTTTTTCTGGCCAGGAAAGGTTAAAACCTTAGGATCTTTGGGTAGTCGCTCGTAGTCAATTTTAAAAGCTTGATGAGGGAAATGTTCTTTTGTTTGATTCAATAGTGTTTCACCAAAGGCGTGATCCTTCTTTGATTCTTTATCAAGTATGAGAACCATTTTACCCAGCCATCCTGGCCAGAAAAGAGGAATCGTCTTCAACATATTGCAGTAAAATCTTTTTTTGTGCTCTTGTCTTTTACCTGACAATCTCATGAAAAGTGAAACTGAAGGATATCTATGTAGGATATTGTTCTTTGCATAAGTAAATCTATTAGAATTTAAATACAAACTTGCGGAATTAATAAATGCCAATGTCTTTAATTTTAGTAAAATGTACAAATATAATATGCCCAAACAGCTAACCACGATGAGCAAAGCCTTAAAACCAACTTTCATTATTACAAATCAAATGTTTTTATTCAGGCCTTTATCTCCTACAAAAAAAACGAAATATAAATTCTTGAGCTTCGATGCCGCCATGTTGGAGGACAGATACAAAAAAATATAGAATTCTTGGGTTTCAATCAACCACAGGGGCCATAAAAAACAAGGTTTGCCCACGCCAGCCGGAGTTCACAATAGCAGTATTAACTAATTCTTTGTATTTGCCCTCCGACATAGCAGCATCGAAACTAAAGAATAAAATCATCGATAAGGCTTGTGGAGACTGAGATTGGGTTGTTTTCTAGGAGGTTCATTTCGTCTGAATAGTAGCTAAAATTCACTCTCGCTATGATAACTACCATCCGCATACATTTTGTTTTCTCTTTGAACAGCCAATCAGATTGCAGGAAATCAAAAACATCACTAGGCATAATTGTATAAAAAAATAGTTGACTGCTATCAATGATTTATGAAATCAGTTCATTGCACTCGCAAAATTTTCAGCAAAAAAGATGGACTAAGGGGCCGTTTATATGATCTCGGGTTATTCTAACCTGCACACGCTTTTTTCAACTCGTTCCCAGTTCACTTTACATTCGACGGTTCAGTTTGCATTCAGTTCACGGTTAGCACTATTTTCCACCCAGCAAACCGCCCTTTACTTTGAAATATAATATTTTACACAATATAATATTTTACACAATCTAATATTTTACACAATATAATATTTTATATAATATTTTACACAATCGTCGAAAAACGACATATTTTCCAGCCTGGATTATAAGTTTATAACTTAAGGTGGTTGCATGAAAATTTAAACTGTAACATTTATCTGTAAATATTTTCATATGTTGATATTAAAAACTGTATTATAAAAATATAAAATTACTCGCCATCTCAAAACGACCTAGCACCAGTGCATGCATGGTTTCCTTTTAGCTTTTGGTTCTTTCCCATTAGCCGCCATCTTAAATTTATTTCCGATTGTGTAAAGTAAAGGGCGGTTTGCTGGGTGGAAAATAGTGCTAACCTATTGCCAGGGCCAAAGTGTTTATATGACAAAAAACTTGTCTCGCCTAGTAAGGACACCATCTTTTCTAAGTAGAGTAACCCTAGCAGTAGGGTTACCCTGTTCAAAAGTATCCATCATGTAATCGCTCGCTACTAACCCAATATGAAAATTATAGTAACTTAGCCCTCACAGGGTGCAGTGTGCGAATTAACGGTGTGCAATGTAAAATTTGCACATCGTTTTGGCTAGAATGTAAACAATTGCACATCACTTTTTCAAACGATATGCAAAAAACGTCTTTATTGATTACTGCCACATAAATTGAAAAAAGTTTTCAAGCTTAATCTGTACAGATCTTTACTTTATTAACGAGTGCGCTGCGGGACATTAAAATCTTAGGCCATTTTGACACAATGTCATCAAATTGAAAGACGTTGTCCCTTTGAGACTGGGAAGTCTGTCAAGAGTCAACATACATGGTGCATATATGCTTATGACAATAAGGTTGTTATACATTATTGCCAATTTTTGCATTTGCGTCGTTTTGTACAGCGTTACGTACTGTTTTTGACATCATAGCTATTTTGAGTATTTTCAATAAAATCAGGAAACATTTTCATTTTGATTCTTAAAAGAAGACAAAAAAAAACTTAAATATGCCCAATTTGAAAAATAAACCAAAGGGAATTTTGATTTTAATTAAGCCTAACGTGAGAAAAAAGAAGCCAAATTTGGCTCAAAATATTAAGCCAAACTGGCAACCTTCATCAGCCATTCTCTTTTCACTTTTGTCTTTCTTGATATCTTTGTCGAAAGGTTGTAGCTACCAGAAAAGTTAATACAGTAAAAAAATGGATGGAAACATTAAATGCTGACTCCGCTTGAGTACTAGGATGATGGCCAAGTGGTGAATTTATTGCGCTGTAAAGTTTGCACAAAAAAGGAGAGAATAACATGCGCAAAAAATTTCTCAAATACATTTGTAACTGGATCGGCGGTTGTAAAGTAAAACACTGTCGTAAATCATATGGACTTGTGCACGTTTAAAAGTATTAATTTAGCAATTAGCGCTGTGTAATAATTAACCAAATAACGATTTGATTATGCCTCTAAAGAACCATTTTTGTCGAAAAAATTGCACATCGTTTTTCCTCAACTAATTCGCACACTGTCAAGGTGTCTCGGGCGGTTGGTAAACCCTAGTATTTGAGACCATGTGAACGGCCCCTAAAGCACATCTTATACACCGACAAAACACAATCATCTTTTCCAAGTTCAAACATATTCAAAGACTTCTCAGGACTTTATTAACCTGGACGATCATCATTTACAAACATATAACGATACTCCCGGGTTCAAACCATTTACTTTAGGGAGATGGATTGTTATTTTTTTCAGGGGTGGGGTGGGGTGTATATTGATACATTCAATTGTGTTTGACAGAGTTCTTTTGAAAGTGGATTGGCTTGGAAAAGAAATCAGTCAGGCACAACTGAATAAGTGCATATTCACCTTCCTCTACACTCCCACCAATTAATGTTCTCGCTATGGCCCGGACAATTAGACAAATAACAAATAAGTATTGACACAAACAAACTTGGATCAAAGAGTATTACCATAAACTAACATATTATCTGAGTCAGCTGGCATCCCAGAAAATTCAAAAGGAAATTTTGCAATTTATAAAAAGAAATTTTGCAATTCAATAAGGAAATGTAATTAGGATCAGTACTACAAAACAGGATACAGCTGATTGTAATGCCAAAAAGTTATTGTAAACAATGTCTGATATAATTTCCAATTGTTGCTTTTTGAATACATAATGAACTCAATCCAAACTCTAAAACCTTATGTTACACTTAATAATTCCAAACATTTATAGATAACTGTAAAACTTATCAGTTCCACTAGATGGTTCCACACAATTGAGCTGGTTTTTAAAAATTTGCAAATTCATCACTAACAACATGTTTGAGCTATCTAGAGCATTTATATATAATGAAAATAGATAACTCTTGAAGATTATCTATTTTATGTAAGTTTGTCATGATAGTCTATATTTACCAACACTGTTATTAGCTAACTAGAGTATTAAATATAAAAAAGGGCAGGATTCCATCTTAAAATACTTTAGACCTTATCCTAATTCAGGTGTTTTAGGCTTAAATATTATTAAGAAATTTTCAATGAACATGGTTGCTAAAAAGTATTTTGAATTTAAAATGAGCTCCAAATTATTTATTTTGACCTACCCTATATTTCCCAGCAAATTATCATATCAACAGAAAGTGGCAAAAATAAAAAATACAATTAGGTTAATTCAGTGGCAACCCAACTAGCAACATCGCTTAGAACCGTGATATCATATGGAAATTGTTTTACTTTAAATTTCATATCATTTTACTTTTAAAAGATTAGAAATGTAATCAAATTGCATTCGGTTTGGCAGTCCTGGGCCACCATATATATCACATATACACTGCCATAGCCAGCCTACAAGTTTTAGCCCTGATATGTATAATTCAAAACATTAATGTTGTTCATTTCGAAATCACATTTCTTTTCAATGTTTTCAATTTAAGTGAGCACTGAAAAGTTGACATAGCCAGGGCCATAGCCAGCTGCAAATTGTTACCGAGGCAAAGATCATCAAACATGATATAATCAATTCAATGCATATTAATTCCGTATTAAAATATTCATTTGTCTAAATTGAAGCAGCCAACTCGAAAAAATTGACAAATTTTCGTAAGACATCCGGAGGGCATAACTGAATATATGAGTATACACCCACCTCCCCCCCAAAAAATAAGGCTCTAGCAAGACTAAATATGCTGGCTAACTACACCACTACACATTTATTGAACAATGTTACACAAGTAACACAACAAACGACACGTTGTAACCTGTAAACAGTTAACTTGATGGAATCGCATATCAATTTCTTGTTGGACGTTTGTGTTTTGTCAAAATTATTGCATACTCACCAAAAGATGTTATCGGATTAAAGACGACTGTATGTTCAACCAAAAAAACTCAGTAGCAACACGTCAATTTCTTGTCGAAACAAAAGATATTTGACTATTTCTGCAAGCATTATCACTGGACTATGATCAATGAACTCTAATACTACTTGTAGAGTTCACTGACTATGATAGATGCAATGAACTCTACAACAACTGGAAGGCTAACTCAATATACACAAGCCTAGTCTTGTCTTGTCTGAAGCCACTTAGAAGCTGATTTGCCGCTTCGCGTGTATCTCGCGTGGACTGTTTTATTTGCGTGACGGATTGTTTTGCAAAAACTGCTAAGATTGTTATTTGCAGTGCTGTGTTTTTTTTGAAATTGATTTGAATGAAGATATGATCTTCGCACTTTGCTGAATTTTTCAGGTTCATGAGACAATTGCTTAAATTGTGCAGCAAAGTGCGAAGATCATATCTTCATTCAATTTCAAAAAAACTGCTAACTTGGAAATACAATGCTAGTCTAAATGTTTTATTTTTTTTCAAAACCGTAAGCAAAATTTGGTTATTAATGTCTTAAGATGCATTGTGGACGTTCCAAGACATGTTTTGTATACGTAACGCTGTATTATATAAAACATAAAAGTGAGAACTTGCTTCGAAATATGAATTTCTTATTTGTCGTCGAAAGACCAAAAATTTAAGATAAAACTGATAACAGGTAGTCTGTATCTTTGAATGCTGTGCAAAATACACTACACACAATCCACTTAACATAACATGTTTCATAACAATTTTATTGCTTTTAAAGTTAGACTTGCTTTGTAAGATATTCACATGCTCTTTTTGTAATGTGTGAAAGTGATGATTTGAAATTTTGAATTGTGGGTGATTGTTGGTTCTTGTCATTTCCTTCTCCCACTTCTTAAGAACTTGTGGAAGATTAGACATGCATCCATATTTGAGTACTGAGCATTTTATAAGCAAGTTCATGCTTATAAATAAATAGCCAAGTGTACACTATGACAAGTATTGCTAATATAACCTGCTCTACATCAATGCCAAAAAGCAACCCTCATCCTCAGTGGTTTGAACCAGGGTTTTAAAATGATTATAAAGCAAGGAAAGCTATATCATGTATCAAAATTTTATAGTATATCATATTGATTGTAAAATTAGTTTTTTCTTGTAATACAGATGATAATAAATGTATATGTAATATATTAAACTTTAGAATGTGTGTTTAAAATGTTTGGCCATATTTGTGACAATATATGATGATTCTATAATATTAGACTAATAATCTTTTTCATACTTGTATTACATTACAATTTTTACTTAAGTGTTTCAAAAGTTATGAATATGGAGTGTCAATTGTGTTTTGGTCTTTTTTTTTAAGTGGGTATTGTCCCTTTTGACTCCTTAATGGTGCAATTAATAATAACACGATAATATGGCATAACAGTTTTTTTAAAACGAACTCAAAATATTTTTTTGCTAACTTTTTGAAATATTTTGCAAAGTGTTTTTCTTTTTGTTTACGCTCTGAACTTTCAAAAAGGACTGGGGCGAGCTAATTTTGCTCGGAAACACAAAAATTACCGAAAAACAGCGTTTTTTGCCCTGACAGCTTCATTTTCAAAGATTCAAACAAAATTATAAGGATAGACAAGTATGTTTTACATCCTTTTATTGAAAAAAACGAGGGGTGTCAGTTTTGTATTCAAGTTATAAGGCATGCTTTCACGTGCCAAAACAAAGCTCGCTTTTCATCCTTCTAAAAAGAAGCTTAAACATGTACAAATGTCGTTCACACTTGTTTTATATTAAAGTCCAAACACTGTTTAAGGTTTTTAGACATTAAGCTGGCTCGAAGACCACTTATTTTGGCAAAAAATCGGGCAATTTCGTAGTGATGTATTTCGCCTCCGTACCCTCAATGGCGGTGATCATGCAGGCTTCGAAGATGGCGTCCAAGTTAGCCTTCCAGTTGTTGTAGAGTTCACTGGATAGATGGAAAGCTACTGTTACATAAAAGCCAAATTTGACCTCCACACACGCGTGTCTGGATGTCAATTTACGTGTATCACACGCGCGAAGCTACATGTTACGCGAGATTTGTTAAAGAAAGATGTTTTTAGGGGCTGTTTACATGATCTCGGGTAGCCGGGATTCAGCCAAGCGTTAAATGATTTTGGCAAATGGAAAAGATTTAATACTTATCGTCAGATGAATGTTCTTCAGCACTTTAACAATATTCTCATTTAATAACTACAAACATAACATTAGAAATCGAACAACAAATTTGGCCTAATTTGAGAATTACAACAGGCATTACTTGCGGCGCTTAACAAACAGTTGTAATTTTTACGCTTGAAGTTTCGACTCTTCTCAATGCATCGAAATGATTTTACGCCTCACTGAATCCCGGTTAGCCGGGATCATGTAAACAGCCCCTTAATTTACCGAAGTCTTTTTCTGATTTTGTTTAAAGAATAAACGTAGAAAGTATTGTGGCATTAAAGGTGATGGGGCTTGATCTTTATTCAGTCAATTATGATGCTTTTATTGAATACGTATTTTGAAATGGAAAATATCAACGGTAGAAATGGTGAAAAACAATGACATCGTTCATTTTATACACATCTGAAACATTGCACCAAGTTATAATTTATTTCGAAAGAATTCAATTGGACGTATCCAATAATTTACATGAGTTTCTCCTTGGAATGTTTCGGGATTTATATGTAAACCTATTTACAGAAAACATTAGTTTTTTTAAAAAATGATGTTCGCAGTAAGGTAGCATGTATTAATGTTTTTCGTAAAGCTAAATTAACTGTAGTTATGAAAGGCCAAAAATTATTAGATACTTATAAAGTGAAACGCTTTGGGAGGATTTCCTTTGCTGGTGCATAAATTCATCTAACATGTGATGGGTGTAATTTAATTCATCTTTTGAAACAAAATCTCAAGTAAGTTCGTACTAAAAAAATTGTATTTTTCTCTAAATTTGTACGTCGAACTAATAATAATAGTTTTGGGTAAAAAAATTTCCAAAACTGATGTTTGTTTACAATTTTTTTTCATTTTTTATGTTATATGAGGCTTGTAAGTATAGTTGCTAGTTTGGAACAAAAACGTTTTACTTTTAACTTTTTGTCACTACAGACATACGAAAACAAACAGCTCTAGCAAAATGCCTTCTAGTTATGGTTGGCTATGACTTCCTTTACAAAACTTTAATTCTCAAAAAATTGTGTTTTCGGAGCTTCGTACTTCGTACAAGTTATTTTTTCATTCGCTAGTATTGGCCATGTGCTTACATTGCGTGGAAGACTGGGTGCCACTAGCATCAAAATATTGACTGACGTAGCTTTAAATCAATTTAGTTCACTGGGCATTATAGAGGTAAAAGAAACTCCAAATTTCCCAGATAAAGTATTGACGTCACTGACGTGCAGAATGTTGTACAAGGCTTCCACTTGCCAGGAAATTTCCTGACAAAAGGAAATATAAACCTTTGGCCTTTGGCAGGAAAAATGCTCGGAAAACTTTCTTGGAAAAAAAATTGACAGATAATGTAATGAGTTGCCAGGATAAAAACAGGAAATTCCCAGATTTCAATTATTGAAAGAGCTATAAAAAAGTTTATGTGACGCACTATTGGCGTGGATACCTCTATAATAAGAGGGAGGGGAGGATTTAACCGTGTATGCTGTGCTATTCATCTGGAAACTGGAGCCAAGGCCGTCGATAGCACACTTAATTTTAGCGTGCTCTGATTGGTCGATGCCAATGTTTGGATCATTGATTTATAATATGAATTCATTGGTCTTTAGCTAAATTATCAAATAAGAAGCATAAATACTGGAGTTGGCTCCTCAATCGAACAGGAACGGAGCAAGGACGTTATACACACAAAAACTAAAAGAAAGAGAAACTAATTTTCCCTTAGTTGTATACTTGTATTAAAAATGTTGCCTGTCATTTAGTACTTGAAATATTTAGATTCAAAACTCCATTTTCGACATTCTAAATTAGGAATAGATGTTTGGTCTTTTTCCCTTTTTACAAAAAAACCCCACATTTAAAGACTCGCTAATTTTGGTTCATCTTCAAAAATCATCGAATTTTCTTGTAGCGGACAATGTTCATGGAATTATGTTTTCAAGATAGCCTGTTTTAGGACAATGCCAAGGGCAATCGTTTGAAATTGGATTTTTTTAGGTGAACTCTTGCAAATTCACCTACTAATTAGTTAAATTTTCCAAATAAAAATATTAGCTTATTTTTCACAGCCTAGCTCAGACATTTGACTAACATGGCTTTATCACCAGAGATATAATAATTGAATTAGAGTGGTTGTGGCGGACAGTTTACACCTGTTTTGCGGGCTATAGAATCAACTGTTGTGACGTCATCCCATGTCATCCTTCGTATGTTTTCTTTGATTTCAACACCAACTTTCTTGATGTGACGTTCTAAGATACTTAAGCAATACTGAGTGTGATTTCCAATACATGGATGGGGAATATTTAACCTTTCTTTTATGCTGTGCATATCTGATTTGAATAGATTAAATAAACGATTGAGATCCGATCGTGAATATTTTTTACACATGTCTTCACTCCTGCCGGCTTCAATTATTGATAAACAGTAAGAAATTGGAATAAGTTTTGCATAGTAGTCTTGGGCATTCAACGGTCCATGGTAGGCAGTTTGAGGCTGAGTTAATAGTTTATTTTCATTAATTATGTCATTCTGTAAAACTTTGTGGCCTTCAGGCAAACGTTCGTTGTACTCATCCAAATTGTTACACATTTTTATATTCCAGTCGTAGCGATCTTTCTCAAAGAACCACGCGTAGCTGATGACAACAGATACAGGAGAGATATAACCGGTGCCTGTGTGATAAAATTTTTTAAAGGCTTCTTCAAAGTTATCTGTCTTGAATTTTTTCAATATGTGCTCTCGGCAGTGTGTAAACGTGTCACGGTAGATGTACACAGGAAAATATGTCATAAAATCAGCCACCTGTGGGAATCCTAGAGCCATCTTTGTGCTTTTTGACCACGATTGCACCCAGTCCATTTGCATTGTACATTCAGTGCCAAAGACTCTTACTTTACCATTTGGCGTTATAGTTGACATGGTAACTGGGAGAACGAATGGCGAATCACTATCCAACCATGCTATCACCTCGTCATCGGTGTACAGATCTATGAAAAAACTGCTCCATAACTGACGATTATAACCAGATGATTTTATCTGATCAGGAAAAGTTAAAACCATAGGATCTTTGGGTAGTCGCTCGTAGTCAATTTTAAAAGCTTGATGAGGGAAATGTTCTTTTGTTTGATTCAATAGTGATTCACCAAAAGCGTGATCCTTCTTTGATTCTTTATCAAGTACAAGAACCATTTTACCCAGCCATCCTGGCCAGAAAAGAGGAATCGTCTTCAACATATTGCAGTAAAATCTTTCTTTGTGGTCTTGTCTTTTACCAGACATTCTCAAAAAAAGTGAAATAGACGGACGATTATTTTCAATGCTACCCTTATTTACGAAAAACGATGATTTTCTGTCAACAAGCTTCCCTGGTAACGAATTTTTAACCACACCAAAGGGAGTTTCATTTTCTTTCGCGACAGAAACAAAATTCTGATGCTTTAGATCCTCATTTTGATGTTTTAAATCCTCATATTGATGTTTTAAATCCTCGTGTTGATGTTTTAGATCCTCATGTTGATGTTTTAGATCCTCATTTTGACGTGTTAGTTCCTCATGTTGATGTTTTAGATTCTCATGTTGATGATTTAGATCCTCATGTTGATGTTTTAGATCCCCATTTTGATGAGTTAGGTCCTCATGTTGATGTTTTAGATTCTCATGTTGATGATTTAGATCCTCATATTGATGTTTTAGATTCCCATATTGATGTTTTAGATTCTCATGTTGATGTTTTAGATCCTTCTCCAAATTATTCGTAGAAACAGCAAACTTCAGAGGAACACGTGGATTTTGCGGCTTTAGCGTATAGCTCACAAAGAGGAGAAACACCACGACAACAACTGTCCACACAAATGTTTTGCCTGCATTATTCATTCTTTTGACAGCTTTTGACAGCTTTTGACAGATTAACGATGAAATCATTGGCATCTGCTAAAAATGCAGTTTTATGTGATTGACAATAAAATAAAGGCGGTTTGATCGTGATTATCTGCGCTAGAAGCAATGGCGCTGGCAGGATTTTATTTTGTGAGGGCAAAACAAAATGTCACTTACAAATATTACGCATTGTCTGATGTCACTTATATTTCCAAATAACTTAAATAAATACCTTAGTATGGGAAATATTGAGAGGTAGTTGCCTCCTCTTTGCTCCTCTTGCAGGCACCCCAGGCTAAAAACTCACAGTTTGCGATCTTGTGGAGTTCTTACTAGAATAAACATTTAACATGAGAAAATTTCCCTGAAAAAAAACCAGAGTGTTGTCTAGGATCAATTCGCCAAACCAAACTGAGCTAGTCTGTAAACCTAACGTAACTCAGTAACTCTAACCCTAACCGTAAATCCTGCGGAGAACCAAGCTAGAAGATCATGGAGAATAAATTCTAGCGAAAGGAATAAATTCTAAGTGCCAAATGTGGCCAGAATTTCGATCCGGAGCTTCAGTTTCGCGAAACAAAAGTAGAGCTTTCCTTTTACGTCAATAGCAGTACTTATTCTTCCATTGCGTTGGGTGTGAATGAAAAATGAACTCAGACTGTGTTTTAGATGAACTTTTTGTATTCAGTTTCACACAAATTTTTCATGTAAAAAACTGATAATAAACGAGTTGACTTCAATAATTAGTTTCTACTTTAAATGGAATCAATCAGGTGTATCTAGATTAGGCGATGCACGATAGTCGAAATTACTACGTCGAGATTCAAAATAGTTGAGTGTCAGACGTTAAAAGGCGAGAGTTTAAAGTAGCTACACCATCAAAAATGTTAATGCAACACAAAAAAGCGCTTTCACGGTACTTGATTACAAACTAGGCACTAGACGCAACTTAAACGCTCTTTGTGTTAGTTTACTTGTCAGAACTATATCTATCTAGCTGTTTTAAAATATTCTGTCCATTGTGCTTATGAAATTCTACGAAGACATTGTGTTTCTGGCATCTATATACTGCTCTACTAAGTACCAAACAAAAGCAAACAATACTAGCAATGTATCAACTTAAATATCCCATCTGACTTTCGTGACAGGAAAAATGTCGATTTCCAAGTATAAATTAGAATATGAATTGCATATGTCTGCAAGGAAGCAAGTTAAGCTTCTTCACGTCTCAAAGGTAAGATAATTTAGGAACAAGTGAACAACAAATTTAAAGCAAAATATAGATCGCTTCAACAAAATCGTGAAATTAAAGTCGTACACAAATAAGTGCACGTTAAATTACGTGATGTATATTTTTATCAACAAATTAAAACTTGAACTAACAGTTCAGTCCCGTATTCACAGAGTTTTTTTAATATTTGGGATAAACTCGAAATTGCTTGGAAACACTTGCACTTTGTGCTTGCGCTTGCCACGCAATTTCTCATTTCTCCCAAACTTACACGGAAAATGTCTCCTATTTCAATATTTTTATAAATATTGTGTATTTCTAACAGATTAAATAATGCAGGAACCCACTGAAAGACACTCAATTGGAGCGGATATACTGAATGAATATAAATATAAATTAATAAGCGTCACTCACAGAGGTCTTAATCTGTCTAGAAGTAAAAGTAAAACCATCCTATTTCTTTTGAAGTACCCATTCACCACAATAATCAGAACAAAACAACTATTGACTCCGACATACAAATTTCGCAATTCTCTAGCCAACAGGTTGCCTAGCAGCTTTTCTTATGGTTATATCCATAATACGAGCCATTACACAACATGCAAGTTAACGTGATTCCACCTTCAAAACTATAATCGATGCGAAACAGTAACGCAGCCAGCCTCCGGATTTGATTTGCTTCCGCGATATTAATTACGAAAGATTACTATAATTCATTTTTTTAGAAATGGTTTGGTTATCACGAAAAGTGAACACAAAATTATTTGCGTAGCGGAACGTCCTTCTGGCTAGTGGCTACCATTGAGTTCTATAATAACTGAATGGTGGCTACGCTACTTATGAGAAATAAACCGGAATGAGGAATAAAAATTAACAACGACAACGACAGAAATCAAACGATAAACATTTTATTGTCGATTTCAGTTAACTTTTCAAATGGCGGTTGCCAAGTTACTTTCTAATGTTGCCAGTTACATCTCCAAATATGGAATATTCGATATGAACTTGTCAAATTGAGTTGACAAGTTGTGTACTTGAGTACTGAAGTTGTGAACTTGAGTACAGAAGTTGTGTATTTGAGTACTGAAGTTGTGAACTAAAGTTGCGAAGTACTGGCAAACGCGAAAGGTCTTTGTACCATGTAGACATTTGACAATGAATCCGTTCAGTAAGCAAGGAAAAGCTTTACCAATAGAAGTAACAAATGAAACACTTGAAATGTGGTTAAATAACGAGCGTTTGACAAACATTTTGAAACAACTAAATCTACCGTATAAGACTATATCAAATATAATAGATCTATGGGTAGACACTGGTTCTATTGCACCTCGCCAGAGCGAACGTGATGTTCGAACCACGCGTACAGATGACGTTATTGCATACACTGAATATCTAAAAATTAATAAACCATCTATTTACGCTAAAGAGATTCAGCAACACCTAGAAAATAACAAAGTTTGCCTTCCAGCAAACATACTCGTCTAGGTCATCCATTAGTAGAATTTTGAATAAAGATATTGGTTACTCTTACAAGATAATAAGTCAAATTCCTCGAGAAGCAGAACGGCCGGATGTTATGGAGAAGTTAGAAGCTCACGTAGCAAATATTTCATTGATGATTGCAACCGTATGCATTTCTTTGATGAGTCGCCTGTAGTTGTTACGAGTGGCAACAGACGTCGAGGGCACAGTATGCAGGGACTCCTGCATTTAAAATCCAACGATACTCTTCTAGTGTCACATTTACTGTAAATTTATTACATAATGTAAACGGCGTATCGCATTATAACACTCTTAGGGGCTGATTACATGGAGCATTTTCAACCCTGGGTTGAACTGAACCCTTTTAAGTGAGTTGAAATTTCAGCCCAGTCTTAATACGAAACATTTGTTATACCAAACGTGCGATTATATGGCAAATTTTCAACCCAGTGCTGAGTTCAACCCCGGGGCTGAAATTTCAACCCTGTTTCTGCAAATCGAGTTGAAATTTCAACCCAGTGTTGAACTCAGCACTGGGTTGAAAGTTACGCCATGTAATTGTTTTCAACCCAGGGCCGAGATATTTGAGCATGCGTAGTCTGATTGTTGTCCTTAGCAAAATGGAGGAGACGATACACGAGGATCTGGAAAATAAGGAAGAACTTGTAAATACAAGCACTTATCGCGAAAGAAGATTTCGTTGGGACAAGGATGACAAAATGGAGAACTTGATACGCTGTTTGGCCAACTATAAAAGCCAAATGGAGTTTCAAAACTTGGATTTCTATGCTGATAAAGTCCGATTATACGAAGCAATACGCGTGGAAATGGCGAAAATATATGCTGATGACCCGACCCAGTTTGGTCCGCCATCTGTTACAACTCATCCAATATTTGGCTTGAAAGATGATGTCCTTAGTGAGGAGCAAAAAAAAGAGAAAAAAACCCTACGAGTTGCGCAAGATCATGATAAAAAACTTGTAAAGAAAGGATATCAGCGTGTCCATGAAAAACTGAAAGAAATTCGACATAACTTCTCTGTTGCTGTAACTAGTGGACGTCGCAGTGGTAGCGGAAAAATTGTGTTACAATTTTATGATGAACTGGTGAAGATATGGGGAGGTTCTCCGGCGACAGAGCCATTGAAATGTGGAACTTTCACCGAGGAAGTTAATGCCACCAATGCAAAAGAGCAGGATGATGTAATTTTCCTACTTCTCTTTCCCCATCAGAAAGCCTGAATGATGAGAACAATGATGTTTCATTAGACGACTGTTTGGACCTGGACAGTGGTACAAGAAAACGGAAGGCAATGGCAATGGTTCCAAGATTAATTGACAACAAAAGAAAGCATCTTGAACGACAGTTAAGTGCTGCCCAGCGTGACCAGCTCCTGTTAAAGGAGGCCAAAGAAGATGCACAATTCAGGAGACATGACTGATGCAATAAAGAAGTCTGATGTAACCTTTGCCACAGCAATGCAGCAAATGAGTCAATCTATTGCCCAAGTTGCCCAATCAATGCAAATGATGACTCAGGTATGTGCACAGCAAAACAACCATCTACAAGGCATGCCCTATAGTCCTAATCCTTACCATGTTCATGGTCACATGCCTAATGCAACATTCCACAATAATTATGGTACTTGCCAATTCGATTTTGAAGATCATTGCTCCCGGAAAATTGACAATGACAATCAAAATGCATAAAACTGTTTTACTTATGAAACTCTTTAACAACAGTGAATATTGCCTTTCTGTAAAGATGCATGCAAATTATGTATTTTAAAAAGTTAAATACTTTTCCAATAGTTAATATTTGGTTGTTTGCAGTGTATTCCACAACCTGATTCTCACAACAATAAAACAGCATTGTTTTTGAAACATAAATGTATGATATTCAATAGTTTTTAATAGTAGCAAGTAGCCTGTAAGTTATGTTAATAATAGTTATAAGGCAAGTTATGGGTAATGTAATCTGTTAGTAGTGAATGAACAGTTTCACCATCTAAGTTGTTACATGAATATATTTGATCAGGCACATTTGGTGTAGTATCTTCATCTTGTACATGTTGTATCACCTGCAAGTAAATTTCCTTTTCATTTAGTAAGAAGTCACCATTTTGTTCGCAGAAATTATGCAATACAAAACAACTGTATATGACTGTTGGAACTAAATCAAACTTTATGTCCACTTTTCGGTTGAGGAAACCCCAACGAGCTTTGAGTCTGCCAAAAGCACATTCAATTTGATTTCTTGCTGATCTGAGCATACTATTAAATATTATCTGGGCATTGTCTGTGCATGTTTGGTACTCCTTTAGACAAAATTGTGTTAAGGGGTATGCTGGATCCCCTATAAGATAATTTGGAACTGGATCATGACCTGGTAAAAGTGTGAGGTAGGAGATTGGTAACTGTCTCCTGTTAAGCCTTTTACAAACAGATGAATTTGCAAACACTTTTGCATCATGCACTGATCCAGGCCACCTACACTCTACATCCATAAAGTAACCCTTACTGTCACAAACAGCTTGGACATTGAGAGAAAAATACTGTTTGTAATTAAAAAAATCTTGAGAATTTTCTGGTGGGCATTTGATTGGAATGTGAGTACCATCAATCAGTCCAAAGGCTTGCACCATACCAAATTTTAATTCAAATTCAGAAGCTTTTTTCCTCATTTCATTCTCATTCTTTGGCAAGAAAATGTATTTGGGCCCTAATAATTTGTTGATAGCAGAACACACTTCCTTAATGACTTTAGAGGCTGTACACTGATGAATGCCAAAAGTATTAGCAGTCATCCACAAAGAGCCAGTGTCCTTAAGGTAGTATAACGTTACAGCCACCTTCTTGCTTGAGCTAAGCAGCCTGTAGTTGGGTGAATTTGGTTTAGGACCAATTACAGGATCTAGTTCAGCAACCAAACGGTAAAAGTTTTCTTTGCTCATTCTCAAATTTTTTTTCCATGAAATGGATAAAGCATTCTCACTAATTAGATTCCTCCACCACTGATCGGTCCTACCAAATACTACCCAGGTGCTTCTTGGTTTTCGGCAAAGCCGACGAAGCATTAGATGCCTTCTCTTTCTCATCAGTTTCTTGGTTTTTGCTTGAAAATATGCATCAAGTATCCTTAACCTCTTCTGCTGCATCATTCTGTATGCAATAGCCATACCACAGCACTGTATTATCAGCGCTATTAAGATTCCACATTGAATAACTTGAAATGTTATGTTTTTGTGATTTTCGGCAGCCATGTTTTATATATTTAAATTTTGCACGTTTACCTGGTAATTTCCATCCCCGGGGACAAGATTTCCATATAATTGCAATAAATTTCAACTCACTTAAAAGGGCTCAGTTCAACCCAGGGTTGAAAATGCTCCATGTAATCAGCCCCTTAGAGGGCCGTCAAATGGATTAGAATTGCTAAAGCTTTCCTTGCTTACTGAACGGATTCATTGCCAAATGTCTACAGGGTACAAAGACCTTTCGCGTTTGCTAGTACTTCGCAACTTTAGTTCATAACTTCATTACTCAAGTACACAACTTGTCAACTCAAGTTGACAAGTTCATATCGAATATTCCATATTTGGAAATGTAACTGGCAACATTAGAAAGAAACTTGGCAACCGCCATTTGAAAAGTAAACTGAAATCGACAGTAAAGTAAATGGTTTGATACCCGGGAGTATCGAATTTTCAGGTAATAAACATTTTTGACAATATTTTGACTCTGAAGATGACTACCGCTAAGGTTGTCGAAACGTCAGTCAATAAAAACAAATACAGTCCTTCTCAGGACTATACCAACCTGGACGATCGACATTTGCAAACATTTAACGATACTCCCGGGTTCAAACCATTTACTTTAATAAGCATTTTATTACCTGAAAATTCGTAAATCCAGTCGAAGCAAGTGTTATACTAGGGTAACTGGGGCATTTTCTCTGGGCATTTTTATCGTCATCATCATCATCATATCTCGACAATCCAGCAAATTTAATTGAGTCCCCCCTGGAAAGTAACAATTACAATACAGGTAACTCTCCCCCTGGAAAATAAATATGCAACATAAGCAACGTAGTCATTTCTATGTGGTATATAATTATGGATATTGTCATTAAATTCTGCTAATTCAGTGAATTCACCCGGCGATGCCAATGCCATGGACCTTCTACCTCCGGATGGTGTTTATCCTTCTGTTGAAACTTTAAAAAAATCGTTATATTAGGTTATTTGCGGAGAGAAAACTTAACGTGGCCATTGCCTATTTAAAAGGAAAGCAGCAGACTTGTCATTGAAAAATGCCAAAAGTTCAATATGTGAATACCATAAGAACGTTTGATAAGGAAGGTTTCAAAAAGCGGGCTGGTTGTCTGTGTTTCAAATCGGAGGCAGAAAATGAGGTACTTTTTTATGAACTTGTCCATTCTCAAAAAGTGTTGATTGCAATTTGCACATCTCCTGTCGCTCGTTACACACATGATAAGTCGCAAATATTCTTAGTCTTCCTGTAGTTTTTCGATATAAACATTTGGTTGATATAATGAATGGGTCTATTTGTAAATTGCATGTGTTGCTTTCAATTTCATACTATGGCTTGTTCTCAAAAAGTTTTTTCTTCGTGTCAATTCCCCATGAGGAATCTCAATTGTGGTTTTGTTGAGTGCTGTTTAAAAAAGCAGTACTTATTGTTTCGTTGGACAGGTTTCGTGTATTTTTCTCACCTATTTTTCACGATTGAAACTGTGGAATTGCTTTTCTTCTTTAAAAAGTTATGAAAGTTTTCACTCATAACATTTGATATGGAATGGAAAAAGAAATGTGAATTCTTTAATTGATTATCTGTAAAGCCAAAAATGTCAAACTTTGTTTTTTTCTTAAATGCATTACTTCAAATGAATCTTCACGTCTGGAGTTCTTGTATGAAGGTACATGATGTCTTGTTATCCAGGTGTTGCTTGTGTCCAGTTCAAAAGTACCAAATAAATGGGTTGTACCTAGTGGGGGTGTTGAGCCTAATGAGGATTTACAAACAGCTGCTTTAAGGGAGGTTGCTGAGGAGGTATGTTGTTGGCAACATGTTATTATAATTTTTTATTATTTTTTAATCACTTCATGAAGGTTTTCCATTTTTATGTAAATTAATTTAGCTCTAATTTTCAAAGTTTACATCATCATTTGTATCTTAAATTTTTCTTTGATTATTGTAAATCCCCACTTATTGCTGCTGCACTTATTTTATTTCTTTTGATTCTGAAGAGCGGCACTTACTGGCAGCTTATTAAATAATTTTCAGCTAAAGGTTCACACGAAGTATTTTTATTGCTCCCAAAAAATGATAAAATACATGATAAAATACATGATAAAATATAATACAACTTAACTTAATAACTCTCTCATTTTCCATACTAAAGTTACTCAGGTGCAATGCTTAATTGCTAAATAACTTTTCTGCATTCTGAGTGTGGTGGTTAATCGAGAGCAACGCTAAAGCAAGCATTTATCATAATTCTTTAATCATTTTTGTGCATACTAAAACCAACTTTGACAATTATTAATGTAAATTCAGCTTAGTTTCAAGACACATCAGTGATACATCAGCAGAGCAATATGGATACATACTTTTCATTTCGTTGCTCTCTTTAGTCCTGAGTTATTAACCGTGCTGTGTAAGATTCTGTGTATAGTCCACTTAAATGACCACCAACCAATACTCTTCTTTTTTTTCTCCTTTAATTAATCATCAACATGTTCTGTGTACATTTTTGTTATCTTTTCACCAAATTATAATATGATTTTATATTAATTGGGTTTTGTTTACATTCATTCAGGCAGGTGTAAAGGGCACCCTCGGTCGATTTTTAGGAACATTTGAGGTATTGAATACTTTAATTTCAAATATTTTTTGTTGCTCTTCTAAGTAATGCATTTGATTTTTTACAGAATAACAAAAGAAAGCATAGGACTGCTGTCTTTGTGCTTATAGTTACTGAAGAATCTGAAGAGTGGCACGAAGGAAAGTGTGGTAAGTTGTTGGCAATCAGTCTTCTTGGCATATTGGATTTTAGCTAATAAATAAGAAATAAATTAGAACTTTAGTGAACTTTATCAGTGAATGTCCCATTGGACCTTTTTGCATTGAGGTTATATTATTATTTAGGACGAATCCGAAAGTGGTTTACTGTTGATTCTGCATCAAAGCTGCTTAGGGAATGCAAGCCATTCCAAGCATGCTACATAGATAAAGCTGTTAAGACAAGGTGACTTCACGGACATATATATGACAACTATAATTAATAATATTGTATACAAATATTCAACATTGCTACTTACTGTCAATACAGTCTTTTTGTGAGATTTTGATTTTTTTCTTCTTTTTTCAACTTTATGGTAGACTGGGTTGTGGTTGAAATTACTCTCAGAAGAATACATTGCCCAAAAAAGGATGTGTAGATATATGTATGTATATATTTGAACATGTGTCTTGATGATGATATTATTTGGAAAGACGACATGGATTTTTGTGCTGTATCCCTAAAACAGATCTGTAAATAGTTTTTGAACTGCTATGGCATGATTGTCAAAGATTTTTGTTGTTTAATGTGTAAATAATAAGACAGAGCCTAAATTGTGACAGTTTCTGTTCCACAAAATTTTACTTGTTTGTTTTGAATTATTTAAAGAAAAACAAACCAAGTCGTTTTTACAAAGATTGGCATTGTTTCAGCTCAGCAGTTTTCATGTTTACTCCAATAAAAGAAATTTGTGCATTTAATATAGACAACAATTTGTTTGAGAATAGACATCTTTCAACATCTCATGATGCCATCTTCAGTATGAACGAATAGATATATAAATAATGATTATAATGATTTGTGTATTTATAATTTATTCATTCATTCTGAAGGTGGCATCATAAGGATGAGAATAGAGATGTCGAAACATGTCTATTCTCAAAAAAATCATTGTCTATTTTAAATGCACATTATTAATAGTGCTTTTATGAATTATAAAAAAATTTGTTTGAATTTTATGAATTTCTGACAAAATAATTTCTTGCTCGAAGAATGTTAAAGTCATTTAAGGCTATCTCTGCACTTCAGAGTTTATTTATTAACAAATTTGGTTTTTAATAGTGGCTTGGGTGTTGGATATGCAAGCTGTTTCCCTGTTCATCTGCATGTTTGAGTCTAAATGTGTGAGGTAATTAACCCGTAAATTTTGTAACTTATTTAATTACTTTTGGAAGTATAATCATATTAAGACTAAGTTGTCATAAGAGCTGGAAGATTTAGCCAATTGACCATACACAGTTAATTGACCTATTATTTTATTGCACAATAAAGAAATTATTTATGTAACTTTTGATGCTTCATTAGAACAAATGAACCATTGACAAATTGGAATAGGGGGTTTCTCTCTAAAAAGCATCAAAAGTTACATAAATAAGTTCTTTATGTTAAAATATGATCTAGGGTTGATCTAACAACAACTCCAGAATACCAGAAAATATTAATTTAATCAAATACTAATCATTGTTCTATTGTCAACCACAGGGACTGCAGATAGTTGATAATTGTTGATGGAGGTGCTAATATTCATATATGCATGTTGTACTTTATTAGTTTCTATTGATATCAATTGAGATTACAGATTATAACTTATGAATATATGAATACCCCGAATATCAATGTTCTTTGATACCTGTGGTTTTTTGTTATTCACTGGAAATTGGAAAACAATTATTGATATTACTTTTTAATAAGATAATTTGGCAGAAAATATTTTCATATTTCTGATAGACAAATGTGTTTAGATTACTGTGGAATAAGTAAAATGGGAACTCCGACAATTTCAACTTTTCATTTTCCTTAAATTATAATCTAGGATTCTAACACATTAATCATTATAGTCATTCTAGCAATTATTAATTGAGAGTTTATTTTAGTTATCTATCCCAAAATTTTTCACATAGGTGTATGATATACTTTTTTCCATGATGACATTCATGTGCGAAAATAGCTAATTCCGCGCCTCAAAAATGTTGAGTTAAATGAATAATTGGTAGTTATTTTATAATTAAAACCAATTAAATCCATCAATGAAGTTCAAGTAAATGATTCACCGAATTTCACAGTTCACTCGTGGAAACATAAAACAAAATGGCGGAATTAATAAACTTTGTTTCGAAAAGTGCATTAGATGCTGAGAAATCCCAAAAGCGAGTAGAAAGGGCCAAAGTTTTACGAAAAGTAAGTTTTTTGTAAAGTATGTTTCTGTATAGTATGTTTCCACATGCAAATAAGAACATGACTTACACTAAATGATAACACTCAGCTTAACCCTCCTATTACAGTATTACCTATTTACCTTTTTTCCTATTTAAACGTCAATAACCTATAGACTTTTAGAGCTTGTTTACAATATTTTCATCCGATTAATGCTGTTGTCTCTCACTTATATTACCTGGGAGCTGCATATTCACTTAGCCAGATTGCATGGGTAGTTTTTATCTTTTTATGTTGGAGCGTTGGAGTAATCGGTAATTAAGTAAATGGTTTGAACCCGGGAGTATCGTTACATGTTTGTAAATGTAGATCGTCCAGGTTGGTATAGTCCTGAGAAGGACTGTTTTTGTTGTTGTTGACTGACGTTTCGACAACCTTAGCGGTAGTCATCTTCAGAGTCAAAATTTTTATCGAAACGTCAGTCAACAACAACAAAAACAGTCCTTCTAAGGACTATACCAACCTGGACGATCGACATTTACAAACATGTAATTGATAATTGTTGTACAATGTATTTTTGTTTGATTTTTAAATCTTTTACCATATATTAAATAATCAGGCCAGAGAGGAATATGAAAGAAAGGAACGTATTTTAGAAGAAAAAAGAAAAAGAGGCGAAGATGTGTGGATTCTGCCATCTGTAGCTAGTCGTCTGTCACCTGACGCCAGCAGTAATGAAAGAGAAGTATAAAATTTGATGTACCTTGATTTTACTGCCTGTTAATATCACTTAATTTTGATGTTTGTTGAGGTGCTTGTGTTGTGCTTTACTTTGATCAATAAATATTAAAAAAATAATTGTGAACTGTTTAAACATTCCCTTAAACCAGACTGGAAAGTTTGTAAGCTGCACACCCTAGATTCGAAATGTGCAAGCATAAAAGTATTGTTTTCTAAAAGCTGCATACTTGAAATCTTGGGTGTGCACTACAAACTTTCAATTCCGGACCATAAATTGATTCTTCAAATTATAACTATAAGTGACACGAAACTTACGTATGCATGTTTGAAGCATACTTGAGGGAATACTTTAACAATGGATGGATGCTGCAATTTGCCCACTTTTCTTGCACAATATAAATTAAACATAACCAAGAAGTCGATATTTGTTTGTGAAACAGCCATGATCAGGCCTAAACGCCATTTTTAAAATAATTTTCTTACAAAATGAAAAAAACACACCATTTTATTTTGCTTTTCAAGACTTCAAGCTTTTCAAAACACTTTGGAAGATGCAATTTTAACACAAGATGATTAGAACATTCAAAGGAATGAGAATTGCCGTTGGCTACATGAATTTTCTTTATGTTCATTGTGTGATTTAAGGATGAAAAGCACTCAACGAAAAGAAAGAAAAGCAAAAAGGACAAGAAGAAGAAAAAGAAAAAAAGGCATAAAGTATGAAATGATAATGTTTTTTTGTTCCATATTTTTTAGTTTGTTGTGTGACATGTACCTTTCTTATTTCAAGAGTGATTCAGAAGAAGATGAATGGGTTGAAAAGAATCCAAAAGGTGTGAAGGATGATGTTTCTGCAGGAAACGTTCAGGTGATTATGATTGCATCCTGTTTTATTTGCTTTTAAAATTTCATTTGCTTGTTTTAAAAAGTAAAAACTTTTAAAAATATTTTAAACATTGTGCATTTGTAGCGCGATTCATGGATGCTACTCCCCATATCACGTGAGATCAAGCCAAAGCAAAAGGAAGCAGAAATTAAAAAAGTTGAACCATCTTCAGTAATGGAGGTAAGACCTGAATGGGATGGGGGGGTGGTGGTTAAGCTTTGACAATGTTTCAATATTTTGTATGTTAATAGCAAAGTACTTGTTTAGAGGGTTAAAGATGGTTGAAGCTATTTCATTTTGGCAAAATAAAAGTACTTGCCAGCCTTTTACTGAAATCAAAGTTATTAAACCTTTTCTCATTTTGTTCATAGAAAAACTCTCAAGTCAACACATATTTGCTTCATGGTTGATAAAATGGATGACATGAAATTTTGCATTTTTTTCTTAAGATAGGTCAACATCCACGAGAGCTTAACCCGTACTGGAGAAAAGGTGGAAGTGGGCTGCCATCACAAAATACAACAGACGAGGGTAAAAATACGCATACGTTCTTCACTCGAACTTTTAAAATTTTTTTTGCAATTTGCAACTTCATTTCTTCATACTCTATTATTTCAGTGCTTAATTCCGCTGGTAATCAAAATGGTTTAAAAGAGCGTACGAACGAGCTAAGCAGCAAGCTGAAGACGAGGGAAGATCATTGACCGATGTGGCTGCTGAAAGATGGGGGGTATATTATATTCATGATTTGTTGTAACACATGAATTTTTGACTTTCTTGGTGTTATGAAATGAACGACACTGTATGTGGTATTGTTTTTTTTTCAATGTTCTTTGTAGTCTTTGGAGAAGCTAAAACGTCTTGCGTATGGTGATGATGAATTAGAAAACAAGTGAGAATATTTTCATTTAAAATTTTGAATAAATATTGAAAAATTCTCGTGAGGTCTTGCGCCAATGCGCGGTTTAGCGCTGCGGCGCTTATTTCATTTTCCCATTTTGAATGCGGCTCTAACATAACCACGAGCGGCTAATAGCGCGTTCAGACTGAGTGCCGGAGTACGATACCCTGGTTCGGGCACAAATCTGCAGGCCCTTTACATTACGTAGTACGCACTAGCTTCGCCTATTTATAATTTCATGTTTTTCATTGTAAACAAGTTTTGAAACCGTGTGCTGAATACGTGCCTCTTTGAGCGGCGCTAAAGTAACTTTAGCACGTACATATTTACTGTTATTGTAATGTAATGTTCACTTTATGTAAAACATTTTCATCTGGGAGACAAATTGTTTTAAGACAAAATGTTTTGTTTCTGGTACTAAGTCATTGTTGAACTTTTCTTTTCCAAAGATGTAAACCGTACTTTCTCATTGATGGAAACTATCATACAACTTGAAACAGTTTAGTAAAAGTTCATGGAAACAATGTGTTCTTTGTTTTCGAATAGTGAACCTAAATTAAGTTCGATGAAATGGAAGCAAAAGGAATGGGCAAAGGACAAGGGTCCAAGGTGAGTAAACCTGGGAAAAATTATTGTTTTTAGTGGAAATATATTTGTTTTTGGAAAAATATATGAGTAATGAAAATAGTGTGATTATTATGAGTAATTATGTGTATTAGTTATGAGTAATGAAAAAAGTGACGTTATTTCCAGACAATTGAAACAAATGAACACCACAAATTAAGAAATTTACTGCCAAACAAAAATAACTGTAAATATAACCTGAGAAGTAAACATAAATATAAAGTTCCGCTTGCTCGCACCAACAGAGCGAAGAATTCGTTCATCCTGTCCTTGTGTACATAAAGTTACACAAAAGTGGCCAGGTATGGAGTTTTCTTTGTCTCTGTTGGTGTTAGCGAGTACCATTTTTATAATTGTAAATTTAATAAATGTAAATACCTTGTAAAATTTTATTGTATTTTAGATATTAGATATTATTTGTTATTGTAACTTTACTAATTTAGATATTTGTAATTCAGCTGCAAGGCTGCAATTAATATTTTAATAAGCTACTTACTTACTTACACTTACGAGTGATAGTTTTAAGAATCGCAGACGTAAGGACTTGCTTATGGAACTGGTTGACTCTTATACCGTTTATGTGAATTGGGCTTAAAACAGAAAAACAAATTCTGAAAATATATAGTTGGATAAAAAAGCTGCGTCTTAAGGTCTTTTTTATATTGTAAATATATTTTTATTTTGGCGAAGTAGGGTTTGGTTTTTTTGGTTATGGATGCCTAATGGGACTTGTATAGTATTGATGTAGAAAATTCCTTTAAGTTTACTTTAAGACACGACGCAGCGCAATAAATTTGCTCACTTATCAACATGCTATTCAGTAAATACTTACTATTTAGATCGTCCATAGCAACATTGATGAGGCGACCTAAAGATGACGATGATCAAACATGTCCAACAAAAGTACGCGACATGAAGTATGAGGCTTATCGACGTGGGGAAACAAAGTGTTCAGGTAGCCATGCTTGGCTAAAGATTTTTGCTCAAAGACATGACACGAGATGAAATGGGCACGTGATCGCCCATCATGTTGTAGCCTATGACCAGTGAAAAAACAAGCACTTTCAATTTAAAATCAATGCGATAAATAATCGACAACTAAAGTAATTTATCGGCAATATTTATCATATGGCTATTGCTTTCTGTCCAATTTTCACAAACCTTTTGGGAAAAGTAGAATGTGTTACAAAGCCACTTCTGAAACAATGACAGGAAGACAAATTGATGAACAAATTATGGCAACTAATATTTACTGATAAATACTCGCAAGTATGATCAGAGCAATGCTCCTCTTGATGCTTTGAGATATATCACATGTTGCTTTATGAAACAGCTGGGGTCTTATTGTACTTGCATGACTACCCTAATCATCTGATTTAAATTTTATTTGAACTATGAAAGTGAAAGAGTACCTTCATAGAAATAATCTAAGACTGTCCAAATGAAAGGGTTTTTTGTTTCATCCTGAAGAATGAATTAAAATCACAGTCTGTCATGATCTGGGTGTACATATGGGATATTGCATGTCTGTAATTTCATATGTTTTGAACTCAAAACGTGTCTTTGTTATATGAACAGGAAGGTGGAGGAAAAGAGAGAAACAAAGTGATTTCACAAAAAGTAGAAGCTCTGAGTCTACTAGTAAGAAAACTTATTTAGAAGAAAAGGAATTCAATTCCGAGAAAAAAAGTAATCTTGATGTCCAGAGCTCTAGTTCTACATCGTCATCTGAAGAAGAAAATTTGAAAGAGGAAAAATATGCGAAAGTAGATGAAGACGTTAAGGATGTCATGATTGCCAAAGTAGTGACTGAAGCAGATCTGAATGTGCTTGGTGCAAAGCGTCTAAAGGCTGAACTCATGGGAAACGAGGTATACGTTTATGAAAGCGAGATAGGAGCATTTCGGTGGTTGACAACTACTCATATTTAGCGAACTGTTATTGAGAATAAGTAATGAAGGATAAACGCCTTTCATCTATCTTTTATCCCATTCATTCTCAAGTTCAATTTTTCATAAAGGAATTGGCCAATGAACTGGAGCTCAAACTTAAGAATATGCGCGAAATTAAAGAGAAACAAGATCAACGTGGAACTGGGAAAAATCTAATCGACAGAAATGATTCGAATAATGTCGTAGTATTAACTAGAACAGATCGTGCTGGTAATGTTAGGCCACATGGAGAATATAGTATAAACAGAAAGAAAAGTGGAAAACGAGAAAGAAGAAGGAAGGTTAGTACTTTAACTTATGTTTCCGTACTGCTACCGATAACCCGTTTAGCGGTTATCTTTATAAAGCGATGTATGAAATTTCAATTCTTTTTAGGTTTCAACGCATGACGAGGAGGGTAAACGAAGTAGATATTTCTATGACGACGATGAGCATGATCTTAAATCTTTGGTGAGTCTAAAGTTTTGTTTTTTACATTTCATGTAAAAATATTTGATGCATCTTTTTGTTGATGATGTATCTGCATTAGATTGCTCAAGAAAAAACGAACACCACCTTCGATCAAATATCATCTTACGTCAAATTAGCCGCTCAAAAGGTAATTCTATCTCTGTCTTCAGAATAATTTCGTCTTCTGCCATTTTTTCACGTGCGTAGCTGCCTAAGAATGAAACTTAAAATCTGTGCACTGTATGATTGATAAGATACTTTTTAAAAAAACAAATGGCAAGTTTCATCTTCCACTAGATCGTTGCGTGTGCCTTACTGTAGCTCATCGATAAGCACTTTATTTATTATATCTTTATTGTTAAAGTGGGAATTGTTTTACAATTTGAATTGGATTCTTATTGGATTAACGTCCGAAAAAAAAACCATTCCTGCGATCCAAAACGCCTATCACAAAACACGTCAAGGTCACGTGAGAGAGCTTAAACTAGCTCATCCACTAATTGACCTATTTACATATTTTCCTTTCTTTTGTAATATGATATAAGTCTTGGCTTGAACTTGAAGCTTAAGTTAATGAGATTCTTTCTTTCCTTAAAAGCTGGGTGGACAGTTTGATCTGGATGATAAATTTGAATCTGCAGCTGCCACAAAGTTTACTCCTGAAGAACTAGAGCAAAAATCTAGACAGAAAGCTATACGTGGTAAGATGACTTTTGAAATTCATGAAAATGCATTCTACTGTATGAGGTCTAAAGTTGACTTTTACGACAAGTTCTTGTACCATTTAACGGTCGGCAAATTTTATTCAATGATTTATATGTCGCCAACATCTGCCAGTGTTACTCGGAATGATGTTTTGGTTAATGTCAATTATAAAATAAACACAATGAAACGCGTGCGCTGATTGGTCTAGAGCTGTGTTAGCATTAGCCTGTGCAAAGCACAATTGAGCTCAGCCAATCAAATCAATCAAAACAATCAATCAGTCAAAGAGAATTTGCAAATCGATCACGAATACATTTTAGAGGAAAAATTAACGATGTTTATTGTGTTTGCACTGGCTTATGCAAACCTCGGAGACGTTTGTGAGAACTCTCAAGCAGGTGCAACCCTCGACCTTCGTTCTCGGGCTTGCACTGATCTGCTCTCGAGTTCTCCCAAAGGTCTCCTCGGTTTGCATAAGCCTGTGCAAACACAATAAACATCTTTTATTTCTTAACTGAAGACGGTTTGAATTGGTTTAACCAATGTTGTTGTTACATTGTTGCAAAGATAGAACCGTGTAACAGTGAGTTCTGCGATAAAAAAACTTGTTTGAATTTATTTTTTGTATATAATACTCTAGTTTTGTACATATTTCAGAACATCAAAAACTCTCTGCCCAAATGGACAACTGTAAATTTTGCTTGGACAGTCCAGAATTTGCAAAACATCTCGTTATTGCTATTGGGTTAAAGGTATCCGATTATAACATTTCACTATTTCAGTCCGACATCACTTTGGTCCTCCTTTTTTTCTTTCATTATTCAATGCTTTAATGCTTTATCACGCCGTCATATATATGTCAAAAATGTGTAAGCAACAAAAAATAAACGAAGACGAAGTCAATAATGCATGAATGTCTACGTCTCCACTCTACTGTACGAACATGTCTAGTTCGTTTTCTCTTATTGTTATGTGTTCCTGGTTAACGACTTACTTTATGAAAGATTTTTCATTTATAACATTAAGGTCTATCTTACTCTACCCCTGAACCAATCATTGACTGATGGTCACTGTTTACTTGCTCCCGTCATGCACCATGTTGCCGCCACGATGATCGACGAAGATGTATGGAGTGAAATTAAGGTTGGTTTATAACTTATTAAAGCGATTTTTTTTCATTCGAAGAAGGTGTTAAACAAAATACTCATTATATAGCAATTGGTTCTAGGCAGCTGTATTCGTTGTTTGCTTGCTTTTATGAAGAAATTTTTTGAAAAGAACTATTCATCCAAAAGCTGGAAGAAAATTCAATAATTCAATCTCTCATTCACAGAATTTCGGACTCACTAGCTTGATTTTTGAAATTTCAGGTATTCAAGAAAGGTCTTGTGAAGATGTTTGAGGAAATGGTGAGTAGAAAGACAGCGCTTGCTTGTTAAAAATACGAAATAAAGTAATGGAAGGCACCAATACACGCCTTGCACATTACCAATACATGTCTTGCACATTACGTGACATCCAGACGCGTCACAGTCAGGGCACTACTAAGTTGGACATTGTTTAGGGTAAAGACGTGATATTTATGGAAATGTATCGAAATGTCCATAGACAACAACATATGTCAATCGATTGCGTGCCAGTTGATAAAGAAATAGGTCACATGGCACCGATATATTTCAAAGTAAGTACTGTTAATACGTAAAATCCATGCGTTTAAGGTTGTCATCTTGTTCAATCGTCATATATATTTATGCTGATTTCTATTCAGAAAGCGATACAAGAAATGGATTCGGAATGGTCTCAGAACAAAAAACTTATTAACATAAGGGAAAAAGGCTTGCGTTCGTCGGTATGCCAAACAGTAATATTGATGAACCCGTTCAAAATAGAGAATTGAAGTTGATTGTTTATGTTTCAGATACCAAAGGGTCTTCCGTACTTTACCGTTGAGTTCGGTCTCGACGGAGGTTATGCACACGTTATAGAAAATGAGGAGATGGTGCCTCACTATTTTGGAAAGGTAAATTTACTGACTAGAGAAATTTGCTTCTTTATTAGCATAAATAGTACCCCGAATTTTAAATTTTGATAAATTTAGACAATTATTTCTTTTGCTGCCATAATTTCTTTAATATTTTTTTACTAGCGTGGATAGTCACATGGGATGAATTTGTATGTATGCGTGTGTGTGTGTGTGTGGGGTTGATCTAGTTTAGATTAGATTCTTATTCTGTTAATCTTATACCATGGTAAGTTTGCTCCTCTTACCACTAATCACAAACGCTTTACATAAATCGGTTGTTCATTTTGTCACCAGGTACCTAATTTACCAATTTTTGTTTCAGGAAATTGTCGGTGGAATGCTAGAGTTGGAGCCTTTCCTTTGGAGAAAACCAAGAAAAGAGAATTTTCAAACTCAGAAAAAGAAAGTGCTACAGTTTGCTGAATGGTGGAAGCCATTCGATTGGACACAAAGGATAGATAAAAAATAGATTTTTTGCTGATGAAGTCATTTGATAAGGCGGCAAAGAGTATCGTATCATTAATTACGGATGATTGCAGAGCGCAACATTTTAATCAAGCTCTGCGCAAGTGTTGCTGGGAAAGTTGACTACGCAAATTCCAAACATCCACTCCAAATGGGTTGCGAAATCAAAAAAATTTATTCGAATAATTAACATGATAAAACACTTGCTCAAATTATCTCTTGTACATTGCTAATATAGGATATATGTTTACTCTTCCTGATAGCGAACGCCCCGCGAAACTTTTAATCTTGTTCAATACGTAGCGTCACATGCCATTATATGCTGGTCCTTCACCGCCCTCTGGCACAACCCAATTTATGTTCTGACTGGGATCTTTTATGTCGCATGTCTTACAATGAATACAGTTCTGGGCGTTTATTTGTAGCCTCAATCCGTCCCCGACCTCCTCTGGCACGTATTCGTAAACACCAGCTGGACAGAAACGCTGCTCTGGGCCGTCAAATATTGCGAGATTTTTATCAACCGGCACGCTGTCGTCCTTCAAGGTCAGGTGAGCGGGTTGGTCGTGATCATGATTTGTACCAGTAAGTGCAACAGACGATAGCAAATCAAATGTCAATTTCCCGTCGGGTTTCGGGTACTCGATCACTTTAGACTCGGTTGCAGGTTTCAATGAGTTATGATCGGTGTGTTTGTGTTTGAATGTCCAAGGCTCTCGCCCGCGTAATAAATAATAAACAATACCTGTGTAAACAATACCACCGTATATACCTAACTTGGTGTTGAATGACGGCCGTACGTTTCGCACTTCATTCAGTTCATCGTAGATCCAACTGTTGCGTATAGCATCGTCAAAATTTCGCAAATATAAACCTACATGAGAAAAAAACCACGAATTTCAAGATATGCGTGTGCGTAGCAAACTCCCAAAGAGGCGATGTTTCGTTAGACAGACTTGACCCCAGCAACAAATGTATAATTACATGTTTGTAAATGTAGATCGTCCAGGTTGGTATAGTCCTGAGAATGACTGTTTTTGTTGTTGTTGACTACAAACAACAAAAGCAGCAAGTCAAACAACAAACAAACAACAACAAAAACAGTCCTTCTCAGGACTATACCAACCTGGACGATCTACATTTACAAACATGTAACGATACTCCCGGGTTCAAACCATTTACTTTAAATGTATAATTGTTGGGAAACTATTATTGACCTGCAATTCAGCCATGTTGGTGTGTAATGAAATAATGATATCATGGATACAACATGATGTACGTTGGAGAACGGTATGATGCTGATTGCAAGTCAAATATTGGATTCGGACCACATTCTTCCTTCCCCGAAAAAGTACGAGCCAAAGATAAGATAAACTAAGCCAATATATATTCCAAAGATTAGCTGAGAAATCTAAAAGTAGGAAGTGAATATAAAGTAGGAAGCAACCTGTATCCGGTTTTCCCGTAGGGTCAATCCGACAACAGTTATAAACACTAACTAATTAATTGCTACTTTAACTTACAGCATTTCAATAATTGTACTTTATATTACCTCCAACTAATCATAAACCTCGTTCACATAGATAGAAACAGTATCACTCTAGTTAATCACTCTAGTTATTATATTTTACCTTGTGTATCGCATTCGTCGTTGTTCGTTAGTGCTTCAAAAGCACATTCGGCGGCAACTATTCCACTTTTCATAGCGTTGTGTGTTCCTTTCACCTTGGGTACATTCATAAAACCAGGGCTACATCCAATCAACGCACCACCTGGAAATGCGAGTTCTGGTATGCTCTATGAAAAACAAATACTTCAACAACGAAAAATTGGTTATTAAAGTTATCATAATTCATCGAATTCCCGCAATCTTTTTGTGCATCCGACATCCTTTTCAAAAAATTCGTAAAAGTATCAATGTTGGTAAAACCTATTCATACCTGTAGACCACCTTCATTTAAAGCGCGGGCACCGTAACCTATTCTTTTCCCGCCTTCCAATGTCTTTCGAATGTGGGGGTGCGTTTTTAACAACTGAAAAAAAAAGCGCCGAGTGCAACATGTCTTACCATCTTACGTATTGAAGTTGCTGAGCAAACTACCTGAAATTCTCTAAACGGGCTAAGATACGGGTTCTTGTAATCCAAACCAATCTTAAAACAAACAAAACGTCATTTCCATCGCGTTGTTAGTCCCCTAATTTCAAATGATAATGCAGTTCTGGCATTTATTTACCACGTATCCAATAGAAACAAGTGGTCCTTCGTCTAGGTGATAGAGAAAAGAGCCACCGTATGTATTTTTATCCTACAAGAAATTTACCAATCAACTTTTATCGCATCAAAGAAAATTAGTTCGAGCCCGATGTGTGTGGACGATAAAATTATCAACAAGAAATCAGACGGCTACCCTAGAAGTTAGGTATATACGTATCAATTTCGTCGTTTTAAAACGAGTCGAAGTTAAGTGACAGTAATAGTTGAAGTACTTCGATAAAAAAAAAACACTACGAAACGTACCATTGGCCACCCACATGTATGCTCAACAAAGCCCGGTTGGTGATTTGCTGGATCAATTTCCCAAAGCTGAAACATTTGTTAATATAAAAACTCTATAAAGTAAATGTTTCGAACCGGGATTATCGTTACATGTTTGCAAATGTAGATCGTCCAGGTTGGTATAGTCCTGAGAAGGACTGTTTTTGTTGTTGTTGATTGACGTTTCGACAACCTTAGCGGTCGTCATCTTCAGAGTCAAATGACTCAGGACTATACCAACCTGGACGATCTAAATTTACAAATAAAAACTCTCTGTAACTTTTGTGGTCTCGTTCCATTCTTCAGCACGAGTTGTCATACCCGTGATAGTAACTAACATTACAATTTCTGTTTCAGCGCGCACTTTCATATTTTGACTTACAATTTAGGCGTACGAACCTCTTTCAAGCCAATGCCATATGTCTGATGTTGGCAATTTCTACGCAGGTCGTACTTTGGAAACAACGTTTTTGCCAGATGACCGTGGCATCCTTCACCAAACATGGTTAATTTTGCGTGAAACTCCATTCCTCGCTCAAACGTTGCCTGAAAAAGTGAGAAACACATTCCGAATTCTAGTAACCAGCATCATATAGAAATAATCAGTACCAGTGGATACGTAGGGATACGTAGGGATACGTAGGGGTAGGTATATGTAAAGGTACGTACGTCGAGTTCAAATTTCACTTAAATAAATACTTTAATCAGTAAAACGTGAATGGGTATTAATTGGGATGGATGACATTAAATTCTATAACAATGCAACAACCAAAAACAGCAATGGTTTATCGTTGATATTAACGTGCAGTGACAAAAGTAATAGAAAAGTTGATATCTTCCACCGAGATCTGTCAATCCTCGACAATAATGTTGTACACACGTCATTTTTCAGCAGTAAAAAGATCAAAACTTCAGAGGTATTTTAACATGAATACAGCAACGTCCCAAAAAATGTGTCAAGATATTTTGCAATTTTAGCAGTCAGAAGCTTTTACGAGAGGTGGATTAAAGCAAGTTTTCATTAATTCGATAGGAAAAAGTTTTCATTGAGACGATCATCATTCAAAGACCAGATTAAAAAGACCTAACTGGACCTTGGGAGCGCCATCTTTATGAATTCCAACGTCGTTCGTTGCCACTCCTTTGACACTACCATCGTCGTGATACAAAACCTAAAACATGAAATGTATTCCTATTTTGAAATTCCGAAAACCCGAGTTCACAGGAAAGAACCCTGTACATGCATCAGAAATTTGTCTTCGCAAAAGAATCAAGGTCAAGTGGACGTAGACCCAGTTAAATCAATCACGTAACAATTAAATGGTAAGTAATATACAGATAATGGCAAAGTGTGTATACGTTCAAAGTGATATTTTTGTTATCAGGTAAGTTATAGAGAAAGATAAATACGGAGTCAACGTACAGTGATGTTTGAAGGCAACAACATACGTAAAGTCAAAAATGAATAAGCCAAAGAATGAATATACGTATGTTTGGTTACTTAACTATCACAAACACAAACCATCACTAGAACCCACACAATCCTGCTAGCATATCATAATAAAACCATCAAAGATGTGAAAAATGTTACCTCACTTGCAGCAAAACCTGGATAAACTTCGACACCCAACTCCTCAGCCTGCTCTCCCAACCAGCTTACAAAATTACCAAGACGAACAATGTAGTTTCCGTGATTGTTCATTGGCATACCTCAAAATTAACAGCTAATTAACTATGCACATTTAGGCACTTTGTAGTAAACAGTTTGTTGTGCCAGTTTAATGTTTTTGCTGGAATAGTCAAACAATTCCTTGATACAGTGTAAATGTTCTCTGCTTGTTAACCTTACAATTTTTAGACTTGTGACCACAGCAAAGTCTGTATTTTACTATCATGAAATACATAAACACATTCCACATTTTACCTGGTAAAATTGGCAATGGTATTCTGTAGTTCTTTGTAAGAAATGAAAACCTATCCCCAGTTACTTTTGTCTTCAAGGGGGCCTTGAGAAAAAAATGGTTTGATAAGACATGGTATTTTCACAAAATATCAACTGTAGTATGGAGTTATATAAGTATAAGGGTTTTAGTGAACGAACAGCCAGGCCCATATTGTCTAACATTAGCAGTTTCAATAGATTTCAGTTGTTTTGGTTATGTACGGTTCTAGAACTTACTCCCTTTTCCTGCCAATCAGGAATTAGTTCATTCAAAGCACGAGGCTCAAGACATGCTCCGGACAGTGTGTGCGCTCCTATATGCAAAAACACTGATAAATACCTACATGATATGCAATCCAAAAGTAAATATGTCATTGATAAATTTTCAACCATATCATTCAATCCTTAAACAACCATATTAATTCTGCAACAATATAATCCAAAGGTCTTTCTCAATAATAAGTTAAGACATCAGAACAAAGCTCAAGGATGGAGTTCAATGATTGAATGGCCAGCTAATTTGTAGCAATGGAAAAACTTTCATCAATATATAGGTAGCTTAGGTTTTTCAAATACCAATTTCTGGTGCCTTTTCCAAAACACAAACACGGATTTCTTTTTCCTCTTCATTGGCCAACTGTTTTAATCTGATTGCAGCAGACAAACCAGCTGGTCCTCCTCCAACAATGATCACATCCGCTTCATCTGCAAACCTTTCCATTTCAACATCTAATTAAATCAAATATAATCATCACTATCCTTTCATGATATATTGGTATATATTTTCAAAACTAGTTGCTTGCCCAAATGCTTGCTTACTCAACATGCTACCTTTCTCCTTATACCATCATCAAAGAAATTAACCTTGCACAAATCATATTCTGAACCATATTCCTCCCTATACCTTCCTTTACCCAACACTGGAAAGTTTGTAAACTGTGCACCGTAGGTTGGAAAATAATGTGCATAAAAGCCTAGTTTTCTAAAATATTGCACACACAAGTTCTTGGGTGGGCTGTAAAAAACTTTCCAGTCTGGACTTTCCCAGTATACTTTTACAGATACAGAGGGTTTTTGCTAGTTGAAACTATTTCCTCCACGGTACACAGATCTTTCCAGAAAACAAATAAACATCAATAAATGAAATTAAAAGTATGAACCACGAAAGATTATTTACAGTTATTTTCACTGTAAAATTGCAAATAATTGAGAAAACGTCGAAAAATTTCATTACGAAACAAAACAAAATCGTGAACACCAACTGTTATTACATGACATCATCAACTACAACTTGCTGACTCAGACTCCTCTGGTCGCGGGCAAGATACAGTCATATAAATCTTAACTAATAAAATCAATAATTCCCATAAATGAAAGATAAAATGCAGCAGCATTAAAATCGTTTACCTTTCCATCGAGGATCGGACTCACGGGGGTAAATCGTATAGTGAGTTGTAATTTTTGAACGACCTTTGACCGAAGTACATTTTTGTCGATGCCAACGACAAGCTTGGGGAAAAATAATTCAAACTATTGACAAAAATTCAAATGCTTTATATAAGAAGTGAAATATTGAAATACCTTTTAATATATTTCTTCTTAACATCAAAATTTTGTGCCAAATTCTGTCTTCTTCACGCAATTATTTGATTGTGTAACGTTATTACACGTTATAGAGTGGCCAAACAACAACATAATGAGCCCACGTCAAATCCAAGTCATTACTAGGCAGCGGTCACAGCGTCAAATCAGTTAATTAAATAGAATTAAATCACAAACCATTGATATTTACAGTACATCATATAATCGACAAAGGATATTTACTTCTTAAAAGAAATGCGTCTTCTAAAGGAGAGAACAAAATAATTTGGCTGACGAAATTTATTCGTAGAAGTCGGCATAATCATTAATGAAAATTCATCAATGGCAATCAATCCAAATCAAGAGATAAATGTCCGGTCGGCAACTAGTGCCCTGTATCAATTATGGCGGTCAAGTCATAAAAAATTTAAGCCATTTTAATCATTTTAGAAGTTTTTTTAACAAGTTTGAACGATCATGATGATATGGCGTTACCTTCTTGTTTCAATAGCTGGCGAGTTTGGCTAAAGCCTTTAGCAGTTATAGTCTATATTCTGCTATTGTGTATATCCGTGCCTTTATGTATATGGGAGCTACATAACAGAAGGGCAAGAACTCACACCCAAGCATGCTTCATTGGCGCTATATTTATGTTCTTCACTATAGGGTTTGCGATTGCTGGAATCATTCAACATCTGCTCAACTACACGAAGCCCCATCTTCAAAAATATATTCTTCGGTAAAGGATTTAGAATGATTTTTAGAATTTTTGTGTGAATGAATGATCAATTATCGTCATTTGCTTTTTGTGATTGATTTCCTAAAAGTTATTGACAACGGATTGCAGTTTGTTTATGAAAAGATCACTGATATACGTTGCAGTTTGAATCCTTTAATTTTCTACCGCTGGCAGCTCCAAAATCGTTTTAAAGCGGAACTGTGATTTCAAATTCTCTGTTTCCTTCTTCACGAGCCTGGAAGGTCTTCTACTTCACGTAGATTTCCATCTTTCAAACTTTTAAACGAATAGAGATTCAATTTGATTATCATTTGTAGCCCCTTTGTTTTTTTTTGTGTTGATAATTTTGCTAGCCTGATAGTGATGGCATTTTTCAAAACTAAAGAGTAATGTTGAGCTTTAGAAAATATGCAACCTGGGCAGGTTGCACAAAGCCTGGAAGCGTCATTCATTGGATAGTAATTTTCCAAACTTGTGAAAAAGGTGGTTATACTTTATATATGATTATGAAACTTGGTAATTATAGAAACAATATTGTATTTTATCAATTGTTTATTTGAAATCATAGATTTTTATTTTTCAAGAAATTTTTGAAGCATTCAAAAATATTGCTAACCAGTGGATAGCACTATCCAGGCTTCTTGCAACCAACCCCTGGCCTCTAGGCAGGGGTGCAAGTTGAGCTTGTCGTGGCTGAATAGGCTTATCTGCCCCATTTCCTGAAGAATCAAAAATTCCTTTTGAGGGACTCCAAATTTAAAATACTTCACTAACTCCTTAGATGGGGCTATGCGTTCAGTGTTGGACATTATATTCCTCCAAAACTTCAGGTCTGTCCGTTCCACTGTCTTTGGGCACTAAGCTATGGCTCTGTAAGTGCTTACCCAACATGAGTGAGCTAAATTAAATGAAGATATGATCTTCGCACGTTTGCTGGACAATTTAAGCAATTGTCTCATGAACCTGAAAAATTCAGGTGAGTCAACGGGATTGTCACCTGAATTTTTCAGGTTCATGAGACAATTGCTTAAATTATCCAGCAAAAGCGAAGATCATATCTTCATTTAATTCCAAACACCGCACTGCATATAATATTCTTTCATGAGTGAGCTATTAGAAACTATTGGTAAGCACTGATGACTTCATCTTTGAATTTATATGTCATGAATGCCCAGTTGCAAACTTTTATATTTAATTTAATTGCAAGCTCACCCAGTCAAATTTATTTATTTAATTTGATTGTAATTTATTTAATTTGATTGCAATTTATTTATTTTAATCTGATGTGATTTATTTGATTGCAAGCTCACCCAGTCAAATGTAATCAGATTTGTTAGATTTAATTTAACAGACAAGAAAGTATTCATTAAGTTTATTTTGCCATTTTTCAATTCTCTAGAATACTATGGATGGTGCCTATTTATTCTGTTACTAGTGTAAGTATAGCACATTTTAAAGTAAATTTTTCATGCAAATGTTTTGTATTCATTTTTGTGTACTAATTTTTGCGTGATGTATGTGCTGGAAAAACTTTTGCTATATACATGTTCATGAATTCACAACTTTAGACTTTAGTGACTTATTTTTCAAAGTACTTTTTTTGTTATTTTATTGATGTGATATTCCTTCATACTTTTTCCAACATTTGTTTAAACTATTAAATCTTGTCATTATGCTCACTCATCACATGAGAAAAGATGCATAAATTTTTTGTCGCCAATTTTTTGTTTGAAATACAACAGTGAATTTCGTTTAAGACTCCAGTCCAAAATGAATGAAATATTGATGAATGACTTTCATCATCCCGAATGCTCTCATAAATTTTTAAAAGTATTTGTAAATAGTAGATTTTGGGCTTGAGTGCTTTTCCTGTGACATTAGTTGGTACATTAATTGTCACTGACATCCATGATAAAATGAACAAACCTTATCATTGTTACCCTTTCAAGCATTGTTCGATTTTGTATTTGTGTACTACATTTTTCAAATGTGCAGTTTTTACGCTTATGTATGAACTTCCTCATACTCTCAAGTGTCAGCTGCTGCACTCTGAATGCAACTAATATAAAAGAGAATTATACTCCTCATTTTGACTGTTTTAGTGGTTAGCTCTTCGATTTCCTGAAGCTGCAATTTACTTGGACAGTGTACGTGAATGTTATGAAGCATTCGTGATATTGTCCTTTCTCGCTTACCTGCTCAGCTACCTACACGCGGAACATGAAGATTTTGAACGCGTTATGGAATCAAAACCCCAAGTTCATCATTTGTTCCCAATTTGCTGTTTACCTGATTGGAAGATGGGAAGGTGTGTGTTTTTAATGATGGAAGGTTCATTCCTATTTTGATTTAGTTTTAAGTTGTCTCCAGAACTGATATAACGTTCTTTATTAGACACTGAACAGTCTGTTTAGCAGTTAAATGCGTTAGGTAGCCAAGACTAATCCAATTGCTGCGAAAACTTTTTATGTAGCATAAAATTTATGGATAGTGATCGACATATCCGCCGAAATTCTTATATGATCTCATTTTTATCCTCTTAGAGAGTTCATCGAGAATTGCAAACATGGAGTAATGTCTTACACTGTTGTTAGAATTGCTACGACATTTGTCGCTTTGTAAGTATGGACTTATTTCCTCCTCGTTCCTTTTCTGATGATATGTTCTACAAACTGCCGATAGAAAATTAGCTAGTACTTAACATTGGAACTTTTAAATTGTTGGAACTTTTTTGAGTTGGTGTAATGGTTTGATACTTTCTCATGGCAGAACGCAACGTATTATCTAGAAATACACCGTTCTTACAATTTGCTTAATATTTATACATATTTACTTCAATAGCGTTACGGAACTCTCTGGTCACTATAACGAAGGAGATTTCGATTTCAAATCCGCTTGGTCTTACGTTGTTATCATTACAAACTTCTCGCAAATGGTGAGAGACGTAAATTTTAATAGTATTCTTATTCTCATCACGTTGACCAAGAGACATCAATTTTTTTTGGGGAGGGATCGGCACTTTATGAGCTATCAAATCTAGTTTATATGTGTGCAGAATAAGAATAGAGATGGTGAAAAACACTTCTTGCAAAATGGTGTCATAACGTAGCATAAATAAACTTAGCAATAGTTAGTTTATAACACATTGGGGTATTTTGTTTTTTGAGTCAGTCTTTAAATACACGATTAAAAATGAAATGAGACGAAAAAAACAACAATGGTCCAAGAATTCGAACACGTGCGTTAGTGCACTTGGCTGGATGACAATGTAGGAATGCATGAAGTATAAGTAAAATCATTTAGGGTTGCTGGATGGCCTGTCCCTAGTGTGATTGTTAGTTTGTTTCTGCGTGAACTGTCCTGCGATATCTTGTTTTCAACTCTGTGCAATATCAGAACATCACTAAAATCTAAACACGCACTTTTCCTCAAGTCACCTTCTTATCAGCTCACCACCCCCCTCCTTAAATTTTTTAGCACCACTCCAGAAAAATATGAAAATCCATATTTTGAAATATGAACTTTAGTCCCATTTGTTATTGACCAATTGCAATGTTTTGTTCATTATTTAGTGGGCTCTTTACTGCTTGGTGATATTTTATAAAGCTACGCGTAAAGAACTTCAGCCCATCAAACCATTTGGAAAATTTCTGTGTATTAAAATGGTCGTGTTCGCCACATTTTGGTGAGAAGAGGTCAAATAACCAATTACGTATCGTCTTATCGATTGTTGAAGATCTTTTTTTCTTTCTTACAAAGGCAGGCGGCTCTGATCGGAATCCTCGTAAAGGTAACGATGGGTGATTATAAACAACTCTCGATTTAAATAAATCATTCCGTTTTATCCTATGTATTTAAAATTATTGCCTCATATACCTATCTCATTTGTGGAATTGTGGATGTTGAGAAACGAGCGAAGTGTTTCATCAATTTTTGTTTTCATTCGTGAAGGCAGAAGTCATTTCCAGTGTGAAAACCTGGGAGTTTCATGACGTTGAAGATGTCTCTACTGGAATACAGGTATTTTTGAAAACACGGTTGTCCTTTCAATCTGGGGCGGGTTGCACGAAGCCTGGATAGCGTTATCCATTGGATCGTAATTTTTTAAAACTTTTGAAAAAGATGGTTATATATACGGTAATGAAACTTTGTAACGCAGTACTCAATGTATGTCAGCGAGCTCATTCATTTCTTTAGAACTTTTGCGTCTGTGTTGAGATGTTCATTGCTGCCGTAGCACATTATTACGTGTTTTCACACACACCTTTCGTTGATCCTGATGCTCCCTCGTATCCCTGTTGGGCTTCTTTCCGGTCCATGATAGATATGTCTGATGTCCGTGAAGACATGACGGAGCACGTGCTTGTAGTTGGACGCAGTGTCAAGGACACGGTGTTGAGAACAATTCCCCGTAAGGCAAATGAAAGTGAAAGAAGACGTTTACTTGACGATAATAATACCGGTAATACCATTCCAGTTATTAATGATATGCACGCAGTAGACCGTACCACAACTACAGATTTCAGTTGTCAGACTGAAAACGGTCTCGAAGACGACAATAGGTAATTTTACATTCGAATGAAATTTCTTTCTGATGAAGTAGATGCTGGCTTCGTTTTCTTCGAAGCGGTTTCTCGTTATGGCGATTTGGCAATGGTGTTCTCATCGAGCCTATTTTACATAACCATAAAAACCTGGTCTTATGGAGGACATATTTAACCGTGTTACCGCATATTTATTGAAGGCTTTCAACTTCTTTTAAACTGTATCAAAGCAATGTTCAAAAACATCTCGTTTCATTTTGTTTGTTTTTTTTAGTTACATAGCCAATGCTCTTGTTGATATTTTGATACTTTTAATTTGTTAGCGAGGTTTTTGTAGGAAGTGTTGATACATTCTGTGTTCAGATACAGCCAATGTTTTAGCACGTGAACTAGAGTTAACAGGATTTTCGAAGCAAAAATGTCATTTTTTGTGTCATGAAAAATCCATCTCAGCAGTTGACATTCGTTAACTGTCGGAAGCTCTGACCGATACTGATATATTATGATATGTTCTATTTAACCTCGAGGTGGGGGGAGTTATTTTTCATTACCTTTCAAGGGGGGGAGGGGTATTAAAAGGGGAGCTAAAAATAGTTTTCACCTAAAATTGCGAGCGCGTACTAATTCACACAACTCACATGTTTCAACATTAATTTCTATTTATTGGAAGACATAAGTGCTCTCCCCCCCTGCTCCATATTTTCATCTACTTATTTTAAATAAGCGTTCAAAGCAAAATGCTTTGGGCGTAGAGTATAACAAAAACGAAGAAAAACATTAAGAAAGTCTGCTCGCTAAGAGAAAGAGAATACTAAAGAACTGAACTTAACTCTGAACTGACCGTTGAAAACCATTAAACTCATAATTTGAATAACGTCATCAGCGCGATGACGTTGCAAAAACAGTTTGGTTTTGGTTTGGTCTATATGAAAAACATTGAAATGGTTGAAAATAAATGCCTTTCCTTGTATTAATGTTTGTGTGATATTAAAAACAATCGCACAAACTATTTTTTAAAACATGGGCCAAACGGGAAAACGCGTTGTAGATTTTCTTTTTCTTTTTTTTACTGCTGCTGCAACCTTACGTGTTTGTAATTCTGCAACTTCGTTTGGTCATTTGTGTAACGAGGAAATTAAGGTGATACAAGTAAACTACAAGAATTATCTGGACATTTATCTTGGCGATGGATTAAGAGGAGGTTTGGTGAAAAATGGCCGTTTTGTGCGCATGTTGAAATTGGCCGTCCCAAAGTGTTGCCCAAATGCATCATTGACAATAGATCCTATCGGGGAAGTAGAAGAGGAAATTGAAGAATTGGTTTTCGCTACTTTGAAAGCATCAAACACTAGACCACGCGATGGTGTTCATAGGTTTTATTTTCCAGAGTTCGCGCCTAAAAGAATTTTAGCACTTTATGATACGAAAATCCCATTTATTGTTCTTTCTCGTTCTCCTGGACCAGCATTAATCATGCCGAGGGCAGGCGTAAAAAATTCGGTCTTTGTGGGCGAAATTATCTTTAAATCGTGTGTTATAATGACCTTCCTTTTTTTCTGCGCTTGGATTGTTGGCATTATTGTGTGGTTTGCAGTAAGACTTCGCTTGTATGGGTTAATAATAAAGATAGCTTGTATAAAATTGCCCCAGAAAATTTGGAATGGGATTTTTAGGAATTTTTTTCTTCTTAAAACGTAGAGAATATTCAAAAACATGTTCAAAAGCTAACACATTGTATTGCCCATCGCTCCCTAAACTTCATCATTATACATGAATACAATACTGGCTTTTTAGAGCCAATTCTTAGTACAGTTTCCAGTAATTTGTTTTAAAACTTTAAAATTTACCTACATTAAAATGTTCTTTTCAGCAGATAGCTACTCATTTCAATTTTCCAATGCACATTGTGAAAAAAAGATTTTATGTCAGTTTAGTCTTGCTGGGGCCGGTTGCACGAAGACTGGATAGCGTTATCCATTGTACAGCAAAAATCTTCAAACTTGTAAAACTTTTTTATAAGTTTGAAGATTTTTGCTATCCATTGGATAACGCTATCCAGGCTTCGTGCTACCAGCCTCTGGTTTTAATTGCCCCTAACTTTGTTATTTTGCTTGGTTTGATTAAGAGCAATTTCCTTGATTTTTCCAGAAGAGTCGACTAGGAAGGCAAAACTTATGTTTAATAAAAAACGCCAATGTTTCACTTAATAACAAATTTAACCAGAGTTTCCCGATTAGTGTGACAATCATATCAAAGAAATTACGGCGGAAGCTTTCTTTCAGGACCATCTTGTCAATGCAAAAAATTTTCCGAGTCCATTTTACGTTGGGATGGTGGATGGAATTTGGTGGAGTGTTGTGACAATGACAACTGTTGGGTAGGTTGTTTGAAGTTTTCCATTTAGTAGCTTTTTTCTTTGGTGTCTACAATGTTACTTTACAAATGTTATCCAATAATTTTTTTTATCCCTTTCACGAAAAAGAATGATAATGTATATAATCTCTCTGTAAGATAGTTATTAGTGAAATTTCATAATCTTTATAGTCACCTACGTAACTGACTTTTTAGATGACAGGTAATAACCCATTCTAATTTCATCCACACGCATGTATCCGTTTCGCTGTTTAGTGGACCTAAAAACCTCCCATCAACTTGTAAAAATAAATACGAATACGTAGATGTGGGTAGCTTTGCCATGAAGAAAATAGAAATAAGGGCAGGGGAAGATTGATGATTGGAGAGTCTGTGTTCATATTGTATTTTTTTTTCTGGTCTACATTAGCTATTCTACAATGTTTACATGTAGATATGGAGACAAGACAACCAAGGGACCTGTTGGAAAATTTATTGCTGTTGTGTGGATAATGATCTCAACAATTTTCTTGTCGCTGTTTTCTGCTAATGCGTCTTCAATGATGGCAATCAGTCAGGCAGAAGAGGATCACAGTAATACTCTTGGAAAGAAGGTAGTAAAAGCTTAATCAACCAAAAGATGAGAAGGCTTGTGTGCATGGTGCATAGTTGTGTGCTTGGTAAGTGCTGACAACTTTTGCTTATGAAATGTTGATATTGTGTATACAATATCAAAGAATTCAAAGAAAATTCAAAGAATTCCTTCTGTGTTGTCTATGATACTTCTCCCTGATTATTTTAGTGCTCATGTTAGGTTTGTCACGAATAATACGGTCTTATCTTTGATTGTCCACGTAAATAATGGTGACATAATGGTCTGAATATTCTGTATATTACATAGAATTTTAATTGCCGGTTATCCAATAGATTGGAAAACGCAGAAAAGGAGTGGAACTAGTGGTCAAGTAAATCCATTTCTCCATTAAAAAAAGCATGTTACATCTGTTAAAATGGAGTTCATTAGTCTAAAATTTATCTCGAAGCCATTGCTCTTATAAATAAAAATAGTTAGAAATTTTGACCTGTTTTATTAAACGAAATATATAATACGTTAAATACAACAAAATATATTTCTGTTCTGACATTCTTTTTTAGCGCAGATTGGCATAAATTTCAGCATAAGATCACCGGTTAATGCATCCAGTGTTTAGTCTCTCACATGACAGTATGAATGTCAAACATGCAAATTTTTCTTAAAAAAGTCTTTCTTTGTTTCAGATTGCTTGTTTCAACAGCAAGCATTTTTTCGAGGATCAATTGAATCTTGGTGCTCAAATGATTGGTAGGTATGTCAGTTTACAGCATTAGACGCTATTAATTCCTCTAGAATGAACGTATTTCGTGATAGACAGACTCTACAAACATTGGATATGGTAAATGTTTTGAAAAAAACATATTTTTTACAAGGTCACAAGTTATACGTCGAAATGTGTGTCAGACAGCCACCTCTTTCTTTTAAAGTACAAGCGAAGTAAATACATGGCATATGCCCTATATGCATTTCTCAAAACATAGTTGATAATATTTAGGTAGTAAAAGATATCTCCTGTGTTTGCACAAGCTTATGCAAACTTGGGAGATCTTTGGAGAAGTTGAGAGCAGGTCAGTGCAAGCCCTAGTCGAGGTTACACCTGCTCGAGAGTTCTCGCAAAAGGTTTGCATAAGCCAGTGCAAACACGATCTTTTATTTCTGGTACATCTTTCATTTCTTTTATAGCAATAATGCGAATCAGACAATTTTAAAACGAACTTTTATATTTTCCTTTGAAAGGTATTCGTGATTGATTTGTAAATTCCCTTTTCTGGATTGATTTATTTAAGTGGTTGAGCTCAGATCAGTTTGCACAGGCTAATGCAAACACATATTTAGACCAATCAGTGCATATGTTTTATTGTTTTTGTTTTATAAACATTGATAAAAATATATATCACTGTTATGACTTGTCATGGCATTCTTTGCAAAAGTCTGCTGCCTATTAACATTTATCTCAATTGTTTAGCATTTCAAAAAAGTTAAAATTGTCAGTTTTCCCTTCCTAGATTATTCCAATGGATTAAGTATGTCCTTAAGTGCTCAAAATGGTGAAACGGATCGAATAATATTTCCCAATTACCTGGATTTTATTTATCTTTTGTCGTTACCGCAAAACAAAGAAATGAACGTAGACTTTCAACTCTCAAATACGTTTGATTATCCTTTTCAAATTGGCATGGCGTATGCCGTTAACCCTGAAAATATTACAAAAACAGAAAAGGATTTCCTGTCTTGTCTACGATCCATTCTTTCAGCTCTTGACTTGCAGGTAATTTAGTAATGTTAAATGACATGCATACAATTAATGCACTTTATCATATTTTTCACATAATAACTTGACCTCTTTATCTAAACATATATGAATATAAGGTAAACTCATGTTGTTTTCAAGTTACGGAAACCATAATAGATAATTGAGGGGGCTCATATTTAAACATGTATATCATGGATTTCAAAGGAACTTAATTTGGCCCATCATGAATATATGAATATATATAAGCCCTCCCCTCCCCAATTATCTTTCGATTGCCCTAATAAATAACAAAAAGTCCAAATAATTTAGAATTACAAACTTTTCCGGCTATGACAAACATGGCTTATATCTCTTTGAGCGAATAACACAAGGAGTTTGATTTAACGTTTTCATATTTAGTACAGATTGCTGAATATTTTACCATGCGTATAGCTGGTTCATTTTGCTGAATGAATTTCTTGGCAGAATGAAAATGAACATGGTTTTTTCGTTTGAATCTTTAGATGAGTAGTTGAAATTATCATTGTGGATTAACATTACATACTGAATTAGTCATATAGTACATATTTTTTGGTAAACACAATGTAAAGGTCAACGACTTTTTAATCAAAGGTTGCAAAACCAACGGTCAGTGATCCACAAGACGAAGCAAACACTAAAAACAAAAATAAAGTGTTACAACATTGTGCAACCTACCTTTCAATCCCTTGGCTAACTGCCATGAAGAGATTTGACTGTAAAGAATTTTATTTAAATTACTCTTGTCTATATGCAATTAATTTCATAACTTTATGTATCATATTAAGAGGCTGGGGTTTATACTTTACTCAAAGTGATGCTCTTGTTTCTTTCGTTTTCAAGTTTCGCCGTCAAATGATTATTAACAGAGTCGTCGATGAATCGGACAATCGAAAAAAGAAAGCACCTTTGGACATCGATAATTTAATGAGCTTAAGCTATTGGTGTTTATTGATTGTCGCTTGTCTCGTGGTTATTGGACTAGCGTATGACTACTGGAACTACAGACATGGATATCTCTTTTCTGAGGATCACATTGCTAATGGTAATGGTGATCAATGTGCAAATGAAGGTTGGTTTTAACTGTTTTTAACATTACCGAGAGAATTGTCTGTTTTCTTATAAAAGTCAAGTGTCTGCAAATGACGATTTTGTTTTGGTTCACTGAAAGATTGGATTTGTTACATTCAAATTGTTTACCAAATTGCTATCTAACTGCTAATATCCAATCTTGAACGCCCGTGACAAACGTATGGCTGAATTCTTATTAATAATTAGCAAATGACTTTCGGAAATTAGAGATTGAATTCACTTTTTGAGAAACGCTTCGCATGCATAGACATCCATTAGAGTTCCAGTCATAATATAGAAATGAGAGATTAACAGAAAAGCATAGACTTTATCACTGTTTATGCCTTTTTCAGTATTATGTTGAAGGTTTAAACCGCGAAATATATGAGAAACATCTAAATGGTACAAACCAAGAAAATAACTACCTTTATTTTTCCTAGTCAACACAGAGTATGGTGCAGGAGACTGGTGACTATTGATTATAACATGCCTGTGAACGATGAGATTGTTTCCTAAGATTCCAACTAACTTCCACATGAGTAGTTAGTGTAGATTGTATGGCGTTCGATGTCGACGTATTTGATAGCTATTTCATTGCTCTCGTTTTCTTTGGATTTAATAACAGGTAATTCCTTCATTTGAAAATTTGGTCTAGTTCAGATACTTTTTGCCAAAAATATTGCAGCAGATATTTGACAAAGAATGTAGGTGCAGTAGCTATTTTATTTCTATGATAAGGTAGTAAACCTGGGGAAAATCTATGTTTTTAGTATATCTATGTATTTATACTAATCCTGCCTCTAATCTTAACCCTAACGCTGACCTTAACACTAAATCTAGAGCGAAACCAAGCTAAAGGTAGAATCATATAACGTCTATGTAAAGAGCACATGAAGGAATTTGCTCGATTCTCAACTCAATTCCAACTCATATTCTAGACTTGGCAAATAGGTATCCTCTGTTGTGTATCAATTTTGATCGATTGAACATATTTATTGCCATTAATGAAACTGGCCATTTTGATGTGAAGCCTTTAGAGAGAACATTGTACTAAAATACATGGAACGCTACCTGAAGCAAATAATTGAAGCTAAACCTTACACCCAGACACGCGTATTTAGTGTCTCGAGATTCTCTCGCGGAGTGAAAATTGATTGAATGCACACGGCATAATTTTTAGAATTGAAATCAAATAACCATGAGCTTTTTCACAGGCATGGAAGCAGATGGACTGAGAAACCAACGAAGCTTTTTAAAAACAAATAAAAAATATCTAGTTTAATGCACCCACAGAGAGAAGTATGGTTGTCATTTTTCCCGCTATTTTTTACTGAATTTTCATTTATTTGCTTGATTGACAATCGTTAACATAAGTTTTTTATTTCTTTTATTGAATCAACGGTGTTTTTTATTTCTACACGTTGACAACATACGAACTATTACAATAATTTTCTTTAGGATATCGTCCACACATTGCATGCATAGCTGTTGTGATATTGTTTCAAACATTGTATGTATAACAAATGTATATAGAGGTTTGCTCACTTATATCTAGGAAATGAATAATCAAAGGCTCTCTGTGAATGAGGCTGAAGGTGCGTTTACCAGTTACCACTGACGTTTTTACAAATTTTTAATATTACTAGAGATGCCGTTGATGACGAATTTTGGGGATGTGGAGTTGGGAGGCAAATTTAGGTCCCAGATGTGTCGCTCAGTAAACACGACGTAAACAAATATACATTTGCCGTCTGCTTTAGAGTTTCGGACTCTTTTTAACATACTGTTGTAAGTGTTAATGTTCTTTTCTACGAAAATTGAAAAATTTCATCAGGTTAAAATGTTAGTAAATGCAACGAGTTACAACTATGATGATAAGTTGTTTGATGAAAGCTTGTGTTCTTACTTTCTTTTCTGTTTTTATAACCCACATATTCGCATGTTTTAAACATTTTTTCGGTGTGGATGACAAATATATGTTTTTTGAAGTCTCTTAGCAGTTGATTTTTACACGAAAGAGGCTTTTTTGTCAAGGAACACTTACGACTTATAATTGTGAAAGCTATTCAAAAATGTTTTTCAAAATATGAGTTGTTTAAATCATCCAAAATCACGATAAAAAGAAAAACATAGTTCAACAAATTGATTGTGATAATATTTACTGTTGTATTTGCGTATGATATAAACAAAAAAGTCAAGAAATCATAGTCGGCCATTGTAGCTTAACATCCGGGAATCTGTTCTGAACTATGGATTATATTACTATGAAGTTGTTTATGCTACATCCAGTCTGAAAACAGAGATCAATGAACCCACTATTTATCTACTACTTACAACCATATCAACAGAGTGATTTAGCAAACACGACGTTTTGCCTAAGACACCGTGAAAATGGCGTGGCATGCACCTTTTACTTCCGGTTCGATCTACGACGGCAGTCGTGTTGACGACGACGACATGAAAACATACAATTTAACGGCTAAAACAAACTTAATTTTTATACAAAAATAAGGAAATATCCTTGATATTTGCATGTTAAAAGATTATATAGGCCTACATGTATTCATTTGAAAAAAAAACTGCGAATAATTTGCTTCCTAAAGCTAAAAAAACAGAAATAAACAACGCGGGGCCTGCTCTAATTTCAGGGGTTTCCTCAGAGTCAAAACAATTTTAGTCACAAAGCCTCATGTCGATACTTTTGCTTTTATTTATAATGCTATTGAAAAGAATATACTGCAGTATATTTTTGATATCAAAGAATAAGTTTAAAATGATCGGAAAACACGATCCAGCAGGAAAATGTTTTGTGGCTACACGCATGTACGCTCTGCGTACCTTTTTTTAATTTTCAAAGGTACGTTCTGCGTGCCTTTTTTTTTAAAAGAAGATTTCCACGGACAGTTGAATTTTGAACACCAACTGCGCTTGGTCACATGTCTCCTCTGTCGGGGACTTCCTGGCGCATCCGCTGATTCTTTCTTCATTCTTGCTTTTATATAGTTATGGAAAATTTGTCGTGTAAGACAAATCACTGCGTGTAAATAATGCATCCAATGTACTCAGGCACGCGATTTCAAAGCCAAAAAGAAAACAAACATGTCGAAGAATAATTAAAACGCAAAATTAAAACTTGTCATTGTAGCTACCGAAACAAGCTTATTATTACTGCCTCAAAAATAAAGAAAAATAAAAAATAAGAATCTGCTAATAGGACATTGCAAATCGATGTCAATTCACCGTGTTTCTATTTTGGAAATAATCAATTGAAATAGAACTTGCTCGAGTTTCGATTTTTTATTCGACAAGATGAAAGAAGGCCGACTAGCCTCAGGCTTCTCACTGTCCATACTTCCCATATTTGATTTGAGCGAAAATGAGGGTTGTAAAGTTTGGAAAAAGAACAAATACGCAAAATATGCCGATAAATAACTGGATAACACAAATGGCTGCCTTCACGACTTTAAATATATCCGATATGAATGATATTGGATTGACTGCCAAACAAAACTGTCGGACCTTCTAAACAAACCGAAACAATCGGATCCGACAAATTGGATTTTTGAACAATGAACGGGCCTTAAATGCATTGAACTCATTAAACTTCATTGAACTAAAATACATCTGGAACGATAAGACAGAGGGGGTAAGTTGAAACCAGATTTTTTCCTTTTTTCAGGTCGCGCCAGTCCTTTTGTACAAAAAAATTTAAAAATAGCATCTTTATATTTATTAAATTTTGAAAGTAAACGTTGCGAAAGTATTTCAAATATCATCGAATTTGAAGAATAATAGTCAAAATGATCCATGCCGAAAAACATCGTCCAAAAATCATAGTATTGCTGAGAAATTTGAAAGTAAAGACAAAAATTACGAAAAGCCCGCATGATTTTTATTGTTTTTTCTAAGTTGTTGAAAGTTTCTGGCATATCCAAACGTTCAAATCACCCAAGTATTGTAGTTCCAAATTAAATAAACAAGCCTATAAGATTTTGTAAAAGTTGAGCAATTTCCCAAAGAGAAAAATGTGTTATTCATGCCATGAAAATACACATACTAAAAATATACACACAGCTCAGAGTCATAAAGATAAGTGAAAGATCCTCTCAAAAAGAGTTCTTAAAAAGCTGTTTTATTGATGTAGCTAAATGCATAAAAATCCAGAATATAAGCAAATATGCGAGAAAAAGAAAATGAAAACAATGCATATCACGGCGGGCCGATAAGTTTGGTAGAGTTGATACGAAAATAATAATGAAGTAAATATATAGCATTCCTTTTTTTTAACATTCAGTTTCTTCTTGTAGACTTGTCTTAGTTTGTCGATCGATCGTCCTCGATTCTTGTTGAATATGTTTCTCCTCAAAAATATCATGCTTTGAAATGAACTGATTCTGTTAGATGCAATTTCAAAGCACAAAATGTGTCAAAAAAACGACACTAAATAATTTTTTCCATGTTTTCTCTACTGCCATGAAGCTAAACAAACATTGGCCGCATCGGCCGCCGAAAAAAACACGCATTATTTCAGGGGGGAGTCAGTAAACTCAATGTCTTGTAATAGAGTTCACTTGGGGGAGTTTGACAAATTTTAGCTGCATGTTTTTGTTAAACCAATCATTTGACAAGACTATAGTAGTTATCGTTCCAGATGTATTTTAGTTCAATGTTAAACTTTTAAATAACGTCATCAGTGCGATGACGTGGCAAAAACTGTTTTGTTTTAGTCAGTCAAAAATGAATGCCTTTCCATGTATAAGTTTGCATGGTAATAAAAAATACTGCGCGAATGATTAGTTAAAACATGGGTAAAAAGGGAATACGCTTTGTAGATTTTATGCTGCTTTTTTTTTCCATCACAGCTACCATGTGTGTCTGTAATTGTGCAACTTCATTGGGCGAAACATGTAGCGATGAAGTTAAGGTGATAAGTATAAACTACAAGAACTATCTGGACATTTATCTCGGCGATGGATTAGTTGGCGGAGGTTTGATGCAAAATGGCCTTTTTGTGCGCATGTTAAAATTAGCTGTCCCAAAGTGTTGCCCGAATGCAACGTTGAAATTTAATAATATCGGGGAAGTAGAAGACGAAATTGAGGAATTGGTTTTGGCTAACTTGAAGGCATCAAGAGCTGGTGCACCACGCAATGGTGTTCATAAGTTTTACTTTCCCGAGTTTGCACCTAAAAGAATTTTAACACTTTACGATTACAAAATCCCATTTGTTGTTCTTCATCGTTCTCCTGGACCAGCGTTAATCATGTATAGACCAGGCGCAAAAGAAGCGGTATTTGTGGGCGAAATATTCCTGAAATCGTGGGCTATAATGATCTGCCTCCTTTCCTGGGCTTGGATTGTTGGCATTATTGTGTGGTTTGCAGTAAGACTTCACTAGTATTGGTTAATAATAGAGCTTGCATGTAAATTGCCCTGAAAATATGTAATTTTTAGAAAATCTTTTTCTCTTTATTCAGAACCGTGTTGAAAAGCTAAAACATTTTTGCCAACCGTTCTTCAAACTGTTCTTCAAACTTTATACATGCATACAATACTGCCTTTTTACAGCGAAAAGAAAATGCTTCCCTTAGGACAAATACTCGTCTAAGTCTTCAGTAGCCGTAAAACTGTGCATCGCCAGTTTTCATGTCATCAATGGCTTTATGTCAGATTTGCACAGCTACAATTTCTTTAATTTCCAGTCATTTGGATCTAAACTTTGAAAGTCTACCAATCTTTCTTTTAGGACCATCACGTCAATGCAAAAGATTTTCCGAGTCCATTTTACGTTGGGATGGTGGATGGAATTTGGTGGAGTGTTGTGACAATGACAACTGTAGGGTATGTTGTTTGAAGTGTTACATTTTACAGCTTTTTTGGGTGTCTATAGAAGTATTAATTTACAAATAATGTTACCTATAAGAAAGTTTTCTCACTTCCATCTTAGTAAATTAAAAAACAGTTTACGTGCACAAAAAGACTGAAAATGTACTTAATCTCTCCATAAGATGATAGTGGAAGTTCAAAATCTTTGTAATGACGTTCAAAATTAGAGTGTACAATTTGTATAGGTAACCGCATAGGTTCAAGTGCAATTAGGGAAAAACATGCATGAGGGAGTTTTTTAAAGACTATCATAATTGCACGAGTCCGAAGGAAGAAGGCAATTCGTTTGAAGCACAGTCATTAAAATTAATTCCAAATAGTTCCGTATTTTCCTTGTGATTCGGTGTTTTCCAGGACCTCAGACTCAGGACCATCTACGTCTGTTCCAATTACGATTATTAAAGTTACTTCGTTCGTATAAAAAACTCATGAAGACGTATTATCGTTCGAGTATTGACTCGTGTTCAGTGTTCATAATTAGAATACATACGATGTTAAACTATTTAAGTATGAAACTTTAATAAAATTCTCGAGGTATCACGTCCGATTAATTTCGTATGAGACTACGCAGTAAAATAAAGTTTTCACCAAAATTCTTGAACACATTCAGATATTAACTATAAATACACTGTTTACAAATAGAGACCATTAGACAAAAAATGTTTTCAAAACAACTGATATAAAATATCCGAGCTTGAAGAACAGATAAAAAATATTCCATCGGACATTGCCAGGTTCCAACAAATAAATATCACCAAAAACATTATGTGCATAATAATGCACATGGCAAATTTCCCTAAATTGTGGCTCCATAATTTTTGAGGAAATCATGTTAATTGCCAATTTCAATTTCCGTGTGGTGACAATTTTCCGTAAAAAATTTTCCGTTGTTTCTTTCATTTGAACATAGAATAGAAAATCTTCGAACAAAGTTTACTTATCTTCTACAATGCTTACATGTAGATACGGAGACAAGAATACCAAGGGACCTTTTACGAGGGTGATTGCTATTATGTGGATAATGATCTCAACTGTGTTAGTATCGTTGTTTACCGCTAATGCGTCTTCAATATTGGCCATCAGTCGAGCAGAACAGGATCACAGTAATACTCTTGGAAAAAAGGTTGCAAAAACTTAATCAACGAAAGGGAAGGGCTGCTTATGAAATGTTTGTATTTTGCATCTCAAAGAGTATAAACATCTGGATTTACAAATTTACTGCCTAAAACATGGAGAATGGTCGGGAATATTTCGTATTTTATAAAGATTTTTAATTATAAGTAGCCTAGTTTTACTAAACGAAAGATACAATGCATTAAATACAACAAAATATATTCTATTCTGACATCTTTTTGCACGCAGATTGAGTTAAATCTTAGCATAAGATACCGGATATTGCGTCCAGTGTTTGGTCTCTCACATGGCAGTGTAAATTGAAAAAATGTAAATTTTTCTTAAAAAAGTCTTTCATTGTTTTAGATTGGTTGTTTCAACAGCAAGCATTTTTTCGAGGATCAATTGAATCTTGGCGCTCAAATGATAGGTAAGGATGTCAGTTTATACAACCATAGACTGAAGCTAAAAATCCAATGTAGAACGATGTAATACGTGTGATATACAACTAATACAAGGTACAATAAATGTACACAGTTAAAGTTTAGTCAAACGAATATGTTACGATGATACAAGTTAAATGTCGAAGTTTGTATCAGAAATTTTTGCTCTTCCATTTAAATGTTTGTAAATGATGATCGTCCGGGTTAATAAAGTCCTGAGAAGGACTGTTTTTGTTGTTGTTGACTGACGTTTCGACAACCTTAGCGGTAGTCATCTTCAGAGACAAAAAAAAAATACATTTTTTAATACATACTTTATTAACCTGGACGATCATCATTTACAAACATATAACGATACTCCCGGGTTCAAACCATTTACTTTGTTTCTTCCATTTAAGGTGCAAGTGAGGTAAATACATGGCCTATGTCATATATTGCACTTCTCAAAACATATTTGATAAAAAAACATTGATAAAAATACATATCATTTTGTTCATTTATACAAAATATATAACAAGGTATGATTTTTTATTTTTGCTGGTAACCTGTAACTGGTCATTGCCTAACGTTTACCTCAATTGCATGTTTTTTTTCAAAAGTAAAAACTGTTGGTTTTTTATTCCTAGGTTTTTCTGACGGAATAAGTATGGGCGTAAGTTTTATGAATGGTGGGATAGATCGAACATTGTTTCCCAATTACCTGGATTATATTTATTATGTGCATTTGCCGCAATACGTAGCGATGCAAGACATATATCAACTGTCAAATACCTTCAAATATCCTTTTCAAATCGGCATGGCGTATGCTGTTGACCCCGAAAATATCACACAAACAGAAATGGATCTCCTGTCGTGTCTACGATCCTTCCTTCCAACTTTTGAATTGAAGGTAATATAGTAATATTGAAGACGTTGAGACGAATGACGCGCATACAATTTATCACAATTTTTATATTGTATAACGTGATCTCTCTAATTGTATATGGATATCGCGCAAACTCATTTTGTTTTCAAGTAACGAAAATCATTTCGTTCACTTCAACATCCCGCTGTCCATGTCATTGATTTTAGTAAATATAAAAAATAGGTACGCAAGGCCGACATGTGGTTAGCTTTGCATGAAAGCTGTTCAAATGATATATGTTTAGCGTACATAAGAATATACAACACGTTCATGAAAAACTTCGAGTAAACATCTTTACTTAATTCAATGTCATTCCTTTTGTAATAACGAAATTAGGTTAGTTATAGTCATAAGAATAATTTTTTGTCATGTGAGACCAAGTTCTTTGTACTCCCTGTTTAGTCAATATACTAATTGTTGTGCTCTCTAGTGATAACGTCGTGCAAGAGTGGGCTTGCCATAATAACAAAATGATAGCAAATGTCCTCAAGAAATCACTTGAATTTTAATAGAAAATTGATTGCGATTTTGAATGAAGCCATTTTTAGATACAAGCACTATATATCGAACAATTTGTCTATTGAGACTTTTGTAAAACAAAACTCATTCCTGTCAGGAGCACACATTAAGTGTATAATATTGCTATTGCCAATTATGTAGATGACAGATTTCGCGCTTCATCGCAACGCGTTTAGCATTTACTGAAAAGTGTACATTGTTTATGCTACAACCAGTACAGTCATAGAGATCATTGATATAGAAGTCGGTCAGTGGTCGGCCGTTAACCTTTTTTGCAGTATAACGTAGGTTATGGTTTTACATTCGGTAAATCTTTGCGGACACTTCATGTAGCCCCCAACAAACTTATTTATTTTAACGTAGAATTATTTTGGTAAAACGGGCACCCTGGACGTATTTTTTTATAAACGCCATGTAAAGTTAACGAATTTAATCTAAGGTAGCATAATTTATGGCAAATGGATCTTACTACTGACCCACAAACATTAAAAAATAGCATCAAAGTGCTACATCACTTTACAACCTAACATGGGATATTTTCATGGAACCTTTTGTTATCGGATTTTCGCTATGGCGTAAACTAAATTACAATCCTTGATTGTCCGCCTTAACGAGATTTGACCGTTCATTGAATTGCTCTCGTCTATCTAATTCCTTTTATGACTGTTACATGAAGGCTACCGTGCATACTTTACTCATGTTGATGCTGTTGTTTGTTTCGATTTCAAGTTTCGCCGCCAAATGGCAATCAGTGGACTCAAAGATGAATCGATCATTAAAAAAAAGGAAGCACCTTTGAACAGTGATAATTTAATAAGTTTAAGCTATTGGTGTTTATTGATTGTCGCTTGTCTCGTGGTTATTGGACTAGCGTATGACTACTGGAACTATAGACATGGACATCTCTTTCCTGAGCATCACATTGCTAATGGTAATGGTGATCAATGTGCAAATGAAGGTTAGTGTTAACTGTTTTATGACTCGTTACATTTCCGCGAATATTGTCTGTTTTCTTACAAAAATTGAGTGCCAGTCATTCTTAGTCAGTCATTCGTTGCCTGAGTCTGCAAATGACGATTTTTGTGCTGGTTTACAGAAACATTCTGCAATGTCCTTGATGCGTTCAAGTCGCTTAATTTATTACCAAATTGATTGTATTCAAGAAATAAAAGATGTTTACTGTATTCGCACAGGCTTATGCAAACCGAATCGACCTTTGAGGGAATTTGAAAGCATGTCAAATCAAACCTGTGACCAAACGTCGAGAAAAATTTTAACAAACGTTTCAAGTTTTCCTGTAATATTTATATTCGTGATCGATTTGCAAATTCTCTTTGATTGAATGAATGGATTGAGCTTAGACCGGTAATATCTAATCTTGAAGACCCATGACAAACGTTTTTGAATTTTTATTGATGATTGCAAATGATTTAATTCGTCTCTTGAGAAACGCTTTGCAAAAATACTTTCAGTCTTAATGCATGTGTAATTTTTTGAAGGTACAAATGGTGAAATAAAAGAAAAACATCCATACGGGGCAAACCAGGAGAGTAATCATGCTTATTTTTCTGAACCAACACAACATATGGAGCAAACGACTGGTGACTCTTTTGACCATTTTATGCCTGTAGACGATGACATTGTTCTCCAAAATTCCAACTACCTTCCACCTGAGTAGTTATTGTAGATTGGCAATCAATGTCAGCGTTTTTATTATTCGCTTTTTCATCGCCCTTATCGTCCATGGATTTTTTCATTTGATAATTGTTACACTTGATAACTATTTGGTCAAGTTTTGATCCTTTTTGCAACAGGTTTTTGACTTGGAAACGTCTTTTGTTTTTAACTTTTAGATCGACTCCTAATAATACACGTAATGTTTATGATTGTCTTGAAAAATCCTGAAATTTATCACTATTCTCTCAAATGGTTTAAAAGAGGCGATCGAATGTCAGTATTTTCCATGAAATATTTTGTCAAGTCAAGAGGAATAGGAATTTGTTATAAGAAGGGGGATGCAGTAGCCCCATTAAAATCACAAGTTTTGCACTTTTTACACTATGGGAAAAATGATTTTTTTCATTGACATTTAACTGCTTTAACCATGTAGCTAACTGAGAAGAAACACACGTTTCGGTATATTTTCATAATACTCACAATTATCACTCACGATTTTTATATCGAGTTAACTTCCCTGCATTTCGGTACACGTGAACGTTGAACTATATATTTTACTAAGAGAGCCAATGTCTTTTTTCCGTTCACGCAAATAATATTACTATTGCAAAACTTGTTTGAACTCCTTGGATCATTCCAACAGGACTATGCGTTGTGTTGAGTAATATGATACAGTATAGATACAATACAATATAGGAACTAATGATATGAAATGTGACAAATGGAATTTACCTATGGAGTTCCCTAAGACATGATTTGCATAAGTGTAACAATGAGTTGCCAAACAACTATCTGAAGGGAAATCCAAACAAAAAAGACTATTAATGTTTGCAATAGTGATGAACAAAACAATGAAAATGGATCACACAAATTATACAGCATAGCATGTGTTTGCGAGCTATAGAATCAATTGTTGTGACGTCATCCCATGTCATTCTTCGTTTGTTTTCTTTGATTTCAACACCAGCATTCTTGATATGACGTTCTAAAATATCTAAGCAATACTGAGTGTGATTTCCAATACATGGATGGGGAATATTTAACCTTTCTTTTAAGGTGTGCATATCTGATTTGAATAGATTAAATAAGCGATTGAGATCCGATCGCGAATATTTTTTACACATGTCTTCACTCTTGGCAGCTTCACTTATTGACAAACATTAGGAAATTGGAATAAGTTTTGCATAGTAGTCTTGGGCATTCAACGGTCCATGGTAGGCAGTTTGAGGCTGAGTTAATAATCTATTTCCATCAACTGTGTCATTTTGCTGAATTTTGTGGCCTTCAGGTAAACGGCAGTTGTAAACATTCAAATCACTGCACATTTCTATATTCCAGCGGTAGTGATCTTTCTCAAAGAACCAAACGTAGCTGATGATAAGATTTACTGGAGAAAGGGCATTGTTTGTTTCGTGAAATTGTTGATATGCTTCTTCAAAGTTACTTGTATTGAAGTTTTTTGATATGTGGTCTCTGCAGTGTGTAAACCTATCACGGTAGATGTACGCGGGAAAATATGTCATAAAATCAGCAACTTGTGGCAGTCCTATCGCTAACTTTGTGGTTTTTGCCCATGATTCTCCCCAGTCAATTTTCATTGCACATTCTGAACCAAGGATTCTTACTTTGCCATTCGGCTTTATAGTTAACATGGTAACTGGTAGAACGAATGGCGAATCACTATCCAACCAAGCTATCACCTCATCATCGGTGTATAGATCTATGAAAAAGCTGCTCCATAACTGACGATTATAACCAGGTAGATTTAGCTGACCAGGATAAGTTAAAACCAGCGGATCCTTTGGTAGTGGCTCGTGTTCTACTTTGAAAGTTTGATTGGGAAAATGTTTTTTTGTTTGATTCAATAGTGTTTCACCAAAGGTGTGATCCTCCTCTGATTCTTTATTAAGTAGAAGAACCATTTTACCCAGCCATCCAGGCCAGAAAAGAGGAATCGTCTTCAACATGTTGCAGTAAAATCTTTCTTTGTGCTCTTGTCTTTTACCTGATAATCTCAAGAAGAGTGACATCGAAGGATGACTATAAGACATATTCTTTGTGATGGAAGTAGAATGGTTAAATTTGGAAAGTAAAATTTCATGGTCAACAGATTCCAAATGAAGAATAGCAAAACTCTTTAAGTTTACCATAAACAAAATGTAAAAAGTGCCCAAACAGCTGACCACGACGAGGAAAGATTTGAAAACGACTTTCATTATTGTCACTTAATAATAGTTTTTGTTTGAGGCATTTTAACAAAACGACAAAATACTTGAATGATAGCAATGAATTTATGAAACCAAGCAATTGTACTTCCGGTTATCCACGAAATAATTGCATCCCACGAAAGAAAAGATGGAATAATTCTTTGTAGAACTATTCACTGACAAAAAGCAGTGCTTAAAACTAAAGCGCTAATTGGCGAGAAAATATTCATACACATTGTGGCTTGTGCTTATAATTGTTAGGCGAGACAGGTTTCTTCTGGTTGACAAGTCTGGTGTGCAACGCAATATTAACATAATTGGGCAAAAATAACGTAACTGGGTTAATAGGTGATATAAAATGAATGATTAGTGATGAAAGGCGCTCTTTCGAGTATAAAGTTTCTAACTAAACCGAATGAAGGTGTTTAAAGTTATTAAGCAAAATTTCTTTTATAACAGAATGGGCCGAAAACCTGGTACGACAATAACTTTCATGACTAAGAAATTGGCAGGTGGGAAATCAACATTACAGATAGACAAAATTCTGCAGTGAGATCACAGCACAGTCAAGAAGATGGTGGCAGCGAGTCACCATTGACGTAAGAAACGCTCATAACCGAAATTTAGAAAGCTGACTGAACACCAACAGCAGAAAATTCTTGGTCAAGTTGTAAAGACACCTGTAGCAACAAGTATGCAGATATTTGTGGCGTGTGATATGCCTAATGTTTGCAGCGCTACTCTTTGCAAAGCGTTATGTGAATGTGAAAAACCATCACTTACTCGGGGACACAAGAAATATAAATGGTCAGGAAATACATGAAGGTGGATTTTTTGAGAGTGATATTTACAGATGAACGCTGTGCAACTAACAACTGGCCCAAATGGATGGGCATGAGTTTGGGTGTCGTCAGATCACAAGCCCCCCATCCGGCTGTCTGGTCAGCAAGGGGGGGAGGGTTATGTTTCGGCAGCAGTCATTGGAGACACACACTCATAGGGCCATTTTGCATAGAAGACGGGATAAAATTCATTTCAACGTTGTACAGTGTCTTCCTAAACAAGGATTTTTGTCCTTGGCGGAAGAAGCAGCCTCTAAGACTGTGGAAATATACTCATGCCTGACAATGCTTCTGCGCATGCTCCCGAATACACTTGCGACTGGTTAAAGAAGATTGACATTAAAGATGACAAACGAATGGAATGGCCTCCCTCTTTTGCAGACCTCGACTCCATTGAAAGTTTGTGGTCGATTTTAAAGAAAGATGCGTATGTCTCTGAAAAAGGTACAATTCGCTTGAAGAGCTTTGGAATCCATTTAAATAGCGGCTAGTTATAATAGCAAAGAATCAATTAAAGTTTAACTGATTCACTCACTTGATCGTAGACTATTATCTGTTATTAAAAGTGACAGGTGTTACATTGAGTCAGCTACGGTTATCAGTTAGTAAAGTTGAAAGTGAATGGAAAGACTGAAATACCCTTACAATTGTTGGTATGCAGAATACTATTGTATAGATTACTTGGTTTTTTTGTAGTGTAGTCTTCAATGCTTAGGTAAATTAATTTGTTAAATAATTTGCTTAATAATTTGCTTAGGTAAATTAATTTATAAATTTGCTAATTGCATATTAACTTTAAACACAGTGTATACCGTATTGACTCTACTGAGCGGTGCTGCGCTCTTCAAATTTTTAGAAATTTGGATGCGGTCCTCATTCGGGGCGGGGCTCCTTAAATGGATCTTTCATTTGTGCGTTGTAGCAAGTAAATACGTTTTTACAATGTTTTTACAATAAAACAAATTTCTGGGAATGATTTAAGACTTCTGCTTATTTCGTATTAGCGTCTGTATTGTATTATAATTTTTCAAAATTTTTAAAGATATTGATTGAAACGGTATATACATTTTCGGTTTGTAAAAGTCTGTTTTTCAAGGCACCGTTTAGTTTTTATACTTTCAAATTTACTGCAGGCTATTTTATGAATGCATGCAGTTTAAAAATATTACATATTATAAGAAGAAAATTAAAATAAGAGGGCAACTATTGATAAACATGCACGAGTGAGTTTTTTAAAGACTGGAGCTGAAATCTCGGGAAACAGTGTGTTTTGTTTACTCAAGACTTTCGTTATTTCTCGAGGCGAAGACGACGTCTCAGTCAATGATAAATATTTCATACAAAAATGTGATGATGTCATGAACCACATGACGTAGTCAAATGTGTCTGTCAAAATTTTAACTTAATATAAGATGGGTACATCTATGCCCAGTTTCGAGATTTTAGAAAAATCGAAGTATTGTTGTGCTAAGCCACCCCACCAAGAAGTACAGTTTTTTAAGTAAATGTCGTTATCATGAATGAATTTTAAGGGCGTTTTCGCCTACGTCACTCAAGACACATAACCATGACAGAGCACACAATCACTATTTTCTTATTGTAAAAAACAACCTTTCGTCAGGGCACTCATTATTATTCACGACTTCATCGATCTCACATTTTTAAAAACAAAGATCGATACACGTGTAGTTGCCACGTGAACTTTACAAATTTCAACGTGTGCCTGGACGACCCTTGGGAAGTAAACAGATCGGAGAACATATGCATATAAGGTCTTAAATATCATCTATTATTATGACCAGTAGCTTAGTCAATTGCATTTACGAGTTTCTTCGGCTTTAGGTTTGTAATTTGTCAATTAATAACGTCCACACTTGCGACTTTCTGTCATTTTAAGACGAATTATTTGTTCTCGCCGGTTGGCTTTCGTTTCTCCTGCAAGATAGACTGTATATTATTGAAGACGTTTCATTGAATGATTATCCATGGGTAATGAAAGAACTAAGCAAGTAAGTACTGTTTCAAAAATTTAACTCACTCTCCAAAATGTTCTGTGAAAAGTGATATTCTCCGAAGAGAATGTGGAATGAGGGATCGTATGGAAGGGCACCAAATTTTGACAATTCTCATAATCATTCTTACGACTGTCAATTTACATACATATAAGGATTCTAAGAGCTAAATTAATTTCATGGAGCAATTTCATTAACATGTTTTCAATTCACGAGAATTATAAATCTTGCTTTACAACATGAATTTGACACAATCATTTATTTCTACCCGGCTTTTTGTTTACGACGTAAACAGCCACACACAACGGAAAGATGGCAAAAACACCTCTCTACAAATAAGCTTGAACAGGTGGAAATCAAAATTTGATTTGTACTTTGAGTCAATAATCATACTTTAAGTTTAGTTTTCTATTTTTATATGTGTTTGTGTCACAAGTTGAAGAGAGAGAAATGTCATAGTTCGACTGATATTAATCGATAAAAAACAGATCTACATTTAATATTTGTGTTTACAATGGCACGATGAGTACTAGTGTTCATTGCCTGAATGTTTGTGTGAAAAATAAACACATCTGTGTTGTTAAAAGTTAAATAAAATCGTTAAAATGTTTCTGGAGAGCATCGTGAAAAAAAGGTAGCTCGTGTAGCCGCGTCGCCAGTGCGATGTATTTGTTTTGGTCCTTTACATGCGTATCATGACGTCACGTCGCTTCTGTGGCGTAAGAACGTACACGTTCATACATTGCACGCAATGCACGAAAACAATTGCGTAACGGTACTGTATGGACGTACTACGTAAGAGTAAACAAATTGTTCATTTGAATCGTGTTTTAGCAAAACAAAGATTTAGCAAAATTCATTAATTAAAATGCACAAAATTTAAAAACTTTAAAATCAATCAATATGCCGATTTGTGAGAGCATGTTACGCAACGAGCCAAGAACATATTGCGTATAAAAGAGAGCAAGTACCCTCGCATTGTTTTTATTTGCGTAAATTTACAAAATTATCTCTTTCATTTTTGCTCCAGCGTTTTTATGCACAAAGTACCAACCAACAACGGTCTTTGTCTGTCCACGTATTTGATCGTGCAGTGCAATGCATTTTTTCTTTGTTGACTAAACGGCTCCAACAAGAGAACCATGTAGAAATGAATCATTGAATTTACCAGGCAATGCTAAAACGTGCTGGCTACGCTAGAGTATATCAGTCTCAGCCACGGTGCTAAAAGGGGAGGTGGACTGGAGGCGCTTGAGCACTTCCATTCCAATTTCAGCTCGACTTGAAGCAAAGTAAGATGCAGTAAATTTAGTAACTATAAGTCATAGCCACCTTCAGTTCAATTTCGTGGCGCTATCCCCCGGAATCTTTAGAAAACTTTTTGCGTAAGAGGACCACTAAAGATGACGTATTTAGAAAATTCAACATTGAATGTAATTTTTATTATTTAGCATTCACGTGAGTTTAAATCGTTGATGGTTGAGTGTCGCTTCTAAAAATGGTAAAACTGTTTTGTCATCAACTGTTTTTTTCTTTGTCGTATAAAAATCTCTTTAGTGGACTAAGTACAAGCAGTTCTTTATTTGAATACTTCAAAATTGATTTTCGACAACGGCAAAGTCGCGGATTTGAAGGCAAAATCATGGACAAACATAGGCATAAGCAAAACGATCACGCAATCGATGAACAACTGAAGCACTTTGATAAAATACTGAAAGAACACGGTGAAGAACACAATGATTTAACTGCTTTACCTGTGACCACGATTGATCATTCACGTGACGCAGAGTGTCACACTTCATCTAAGCAACATTTAATGCTTGATAAAATCAATGATAAGAAACTTAACCTTGTGTTAGTTGCTACATCACTTGATGAAAAGGATGTCATGACTCAACTCAAGAACACACTTGGTTCTAGTATGATACCATTAAAATTCGGAAAATGTAATTCCATTTGTCAATTAGCAATGAACCCAACCGCGCATAGTGGCCGTCGTTCTCAGGCTAGTATTGGATCGCAAGAAATGAATACAGAAGATGTAACTTTTCGCACAAGTGAAAGGGGTAAAAGAGCACGGAGAATTTCTGAGCCTAATGAAAATGCTAAAGATGGTAAGTATTGGAAAAGACGAAGTAGCAATAACGAATCAGCAAAAAGATCTCGCGATGCTAGGAAAGCACGTTTGGAATGGATCGAAAAACGAACAAAGGAGCTAGAAATTGAGAATGTTGCGTTACGGCAGCAGCTCGATTCTCTGACGCTCGAGGTTTCAAAGATGGAAAACTCTTCACAAAGTTCTAAATGATTGCTTTCTGAAATTTGCCTCGTTTCTGTAAATTATAGGAACTTGCCTGATAAAGTTTGCGTCATTTCTGTAAATAAAATAAACTTGAAATGTTTTGTTTTAAATGCCAATGAAATGTTATACACAGCAATTTTAAGCTGCTCGACATTTCTAAGAACAATTGCTTTCTGTGAAATTGTATTCTTGTTTGTTTTTCAATTTGACTGTGCAAGTGTAGAAGTGTAACAGTGTTAATAGCCTTACGCAAGTTTTCTATATTTATGGTGTAAGTGGCCACATAAATCCTCTTTAGCTCAAAGCGACGTTCATAATTTTGGAGACACATAATACAACCAGAACTGTTAGTAGAATATAGGAGTTGGTTACGAACGCCCTAGCTCTGTGGCATATCAATTGACATAGGTCAACTATTATGACTGAAATTAAACATAGCAGAATTGGCAGCAGTGTTTGAAATGAATACGTCACAAAAAATAACTATGCGAAATACTAATGTTGGAAGGTAGTCTAATATCATACATTACTTCCTACTTCTCATTTATATATATTTTGCAACCCCCAAAACGAAATATGTACCTGTATCCTCATAATATTATTCACTACCACTTGTCACTTGTCAATTTTAATGTCTTTCAAAATTTTAATTGTTACAATTATTAATACCAGTTCAATTATAATATTTATATTTTACAATACTCGTGATAATCGTGAAGCATTTTAAGGCAACCCAACATCTTATGGTCCCAGTAGCAACGATGAAATTGCGAATAATAAAAACACGACACCTCCAACAATTGTAACTAAAAATAGAGAGGAAAATGTTTAAAACTTAAATTTTCACGTTGAATGCATAAGGAGGACGATTAATCATCTTGTTGAGGGTTTGTCAGGCCATTACTTGTATATGAAGGCATTGCGACTCGGAAAAATACTCGGTTTTACACTTAATCCATGTTCTGTCGATTGAAGCAAATACCTACGTTCAACCAACGAACGATTAGATGATTTCGAGACATAAGAAAATTGATGATGCTAACGGAGAATAGAGCAAGTAAAAAACTGAGCTTTTGAAGTGACGTCATCATCAGACTTATATGAGTCTGATGATGTCTTTGGAATAAAGACGAAATATTACACCATCTCTTGTTTCAAACTCTTGTAATATCTTGAATATCAAGAAAACGAGATGTCCCTCTTGGAATTTGTTTTATTTTGTAATGTTTATTAGGGGAAAGATCGTGCAGTATCATCGACGTCAAGCATTACAACACCGTAGTATTTTGCATTGACTAATTAAGAAATAAAAAATGTTTACTGTGTTTGCCCAGGCTCATACAATACAAATCGAGGACATCTTTGGGAGAACTAGAGGGTCCAAAGGCCTAGAGTTGCCCCTGCTCGAAATTCCTCACAAACCTCTTTTACAAAATAACAATAATGCCAAACAGATAAATGTAAAACAAATGTTTCAATATTTCCTCCAATATGTTTTTATGACTGATTTACGAATTGTCTTTAAATCATTGATTTGATTGGTGCGCTCATATCGGTAGGCAAATTTAAAATACTTAAACCAATTAGACGGAAGGCCGAGGTAAACTCACTTGCAATAGCCGGATTAGTGACATTTGTTTTATTCTTCTCGAGTTTATCTCAACATTTTATTGCAAAATCCATGAAAAACCAAGAGATTTCCAATCTCCATAAAACCTCATATTTGGAGTTAAACACCTTTTGATCAAAACATTCATGCCATACTTACCAGTTTTCACTGATATTCTTTGAGCGACAAGCCTTCCACCAATGACAGCTAATCCAGTACATAATGCGTGTCCAATAGTTCCACCAAGCGTTACTCCCAAAACATTCTGTATAAATTTAAATAACCTCAAGCTTAGTATAAGACACATTAGACAACACCTTAATTGTCCAATGCGTACCTCTCTTGAGGCAAGAATTATGGTAGCTAGTTGAGACCTGTCACCCCACTCGGCTAAAAAAGTGAGTGTAAAAGACTGCACGAAAACGGGCGAGACAAAACTGAAGCAACGATTCCGTGTTTTGGTCACAATGATGCCAGGCTCCGGATCTTGGATGACAGACGATCTTGACGATTGTTGCAGCTGTAAGTTCAAAACACCGAAGTTTTCTAAAAGGTTTTAACATTTTCTAGACATTATAGTCGGTTGTGATGTTGAAGTTGAAATATAACTTAAAGCGACATCTTACCCAACGTTCGACGAACGTTGTAAAGCGTTTAAAGCAACTTGTTTATATTTTGGAGATACTAGTGTGAATGTCTTTAAAGTACGACATTTGAAATAGGATAATTACATACAGTATAATTCATTATTAAAATAAGTGAATTACTTCTTCTTCTCTTTTCTTTAGTTCAGCCTGAACCTCCTCATATTCCTCTTGCCCCTCGTTCGGATGCATTTTGTAGCCCTCGTATAACATTTTCAAACCGAAATACACAAACAACGCACATGACACGTAGTACGTCAACTTTCTAGGAATAACAGTGGTTGCAAAACCCAGTGCTGCCGATAAGACAGTCATAAAGCCTAGTGCACTCAGTGCACCCACAAATACAATCAATCGAGAATACTTCATTGCCATTATTGCTGCGATAAAAAATGTCTTATCCCCAAGTTCAGACACAACAATAACGGAAACTGAGGCAACAAAACCGTGAATAAAGCCGTAAAAGCTCCCCAGAGGTAAAAAGGCATCAGTATTCACATCTTCATTGTTCTAGAAAAGAAACAAAGGAAGAAAACTCATGTCATGAAAAATTATGCTTCCATCATAATCATAAAATGAAACTGATTTTTTACTGGTACTTAAAATTTACAAGGATTTTACATCAACCAATAATTGACAAGACAAACATTATTCAGTTAAAGACTTAAAACTATCATTCAGTAAGGACTAAATGTAGTCAAGCAAAATTTGTTTTTAAGATATTTAAATATTTATGATCATTAGAGTTCTCATTGCTAATTATTTTAAATTTTACTAACTAATCAATCTAACATGTTTGTAAATGATGATCGTCCAGGTTAATAAAGTCCTGAGAAGGACTGTTATTGTTGTTGTTGACTGACGTTTCGACAACCTTAGCGGTAGTCATCTTCAGAGACAAAATGAGTCTTCATTTTGTCTCTGAAGATGACTACCGCTGTAACGATACTCCTGGGTTCAAACCATTTACTTTAATCAATCTAAAATGAAAGATTTTTTGAAGTAATTCCTTTTGTCAAAGAATAAAGCAAATCTTTGACTTTAAGGCAGTTAATTGTTTTAAAGTTATGCTGCATACCTGAAGAGCACTTTTATTGCCAAACTGACAAAGAGTTCGTCTGGTCTAAACCAAAGCAATGGACCTGTAGTTTTAGTCATTATTTGATATATATGTTTAATGGCAACAAGCCTTTATGTTAAAGTTACAGTTGTTGAGTTTACTCCACTCTATGATGACTAAAGATAGTTTAAAACTAGTAACAATGTTTCTTGTTTAATAAATTGACAAGTTCAACCACCAACTGATTAAAAAATCAAGTTGTACTATTAACATAAAATTTCTGCAAAATGTGCATCTTGTTTGACTTATGATAGACAAAACAGTCTGCAGTGCATCCCAAAAACAACACAAAATTGCGGTGAGGGGTATAATAATTTCTGGGACATACTTTTTTGCATTTGAAACAAAAGCGAATTGAACAACTTTTTTGTTGTTTATCAGTTGCTTGACTGACTTTTTGCAATACTTGGCACATGCCCCAATAGAAAATATTGTGTTACACGTAAAAATGTGTATAAACACACCATGATTGACTCAATTTCTATTGCTCTAGTAAGACGGATTAAAAACATTTTACATAATTTGAGTTCACCTATTCAAATTCAAAGGTCGTATTACAAGTCATATGACCTTGCATGTCCTCTGTAATGGTAGTTGTACTAACAATCCCAAATTATGAGCTTGAAATAATAAAAATCACCACAAAGTATTCCCCAAAACACAATGTAAAAGCAAATTATTTTGATCTATCCTAGATCCGTACTGCTGACTAAAAGAACCCATAAACCGTAGTACCTATTACAAAGTAAGCCAATGAAAGTTTGGTTTTTCTTAGTAATGAAATGTACTCGAAAGCTTCGGGAGACTTAGTATAAGTCTTCCATTTAACCTCCCTTAGTTTTTGAGTACACTTAATCACTAAGTAAGCTCACTACCATGGTTTTACTTATAATAATATTCATTAAATCTCCACACTTGAAACTAAGAGCGAAAATGCCTAACAACTCACTGAATTCAGTCAATTTCGGTTAGTATGTAGTTCAGTAAATCACAAAAGGTTTATTATATGGTAGCAAACAATACAGAAATCTTTCCCACCTTAACTTATATTCATCACTTTATAATATCTGTATCACATGTTGGCTAATTGTAACAAAAAAATTGCTCGGTCAATGTAACAACAAAACGGAAATTCGATTTGAATGAAAAGAAAGTATTTTTCATCAAAAAGTAAAAACATAAAACGTTGAAAGGGTGATAAAATTAATCAAAAGGTAACAGCTACATTCATGAGTATACCTTTTAAAAAACTTGTAGAGAATAGACAGAATGAAACCAACACAATACTTGGTACAAAGTACATAATTACAGCAACTAGTTGTTTATCATTTCATTATAACAAACTTTAACACCTATTCTTATCCCATTTTTCACCTATTTGATCTTTTACCTGCATACTTCCATTCGCTGGACTTGAGCCACAAGCAGTTTCAGAGATCAAAATGACAAAATTGCAAGCAAATTGCAAGTCATAAAATGCAATGTACGTTGTATCGTAACGTAAGTCATGACCATTCTTATATTTATTATTTGATGAATTCAATTTATTTTCTTTATACAACAGTATCTTTCAACATAAACTTTAACATATTCTTATAATTTCATGATCTTTTACATACTTCCATTTGGACTTACAAGCAGTTTCATTGACAAAATTGCAGCAAGCCTACGTTGTATGTAACGTAAGTCATGACCATTCTTTATTTTATGATGATAATATTCTTTTATCTACGTATTTTATAACTATGTCTAATTTCATTCACATTCATTATTACATGGTTTTCACGCGGTTTACATCGACGATCGTCAATCGCTTCGTTCGTGTGTCCACGTCGGTCCACGTGTCCATTGCACTATGAGCCAGCAGTCCATTATGATTTTTATGAATATACAAGATTTATGGCAAGTATTTGTAAAAGTAAGCGAATTCAATTTGAATTTGAAAACCCTCAAATATTGTAAAATTACCGCAATACATTGCATTCAAGTAAAACTAATTCAACATAAATCTAAATTCTAATAAACTTATTACTCAGTTATTAGTAAAAAATCTTATATTTCATGAAGTATACTTCATGTATCGTTGACAGAGCGAGAAAAATTGATCTCCGTTTATTTTAAAAATAAACTCCGAGTTAAGTCATTCCTGCAAATTCCGTTCGTTTGCTCAAACATACTGTACATGTAAATGTTTTTTAAAACCATCCATCCAGTCAGGGAGCCTGCTTGCAACTCCGTCCAGCTATTCAAATTTTTCTGTGTTCACTAACTCACTGAGAGAAAACAATGGATTTCTAAAAGGAATGAATGATGATATTGCTCAGGAGCCGATTGCACGAAGCCTGAATAGCGTTTCCCATTGTATAGCAATTTTTTTCAAGCTTTTATAAAACCTTTTAACAAGCAAAAAATATAAGATTCGAACTGAGCAATCACTGAAATAAAATATTGTTTCAAAGATAAGAAAATTTCTTTGTCTTAAGAAAAATATAAGCACCTTTTTTACAAGTTTGAAAATTTTCGCTATCCAATGGATAACGCTATCCAGGCTTCGTACAACCGGCCCCAGAAGTTTACATAACAGGACTAAAACTTGCAGGCTGGCTACGCTACATAGACTTGGGCATTATCACAAAAAAGATGGAAAGTTTTGAGAAATACTAAGTTGTATTAAAGTGTAACAACGTATATGAGTGATCAAATAGATGCCCGCGAGGCATTTTAAATTCAAATGGTTCTAGGAGGGAATTTATTCGAAGGTTTTAATTGAAGGAAGCAATCGAAGCATTTATACTGATTATCTTTCACTTTATGTGACCAAATAAAAACAAAACTAAGACTAAATATTCGTTTTGTGAGGTTAATCGATGACTCACTATTACAAATTGGCAATGATATGATCACAATGGTAATGTAGCAGAGAGCATCTGTTAGAGATGGGCGTTTATGAGAGAGAGGCACCTAATTCATTACAGCGTTCATTAGATACGAAAAGTTTATTTGATAGCTTCGCCTGCTCCGGATATAAGGCGTTTATTGGATCATTTACTGTATTTGAGGCTTACATCATATTTAAGGGTCAAAATTTCTCAATCAAATTATTTAAAGTTTCTAGATAATTTTCTTGCAGGAACCAACAAAACATAGGAACAATTCTTTAAAAGATGACATTTAAAGTTCATACACTCAAAAATGTGATTCAAATGTAATCAACCTACTCCGGCAACATGTCATACGGCAAAAACGTCGACTCCATTGTCTGGAACTGCCAAGTGGAGTGTACAGCACGAAAGTGCTGTATCAACATTTTCAAAACAGAATTAAAGCTAAAACAATTTTGTTGAATGTCTGGCATTTTTGCACATATCATATTAACATAAGTTTTCATTATTTCGTAAAAGCACTATTGCTAATGCGCATTTAATATAAACGACAAGTTTTTTGAAAATAGACATGTTTCGACATCTCATGATGCCATCTTCAGTATGAGTGAAATAATAAGTAATACAAGGTTTATATAAAAGTAATATGATACATAAATTACACCAATAAAAAGGAAATAAGATAAATTAATGGGGAGCGTCCGAGCGTATTATAAACTAAATATTGTATTGAATTTAAAAACTTGAACATTGAGGTCAGGGTTACTTTTGTTAATGTGGAGTGCTTCTTTGATTTTAAGGGTGAATGAGGTGTCGGCAGTGTGACTGTGTCGATGATTTTGAAGCAAAAGGGTGAATAGTTGGTTTTACATGAGTGAAATTTAAGAAGATGTCGGTAGATATGAGAGTTTTTGTCTGTTGTGGTATGTTCCCTGATTCTGGTGGATAAATGGCTAAGTACTTTGTACAAGTACTTAGTACTTTGTACAAGTACTTAGTACTTTGTACAAGTGCTTTGTACAAGTACTAAGTACTTTGTTTATTCTTTGACTTCTGAAGACAATTCAGAGAACAGATTATATGCATGGATTTTTTTGTTGTTAAAGTTATTTGTTATTGATAGAATTTTATAAATTATGTAACATAATCTATTTTGAAAAACAAATTACCCATGACAGCTACAAAGTGGAATTGAATTTATCATCAAGAGTCATTTAAGTAGAACTTTATCTGTGTGTACTACAGATATTTTTGGTATTGTTGGTGATTGGCCTACCTTGTTTCGCCCATCAATTCACAATTCACGATAAATTTCAACTGAGTTTAATAGGAATGTGCACAAATCACAAATGACATTAGATATATGCTGATGTAAGACAGGTTTACTTCAAAGATTTCTGTTTTCTAATGTGTTCTAACGTGTTTTGTCTAGGTTACATCGGTCTTATATACTCAAAATGAATAGGAAATTATTTCGTATTTATGACGAAAATACTAAGATAAATAATGCTAACTCCTCCAGCATTCAAGTGCTAAGTTCCTACTGCGCCTTTCGCTGTGGTTGCTGTCACTTGCTGAATCGCTTCCAGAACGTAGGTTCGAACATCCCAGATGGCGATGATGCATTTTTGCTTCCCAATTTCTAATCTAACAAACTGCTAAACTACAATAATTATTTCATGCAAGTTTACGTCAGTATGTTTAATACTTACCAATTTTCTAAAGAATTTGCTGAGTAATGATTTACTCTTTTGTGACCAGTGTTTTCCTAGCAACAGCAACAGTGATATTGACGCGCAGCCAATAACAATTCAAAGGCTGCAATAAGAAAGAATTTGCTGAGTTGTAATTACCCTGGCACAGCATACTGGCAATTTATGAGACTATATAAAGAGTAACAGGAGAAATAAAAGACAAGTTGATTGATTTTGGTAGCAGAGTCGTTCAAACATTTCAATTTTAGCCGTTGTAAATTTGTTGCTTCTCCGTATTCTCATTTTAATTGCAACAACTCGTGTGGATATTATTAGACAATATAATAAAAGCTAGAATTAATTCACAGTTTTTAATCATAATTTAAAAAATTCGAATTTCATTTCATTATATTTCATGTACATTTATCAATTTATAACCAAAAGCTCTACGACTGATCACAAATAAGGGAGGCAAAGGGATTAATGACGCCATTTTGGTCTCTTATGACGGCTCCATCAAGGAAAAAGCTCTTTGATAAACAGTCTTACATAGAAATTTTGACAAGAATGTGTAATTAATTTTTGAAGGTAATCCCCGCCAATGCGCAAAGTTTATTGATAGCGATTGGCAATACATCTGGGTTGACGGCATATTCTGACAAAAAATTACGACGGCGTATTTTTGCAATCTTTTACAATACTTTTGCGCTTTCACTCGTCCAAAAACAATTTTGCTCAATTGAAATAAAGCAATGCCTATTTCTTTGCTCATCTTAAAATATAACGTCATATCCTTACTTGTTGATTATACGTAACTACTAGACCACAATGCATTGCTCAAATAGTCATTCGTGACTTTTATAAATCGAAATATAAAATAGCTGCGATTCAGTCAAAGGTGATCTTATCGTGATACAAGCGGAAGAATAAAGTCTTGAAACTTTGAACGTGCTCCTTTCTCCGTTAACGCTTATAAAATGTGTAAGTAATAATAGCGCATGCAATTTTGACGAAACAGAAGTGTATTGATGCTGCTAGTGTTTATGATTTCTGAAAAGCATTTGCAACAGACAAAGACTTTCAGTTGGATTATTAGAGAGGGGCAGGAGCGCAATGAGGCTCAGCCCCCTCTTTATATTCTATGACAAGTTTGGCAGTTTCTGCAGACGTAATATATTCAACGCTGGTTAAAATTTTGGCGATGCGTCTCACTAGCAAAATTCTTTCATTCCATGGAAAAATATCCTGTGAAACTTCCCTATTCTCTCATCATTTTGCGCAAGCTCCATTTGGTGTTGATTGAAATTGAACAGACTAGTGCACCATCGCGGGGCTCATTGCTGAGAAAGTCATCCATTTCTTCAAATAGCATTTTTGTTATAAGACCAAAGACAATGTCGGGAATTTCATTTTACTTTGAGTTTACATTTTGTTTTCAGTCCAGTCGTCTTGACAGAACAGAGGGAGGGATTTTCAGACTAGTGCATTTGCTCCAATAAATTAATCGTTAAAATATGAAATTTTACCGCTGAAAACTGCTTGGATCATTCCTGCACATTTCTATAAATTGAATATATAGAAACTGAGCTAACTGCGTGTAATGTGATCGAACACCATGATTGACATGTGGCGTGTCTTTCGAGCTTAAATTACAAATACATTGCATAGTTTTTACAATGTGACCATTTAAATTGCAGAATTCGGTCATTTTTGTTCTTGTAAATGAAATATCGTTGTTTATGATTACTTTTTCCAATCACATCTCATGTAATAAATTGAAAATTGTGCTTTTTTATTTTATAATTATGACTTATCTTGATCAACACTTGCCTTTCAAAATTGGAAGATTGGAAATTTGGAATGAAAGCACGAATGCATTGTGGGAAAACTACCAAATATGGGAACTCGCTCCCAGTATTCGGCGCGAATTTAGCTTTAGACCGAGCAAAAAAACTGGCACTAGATGATCAAACTGATGTAATTTTATGTCGGTGGCAACTGTCCAAGCGGAAATTTTTGTATTCTTGTTCTTCAAATTTTAAGTAAAATTCAAAATCTACTTCAAGAAATCAATACCAATCAATACGAAACTTGTGTTGCCTTAAATTGTTAAAAATGAGCGGAAAATTTACGTTTGACGAGTCTTCCAGTCCACAAAACGAAGGTAAGAGGGAACACGAGTGTATGCACGTCTCAACACATAAATTTCTTGAGAAATCGCTTTCGATAGGCGTATATTGTGCTGTAATAATTATAATAGTATATCGTGCAGTGTTCTTTTAACTAGATAGAACTCGTCAAATTGTGGTTGCGTTTAAGGAAAGATGAATTTTAGTTGTCTTTTGAAGGGTGTTTGATAAGCCTAAAGTTAATACAACTAATGTAATAAATATCTTATTGAACGCGTTGGAAATGTACAACGCCGTGATAAGTTGTCTATAGCTTTGTTCGCCATTCTATCTTTTAATTCAGTTGTTTTCGTACATATTTTCCTTTCATTATGTCGCGAGAGACATTAAAACTGGCGGTCAATCAATCATGCAGTGCCAAACATTTCAACAATAAAATAATGGACAATTTCGGTTTATGTCTCGAATTTTCTGCTATGTATAATTTTTAACTATTGATTGCTTTACAATTTTTGCTATTTAAGATTTTTTGAGAAATTTTCAGTATTTGAGTCACTAGTGCCCTTGATATGGGAAATTATTTAAAAGTACTTCAAAATAAGGCATTTTATCGAACGCTGAAATATTATGCTGAAAAAATATGTTCATTTCTACTTCTATCTCGATAACCCATTTTTCTACACTTGCCAGATGAGATATATTGAACCTAAATTTGGTGAAATTAATTAGGGAATTATTGATAATCTAGATTATTAGTTACCTAAATGTTAATTTTTAGCGCGCTTGAAATAGGTGCATTACTCAACAAAAGATTCGTGACTACTTAAGCTACCATCCTGATTTTTGATGATTTTTTTCATGTCTAATATGAGCTAAGGAAGGTAGAGGGTGGATGAGTGGGTTGAGTGGGGATAATTGTGCCATAAATTACCATTTTATGGTCTCAAACTATTCAATTGAATATTGAAAGTAAGATTAGATATAATTATGTAACTGCTAATTTTCCTAGGCCTTTGCCCTTCACCCTTTTCCCTTGAAGGAGAGATCTTGCCATCACCAGCCATTGCTCTCTAAAGATTAATTTTAAGTTAGAAATGTCTTGCTACCTAGCATGATCTATGATGTTAACACTATCAAGCAAATAAACCAAGCATAGAAGATGTATTGTAATATAGGTTTATCTTATTGAAAAATTTTTTTTCTTATATTGATGTATGTTGAGCAGAATAACAGTTGTATAATAAAATTGCATTTTAGTTGACATGTCTGAGAATTTGCTTCACGGGTTTCCTTGCGTTGACAGTCCATCAAGTGTCGACTCTGGTAACTCATCAAGTCCCAGTTCGCCACATCTTGCAACAGATGGGTCTTTTTCTTCGGGTCAGGAAAGTCCAGTTGAAAAAAGCCTTAGTTCACCAGATGTCTGGGAATCCCAGCTTTCGCCTACAAAAACTTCTGCCGTTCCAGCTGCAGAAAAAACAGTGAAAAAATTATTAGAGCTTCTTGTTGCTGCAAAAACTGCTGGAGAGCGGTCTTTGATATCAAATCTTTTGACTACACTTGTTACTAATTCTCTTGCAAAAAACAACCCATCTCTGCATAAATCCTTGGTTATTAAAAGTGATTCTCAGAATAAGCAGACTGCTGGTGTTAAAAGACCAGCATCTCTAGGCAATGAGAGCATTATAAATAAAAAACAGAAAACTGCTCCATGTTCAATCCCTATAAAACCTTCAATTGTTATGATAGAAGAGCCTGAAAAGGTTTGTGCCAGAAGTAATGTGTTTTCACTGAACATTAAATTTTTAAAATAAAATTGGTTTGTTTAAATTGCTTTTTGTGTTGGTGAATGCTTTAGCCACTATTTAGTTGCCATTTAGTTTACAAGTTAGCTTTCTTGGCAAGCCTGGTTTGTGATTGTTAAATGATATTTATTATATTCAATTTTCCAAATTCCTTTATGTAGAACTATAGAGCACGTTATGAAAGTGAAGGTTGTCGTGGACCTGTTCATGGATCTACTGAGCTCACTTTTCCAACATTTATGGTTGGTATCAACGCCAATTCTGGTTTTGAAACCTAAAGTCCAATATTTGTACAGTGAGAGTTGTATTGAATTATAACTTCTTGTAGGTTCAAGGTTATAATGCCCCTTTATGGGTGACTGTGTATCTTGCTACCAGCAATGGCACACCTCATTTTCATTTGTTATGTGGTCCTGGTTCGACCAAATTGCCTTGTCGTAATATTACTTTGAAGGATGAAGTAACTGCCATTCAAGTTTTGGTTGGTCCAGAGACTGAGATGACTGCTGTGTTAGTATGCACTGTCAGTTCAGGAGCTAGTGTGACAAAATTTAAACACATTCAGTTTTATCATACCTCTACAGAAATAACTTTTAACACATTTTTTAAAGTTAGAACCTAAGAGTGTAATTTTTTTAGTTTGGATTGCATAAGTTTGAAGAGGAGAAGAAATTTTGAAGCAGACAAAGAACTTCGAAGAAGAGGTTTAAACCCTGCCAATTGGAAATCAGAGAGGAAAGAAGCATGTTTTGTAATGACTGCAGAAATTCCTGGTAGCCCCAAACAAACAATTTCTTGCAAATCCAAAGTCTTTCAATGTAGTAAGTTCCCTATTATGACCATATGCTCATGTCTAACAGTGTTTTCACTCTTGCCATGAATACCAAAGCAAAACTATATGGTTGTTGATGTATGGTGATATTTTGTCGAAGTTGAATCACCAACCATTGGAGTGTTTTCTATAGCTGCTCCTCCTGGAAATCCTGAAATTTGGTGGATGAAACCTGTTGAGGGTTCTGTTACTGGTGGTGATGAAATTGGCATAATTGGAAAGAAATTCTTAAAAGGTGTGTAGAAAAATACTGATTTATTTATGCACAAATTTTTGTGTAGTCAAGTAATTTGTGTTATTGCAGGTTTTCAAGTGCGTTTCTATGGAGAATTACCTAGTGGTATGTAATTTTTGCCTTCCTTGTTTTACATATATGACCTTTTGTTGCAACTCAACATTTTTCTGCTTCATTTCATATTTTTCTTCCTGATTTCATTTTGAGTCATTAATAAAGTTGATTTTCTTTTCAAAGATTGGCATGTAGATAAAGAGAATTTTTAACTACAATTGCATGTTTTCTTGCAAACTTTCATTGTTCATTGAAAATTATTGCAAAAAATTTTGGGTTCAACAAAAGGTTTTGTTGTACATGCTCAGATGTGTACAGTACACTTCCCCATTTCACATTCTCTTTTGGACTTCAGTTAATTTTAACAGCAAATCAATTAATTTATGCACTCGGTTAATTTTGAAGGCTAAAATGAAAAATCTTACACCTCTTTTCTATTTTATTTCTATTGCTATCTTCAATCATACTTTGTTGATATTGCGTTAAGTTCAGAAAAAAACTGAAACTTTCAATTCTTTAAAACTTGTCTAAGTTTGATAGAATGGTTTTCTATTACTTGGACTTGACAAAAACACGCTTCAAAAATTTTGCCTGCTCAACGTGTTCTCATCGCTGCACAGTTTCTTTGCAAAGAAAGGAACACTTATTTTTACTTTCAAATTGTGTTATTAACTTGTTTTATGTTTTAGAACAATTTGAACAATAACAACAGGAGAAGTTGAGTTAGTACAATTAATAGGTTCAACTTCGATTCAGTATGCAAAAATAATTGATTTCTTGATTGACTTGTTTGCTTACTTTCTGTTTACTGCTTCTTAGTTGGAATTGGCTCATAGTTTGCTGATTCCAAAAAGGAAAATAAATAAATTTCGTAAGAAACTAAAATTTCAATGCTAGGCTTGGACTGGCTTCCATTTATGGGACTAGCTATTTTAAATTGGGTGAAGACTATTCGAATAAAATTTTGACGCGTTTCTTGAGGTGAATATTGTTCTATCCTGCTGAATGAAACATTGAAAGATTTATATTGCAAAAGACAATTTACACTAAATAAATTTCAATGTCAGAGCAGTTGCTAAGTGAGTAAAGTAGTTTGTTTTAAAAAAGATACGTGTTGCTCCATTTCCGATGACTTGAACGCTGGTCCAAAGTGTTTTCTGCCTCTATTTTTCCTTAATTGTTACTTATTTCACAAGAATTTGTCCAATTTGAAACAATAAGAACACATTTTTATTTCCCAGTAGGGGAGGGGGGGGCAGTGCCCTTGCACAATGCACACAAGCCAGTCCAAGCCTGGTTAATAGTACGAAGGGAATTGTACATAATATGATCACGAGGGTTGTTTTTTTTCAAATTATTTTAACGTATATCCTTATCACTTTGTCTTTCCGCAAAGGACATTTTGTCCAGTGGATAACATTGGATTTGGGGGTTATGGTGTTTTACTACTTCTCGCCCCTGTGCCACTTGCTTACTGCAAGTTGACGTTTTTAACTATGTTCTGTGTGTGACAGTTTTCACCCGCTTGTATTGTGCCATTAAGCCTTGATTTTGGCTATATCTTTTACTTATATGTACAGTGCCTGCCAGCGCTGAAGACTACTGGATTAAAACCTACAGGTTTTGTTCAAACTACTTATACAGTAATGAAGTATTGTATTATTTCTAGGATATGTTTATTGGTTGTTCTCATGGCTGTTAAAACGATTTCTATGTTTGACGGTTTTAAATCAAGAAGCACCTAAATCATTAAATTTATTTAATGCACCAAAATGTTTTAGATATCAACCATTGGTTAATTCTAAATTAATCCTCCCGTGACAATAAAAAAACGTGAGCCACATTCACTAAAACAATAAATTAATTTGAAATAATGACTTAGCTAAGCATTGCTATAGTCAAATCATATGATTAAAACTTTAACGTTTTTCTGCTATATCTAAATAAATAATGATAGGAAAGATTAACGCAAATTTTTGAATTCATGAGAATAACTTAAGGTTTCGTCTGTTAGGAAACACATCTTCAACAGTGTAGTGTTAAAAACAGGAACTTAAGAAATGGAATAAAGTTTAGCTAGTATTGTTGCAACACAACATCGATTTTACAATAGTTTTTTATAAATTGTTTGAAGTAAAGAAGTAAAAACAGCAATCTTTTGTTTGCGAGTTTACGAAGAATGTAGTTTTGCGTATTTTCAATGGAAAAAGTTATGATTGCTTTTAATTTTTGACATGTTTGTTGCAACATATACTCATCATTGGTCATCATGTTTGATTTCTTTTGACGGAGTTACATTTATGTTCAAAAATACGTGGGAAAAGTATTATTTTTGTTGAAAGTTTTAAAAAATTGTTGGCCAATTTAATATTTAGTCCATTTCAAAAGTTTCTGTTTGCTTGCGCTTATTGTGATTTGCTTCTATTTGGTTCCAGATAATGACGGCTGGATTCGTAGAATGTCCCCTGAGAAATTTTCTCTTTGATTACAGTGACAGTATTGGGTGGCATTCGTGCTAGTCATTGTGATCTTTTAGACAAAATCTTCTCACAGAGAGAGGAACAGTAAGAACTAAATCGAAAAAATTAACGTTTAGTTGTCGTGAAAGACTTTCTGAGGGGAGGTTGGGTGATGAATCCCTGATTAATTTGTAATTTTATGCTCGCTGTATATCTTATGTCTCTCTCATCGCCTCCTGAAACAACGTCTGCATGGGTTTTCCCCTTCACACGATAAAATTGACAAACAATCGCGACGTTTCCAATTGCTTTTGTAATTTTCTGTTGTAAAGGGACGGATAAAAGCAGTTGCAAACGTCAAGTAGTTTGTTGTATTTAGTATTTCGTTGTGTTGGTATTTTGTTCATCGTGTTGTATTTTTATTATGTGGCTTGACTTTTAACATCCGTGGTTGAATTTTTTGTCACTTCTTACTGACATTCAAATTGTGCTTAGTGGCTGTTAGGGTATGTTATTACGTTTTGTTGAAGATAAAGCCAAAACTTTACGGATATTAAAAGCTCGAGCGGCTACGTTAGTAGTAGTTTATATTTTGTTGTTTTAATGTTCTCGTACGTTGTGTAATGTAGTGTAAGTAATTCTCAAGTATTACATTGGTGGGGTAGGGACTAAAGGGGGTTTCGTCATTTGCTTGAGAATTGCTTCAAAATTTCTCCCACTAAGAAACACCGAATTCCATCTCAACAATTGAAAATTCCTCCAAGTTATGCTAATCAGAGAAGTCAAACCAAACAAGTTCCTTTGTGTTTTAGGCGAAGGTTGGGAAGCTTATGGGGAGATAAACAGAAGCAAATCAAACACGGTAAGTTTCTAGTCAGCATTATATCATAGTGAACTGATGTTTTTCACATTATCGCCCGTCGTTTCTGCAATTATCTCAAAATTTAGGGTGCGTGTGTGGTTAAATCCCCACCTCTACCTGCATCGTGCGTAACATCTCCGTTAAGCGTTAATGTGGAGATAAGTGGTGACATAGCGAACAATTATACTAGCAGCGATTCCGTTCCGTTTACGTATGTACCTGTTCCGCCACCAGCTCCTGAACCAAAAGCAATCGTGTCTCCTCTAGATGAAGAGTTACCATCTCTCGACCAAGATACGCAAGAACTGTACGATTTATTTCGTGATATTTCCCAAGTGACGACAGATTCGGCGTACATTCTTGATCTTGGTATTGATGCGCTCGACAAAGGTGATGTATGTGAAAACTGAATTTCAGCTGCCATGTAAAAATGCATTATTAGAGTGATGCCATGCCGGGTAGTTGTCATTTTTTTTCTCTAAAGAACATAATATTTAGCTTTTTTATCTCTCGCCTTTAAATATGCTTCAGCTCGCGAGAAAATCTTTTAAAAATTTTTTAAACACCTTCGAATTACTATCATTAATACTTTAATGGTTTATGTAGAATGGAAACAAATTTTGGACTCCATAGAAGAGCTTTATCGGACGAAGCAAATCACTGAGTTCCAGCAGAAGGTAAGGTATTGTTTCTTTATACTCAAATGGCGCTCTACAACAATTTGTAAAAAAGCCCAATTTTTAACTCAAAACCTCTTGATCCCTATGAACATTTTATTGCAGTACGATGTATCTACAATTTTAGAAAGAATGCAACAAAATTTCAACTTCAAATCCTGCTTCCACTCTTTAGAAAACCTTTTGTATTATATAAAATAGCGACTGTAGTCAGTTTCATTTTGTCGCATTTTAAACTATGTAGCAGAAACTTCTTTCGTCTCCTAAACATTTATATTAGTATTCAGATATGCAAACTAATCGTATTTAATTTTAGTTGCAGAATAATCAGATTTTCTTTTCCTTGTTTAGGAACTCAAATTCTTAGTGTCCCAGCACGACACTATCCTGCTTGAAGCATTTCGAACGACCAAACATTCCGTTACAGATTCGGAGTTTCTGCACGTTTTTTGCCAATATCTTGCTGGTCTAAGTAATTCAGTTTCGTCAAATTAGGAAATTTTAATAAGATGGCACTTGGCACTTTTGGTATATTGGTTTTAAGACAGCAAGATTTTAGCAAAATGAAAAAGTATATAGAGGAAATTGGTTTGAGCTATGTTCATTTAATTTTTAATTGTTATGTTGCTCAAATTTTGGTTGCGAGATGCAGGAAAATTTTGTGAATTGGTTGTAACTGTCAAATTGACAGTTGTCAAATAGAATTTCTATAAAGCAGAGATAATATAATTTATTCATTAAATTCTTGTAATAGTGGTTATTATATAACTTGTAAAATAAAAGAGTACCAACAATTATGTAAAGTTGCGTCCTATTTCTATGTATTATATAGGTATGTACTTTTCCTTGTAAATTTAAAATACATAAAATGACCTTTGATTTACCATAATGAAGAAGTTCATCTCATTTTCTTTTGTCTTTAATGCGTTTGGTTCATGTAAAGTTCGACGTTTGAAACAGGCCTAAAATATGCATGAGTATTTTTGTTGGATACTTTGCAAAAGTTGTTAAGGAACGTTGCTTCTTGTATATTTGCATTTTGTTACGACTCTGCTTGTTAATCACTTAATTTTTGTGTCCGATGATCTTAACATTATTTCTGAGTAGCAACAAATTTACATTCCATATAATCAGATCGTTCAACTATATTTACTCAACAAAAAAATGTTGACATAGGGTGTTTAAATTCTGGTATGAATGGGGTTGTGTAGTTTCTCGAAAAAAGCATTCGATACCATCGACCACAGTACGATTTTAGATAAAACAGCAATATATGTAATAAAAAAGGCGGTCGAACGTTGGCAGGAGTCGTATCCAACTAACTGGGCCCCCCAAAAAAATTAAAAAAAAAACGACCACACGGCAAGGTTTTGGCTTTGGTCCATTATTACTAATTCATTTGGATTATTTACCTAAATATAAAAGCAAGGATCTAAACCAAGTACATAAATTGCAACATGAAATAACGATGTTACAGAAATTTTTAGTCAGGCCCTTCCATGTACGAATGCAAGCCTTCGTTTAATGACACCTTTTCATAACAGGCAGGTCGTGTTTGCAGACACTGCTTTTGGTGTTTTACCATTCCATTACGTTATTACCTCACGTAACCTCTCGTAAGAGAACATCACCGTGAGTGGGCACCAGGTTGTGGTCGCTTACGGGACCGTTTGGTACATCATATTATTAATTACAAGATTATGTACTGTAACTTGAACTTCGCATCCTGGTAATTAGCGTGCCCCCAGCTTAAATCAATTACCAGAAAAAAGTTTTGGATTCATCATATAGAGCTGAATGGAATACCCTGTTGAGTTGAAAACAAAATTTGATAAATGATCGAAATCGACAATGATTATAAATATCGTGCGCTTTTCACCTTGGGAGTTGGCTTGTCAGGAAAACTCAATAGTATAATCGCCTTTTCTTCGAATGTCGTGTCGGAGCTTTTGATGTTTTTGTGTCCCATTTACGAGCGTGTATCCGGAAAATCCTGAGAGGAAATTTGTCTTTTGTACAATATGTACAAATTGTTTATCGTTATTTTAAATTTATGTTATTTGGAATTATGTCTAGAGGTTCTTGTTTCTCTTTAATGTATTCGTTGCACAATTACTTGATGCGCTGGAACTCGTCATTTACAGAGCAACATCTATAGATATGGTTCGCTGTTAAAACAGGGCGGGGGAGGGGTGACTTAAATGTCATCAGAATTCTTTCTATGATTCCATGGTATTTTTTCCAGCATTTTGATTTTTTGCTTTATCAGAAAAGCAAGTCAGTACAGCGCCCTCTTGTCTATATGATGCACTTGAAAAATCCTGTGAAAAGTGGAGGTAGCAATAAGGCTACTTTTTGTTTGTAGGAAGGTACACCCAAAATGTTCTCAGCATCCAAAACAAAAATCATATGTTATGGAAATCAATTCTTTGTGAAGATCATTTTAAATTTAATTTCAATGCACCATAGCATGCAATAACAAGTTAAATAATCTAACGATAAGAAGTGTGATGCAATAAATTTCTTTTTTGTTAGACTGTGCCCAACAAAGGTAATAATAATTCATACAACGTTTCCTAGTTTCAAAGTCTTAAATGCTTTACTTGACGATGTAAAAGTTCATGTTTGTGTACATGGATTAAATTAGCTAATCAATCCCTGATTGAAAAGTTCAAAAATAAAATTATCTACTATCAAAATGAAAAATTTATCATACCTTAAGAATTTCGAGGGTTGAAATGTTGAAATGTATGATATGTTATATTTGACTATTCCAGGTCAGTTCAGAACATCGTCGTCAAAGTATAAAAAGTAAATTATCAATCATATGGCAATTTCCAGTTTAAATCACTTCTCTATCCAAGTTCAAAGTCGACATACCTCTTCCTATCCGGTTCCCTCAACAAAGGTTCTGTGTTGATGTTTTCCTTTGTAAACATATTATTGTTTCCTGGCTTGAACAGGAAAGCAAACAATTGCTGTTTGAAAACGTGAACGATTATGAGGTAAATATAAAAAGCCATACAAGGTTAAAGGTCTCTTCATTCAAGTATTACCGCGACTAATGTTCACGAGTATTTTAAGAAGTACTATTGATGCCATTTTTTATGGAGTGTGAAATATGCTTGCACAAGTTGATAAATGATCAATATGTATGTTTAGGAAATGAAGTTCCGTGACTTTAATCAATTGCTAAATAAGAGCAAGCTCATCCTTCATAGCAAAGTCCATTTTTTCATTGTCAATTGGGTTCTCAACGAACCTGTTATCTGATATATATTTTTCTGGAATGTTGGTAGTATTCAATTATGGCCAAATCAGACCATTTTGGCAACAGGAGAATATAAAAGATTATTAACAGCAGTTATTACATTCTTTATGTTTATCAAGATACAAGCATCTGCCTTACCACTCGTAACTGTACCATGGTCAATAAGAAGATACAGCGTCAGATAAACATGGTGACATGAACGGAACTGTTTCTCACTTAGCAGCTGAGAGTTTCGCGACATGAGTGCTTCCGGTTGTAAAGAACGACAACAACTTTAATTGGGTTAAAAGATTAGATAAGTGCCACAAGGCCTCGCACCGTGGCGTGTTCATAATACTTTATCATCTCATTTTGGTAAATAAATAGCATAGTGATAATAATGTGAATAGTAGTCGGGAAACATCAGATATATTGAAACCGAAAGCAAGACGAGGGCGTATATCTGTGATCGTGCAGTTCTTTAGAATTCCATTCCATATATAATAATATCATTGACGAGAAACTTAAAGACATATACAACTGTCATCAAAAGAATCTTTCAATTTCACACTTCAAATAGTCAGATTTGACTGCTACATCCACGCGTGGAAATTGATCAACGTTTAAGGTAAATCCAGTACTATGTAGTTTGTATAAGACGTCTGTATGCTATAGGCAGGATTGCGAAGTTTACAAAATAATCATTCTCAGTGCAAACAAAAACTGTGTCATAACAGAAGCAGTGCTGGTCATGTACGAAAATAGTTTTGCAACGTCCTTCTCTCAACAGATGACTCACAAATAGTCTGAAAGATTTGCGTTGTAGTCCATAGCCACATGGTAGTAAATTTGACTTTTAGGCAAGTTTTTAACATCAAACTTTTTATGCGTACATTGCATTAAGAAAAATAGCTTCTAGTACTAGCCATTCCCTGATTATCTTCTAATGCGTTCCGCACCTTAAAAGTTTGACGTTTGAAATCGACCTTACAGATACTCTATCAAATTGTAATATGTTTACCATTGACCCCTATGTCATTACCCAAGGTTGGCGCTTTTTATCCATATCTACTCGAAGAACATTGCTTTCATAAACGTATGTATTAAATCGACCATGCAATGTGGTCTTTCGAGTATTCATTAACGCGCTGCTCTGCTGTAGTACATTTTTGTGCTCTCTACCTAGTACAGACGCGGTCTAAATGTTGCGTTTAAATTTGAAATCCTTGGCAGCATTGTAACGGCAATATGTCCCTGATGTAAGATGCAAACTCTGCTCCAACAAATTATGCAGCAATGTAAAATCAAAACACATTTGATATAGATGAAACTAGGGGCTTCGTATCAAAAAGTGTATACAGTATAAATTAAGACAAGATGATAATACTTTAGCATTTAGAAAACATTTAATCCAACACTTAACTCTGGTTTGTGGTGTATTGAAGAATCAGCGTGATTCAAAAGAGATGTTTACATACTATATGAACAGTTATTTATCATTTATCTGTTGTGTGCAAATACGCACATGTTATGTAATTCATCATTGAAATTCATTCTTTGATGAAAACCTGGGACTCTTCTATGATATACACGTACTTTAAATTAAACATAGCAATACATGTGTTACATCGCAACCAGCTGCCAAGTGCAAGGTGTAAGGAGACATTTAATCTCTTTATTTGGTTAAAATGCCAATCTTGAAAAAGCATCGACTTACCTAACTATTTATTTAGCCTTTCTCAAGGAAGTTATGGTTCTTAACATAATTATAATTAGAAAGATTTTGCTATGGCAGCAATAACATAAACCTGATGCTATACCATGCTCATCAATACAGACATGACAATATAGCTATTGCATTACACCAAACTTTATCTACATGTCACTTATTCTGCTACATTTAGCAGTTAATAGCAACAAATATAAGTTTCTTTTGAGTATTGCATGATGAACAAATTGGATCAAAACGAACTGATTGAATTTAATGAGACTGAATATTAGTAATGAAAATAAGAATGATGATTTTCTATCGCGTTGTCAACTGTTTCATTTCAATGTGTTGAATATATCTGAATAAAAGCAATATTTCTGAAAGCTTTCAATCTGTGTTGAATGATGATCGAAGAAAACTGTTTGATGACTGCGAAAATAAAATACAGCTAACCAATAACACAATTGTGGAACATTACTCTTTGTAAAAACAAAAATGGCGCCGTCAACTCCTATTAATTGTGTAATTTTTAGTGACTAGCTATCCATTGGACTGATGTGTTGAAAATATCGACAATAGCAATATATGTTCCAGACAAGAACTGGAGCCCTTTTATTTTTTTTTCGTAAATTAAGTTAGAAAAACATGATTAGCCGATGAGTGATGCAGATATTGTGTCCAAAAATACACATATCCCATTTATAACCACGTGTGGTGAGGTTTAATTAATCCTCTTTTCATGCAAAATTCTTTGCGTGCAATCACAAAGAAGGATAAAGCATGTGAAAAAATTACCTATACAAAATCATCACAAAGATTAAATCTTCACTCTTCGTGTGCGAACATAATTGGCCATGGCCAGTTTCATAAATGCAATTTAGCTTTAACGCTATCAATAACTTGTACAAAAGTTATTTGTCCGACTATCTTAAATAACATCACATCTAACGCACCAAACAATGAAAATTGTTGCTAATTTTTTCGACCCAAATTTACACTACCCTGTTTGAATCATTAAGCATGCAGGAACATTTGAAATAATGTTTAAACTTTGAAGAGTGAAGACATATCAGTTTTTTGCAGTGAGTAGTATAGTAAGATTTGTAACTGTAATGTAATAGAAAGACTTACGCATTTTGACCTAATGTCAGTCCAGGGATATTTAATATTCTATTGAATTTTTAAGTTAATGCGGATTTTGGAGATAATGCTTATTAAGTTCGAAATACGATAACGTGGGAAATGCTAACATCGCCTTTCTTCACAAACACCTTGTAGAACGCAAAATATATAAAATACATTATTATTAGTGGTATGCAGCTCCTCGTTTCACTTTTTTAATTGTCCTGTATTTCGTACAATTAAGATCATTGGTGCCAGGATGAAGAGCGTGTTTCCGCAATTTTCGAGATTTTTGTGATTATCGATTTGACCTCGACAAAACTACAACATCAATATTTATAAAGCATGAAATAACCATACGATGAGCATTTCATCGTTCAAAAATTCATCAAACGTCATTGCTAAATTTTAATCAAATTTTTTCTACCTTGTGGTGCTTTGTGAGCCCATTATTAATTAATAAAATGCTTATGGCTTATAAAAGTATTGTAAGTCATGCAGTCAAGTCAATCTGTAACCAACTAAGCCCCCCACTAGTCAATTTGTCTGTCTCATACCTCAAGTCACACTCCATATATGGGGAATTTCTCAAACAAATTGTCAATTTGTCTTTGCTATTAAACGTAAATAAACAATTAACGAGGTATTTCCTTTTTGCACTTCAAAATAAAAAAATTTCCCAAGCAAATAGTTCCAAACAAAAGTATAGCAAGAAGATTAATTGCTGATGGATACTTATTAACTGCTGTTACTGTAATGATAGTCATATCAAATACAGAGTTTTGAACTTTGAAGAATTTTTTGTCACGCGTGGGGATGGGGTTAGGGTAAGGTTTAGGGACATACCTGCTCGTATGGTATACGAGCACCAACGCCATAAGCTATTTTTCGAAGCTAAGTTTCAATTTCTTATTATTGATATAAAGTCCTGGGAATGGGGCATTTTGAAATTATCGGTGTCAACTTTGCCTACTGGCCGTAGATGTCTTCATGTTGACCGTTATGCCTTTAAATTTCACGGTCTGCGCATGTTTCCCTGCTCTTTAGGACAGAATACTGCGGAAATTTCATGGACAGCGCCACGTAATTGAACCTGGTTGGGGTTACGACTTACATATAGAAAATGTACGGTGTCTTACTTTGCCTCAAGTTAAGCTAAAATATATAAACGTTAACAAAAACTTTATCTTGAGGAAAAAGTGGGGGATGCTTTCGTCTCACAGCCTCCCCCCTCCCATTTGGCGCCTTTCCTGAATTTAAGAATATTTTACGCTTGTTGTCAACTATACTATCTCCAAAATATTCGTCTGTTTGTTTGGTATAGTTTAGTGTTAATGCTTTTGTGACCTGAGCACCATTTGAAATTTCGAAATAGCAATGTAACAAAATTTGAAAATAGTCTTGACTTTAGGCATTGATTCTCTTAAAACTTTGTAACATTCAAGGAAAAACTGGTTTTGACCTTATTTTTTCTACTTTCCAGACAAGCTTTAAGAGTACGAGAGTAATTGAAAAGTGGATCTACATATACCTTTTATAGACTCCAGTGTCGGTAAATAAATTATAACTGACCGTCAATAGATAAAATTGTATTCTTAGAAATTATCAACGAATTGCTATGTTGTAAAGGTATTTTGAATTAGCAGGTGTAATCGATTTTGCTTTACTCTGGATCGCTGAAGGTTGACTTGTACTACCCGATTATGAATTAAATGTTCGAATATTTCATAAAAATTAAAATGAGGAAAGTTCGAGAACAAAAATTGAGAGTATATTGCCTCAAAAGGTGGGAAAACTTCCGACTCAGCCAGTCTCAGAGAGTGCAAATTGTTTAGCTTTCCGTTTTTGCTTTTCTTCAATGTCGTGCTGCTACAGTCATGCAGTTATGTTTATCAAACTTCAAATCTCAATTCAATTGATGAATGCTTGGCGATTAAGGAGTGATTCTTTAAAAAATTAAATATAGTGCAATAAATGTTGTCTTGATGTATGTCTAATTGATACTGTCAAATAATTATATTCAACGTTACCATGCTAAAGCCAAATTAGTCAAGTAAGAATGTTATAAAATCAATTTTGAACAAAAGTATAATGCAATAAATAGTCTCCACGGAAAGTTATAATAAAAATATTATTCTTTTTCCTTGAATAAGAGCATTTGACCTGCATTGCTCTAAAAATATAATATGTACAACTTTAACGCTACTCTCTGTCTCTCAGTCATAGCTAATACACAAATGCCTACTAGAAAAATGAAAGGCGGCTTTGTAACGATTGCATGACGTATCATTGAGATCGTGAATGGAAGTAATCTTCATGTCTGTGTGTGTCATAAATTTTCATCAGTATTTGAACTCATTTTGAAAAGGATTTTTACACTTGAAATTAACATGACAATTTACACTTGAGTCTACAAGTACATACCCCTAAAGGGACTGGAAATGAGTCCGTATCAAAAACGCATTAATTACTTTCAAAGCAGCAAAGACAACATATTTATCAACTTTATGTACGATATGTTACCATACACCTTGCTACTAGACGATACTTACTCGTCGGTGCTCGCCGTTGTCTTAACATTTTGGTTCCTTAGGTAATCTATCCTGGAAAATCAACTATTTTAGTCCATAAACCTCAAAAATGTGTCATTCTTTCATAGCAATTCCAAAAGTCTTCTTGTTGACCGTTTTATCACAAAGCAAAGCGACGAAAAGAATTTAATGTTTGTATTCTTCCTTTTTGACGAACGTTTTATTACTCGTCAAACTAAGAATAATCACAATGGAGAGAATTGGCATACATAATAGTACAAATATTCTCATTGATAATTGGTCACAACGTTGCTTATTACGTAGTTTTATTTGCTGACGTCAAACACTATAACTTTGCCTTGCATTTTTTATGACATATTGCCTTCGCTAATAATTATATAAATGATGACATGAGAAACCTTTTAAACTCTGAAAGAAATTTTGCATAAAGACATTAAGCACAACTCTCTGGATACGACCTATTGGTAGCTTTTTGTGGTAAGTGTGCCAGTAGTTAATAAAAGATCGAACACGAACGAAAAGAATATTTTGGAAAACGTATTAATATCAAATAAAGATAAATCGTGGGGATTACAAAGTGGCCTCTTCTGAGATTTAGTCTTTTCTGTTGAAATCATTTTCCTCCGTGAGAAAAACAGTTGTAAATTTTCCCCAGGTGAATTCAAATTTGACTTGTTTTCGCAGAATTATAAAAATGACCAGTTTAATGTTATAGAAACAATAAAAATAAACGGTTATTAAAGGAAATTAAAGTAAACATAAAATCTTTTAATTCAATTTGGTGTTTATATTAGGTCAAATTTCACTCAATCACTATGACAACGTTTAGCCTTCAATCGCAGCAAATAAGAGTGTTTATGCAGCTAAAAAGGATATGAAATCCAATAAAACAATAAAATAAAATATCAAATCACGCAGAACTGTCAAATCTGTGTATTTCTCATGCAATTAGCGCTAAACCTTCTTATTAAGCATACTTGCCTGTTTAAGTTTGCAGTTCAGTGATATTCTTCATGCAGTTCTTTGCAAATATTCAGTCGAAGTTAAAAATAATTTGTAAGCTCCTTTGAACAACAGCAAAACACCATGTAGACAAACTTAGTTAAAAAAGCCAAGGAATTTGCGTGTAAAGCAAATTACTTAGCGTTGGCCTCATAATTCATTGAAAGAACAAAGAGTTGATAAGCAGGATTTTAATTTGTTCATCCTATTATCGCTTACATACACCTAACATAAACGAGTTGACCTACTCCACCTACGAACGTTGCTGTATAATACTTGCAGCAGGCGTCTATGATGATTTGTGTTCAATCAAAACCACATCGCAGCATCATATACGTTTTGACTAATAGCTAAAAGCAGCTTGCTGTGTAATATCTCCTAGCATAAGTCAATAAGTCGACAAGGAGTTTATTATCGATAAGGAATATGTATCAGCATGTAGTGTTTCTACTATCTCAATGTTCATATCGTTTGATATGAAAAAGGGGGTGGTATTTATGTTTGTTTGGCATTAAATTTTCATACAAATCGTTTAAGGGGAGGGGGGTGTAATAGTTGGCGTACGTTTGAAAATTAAAATACACCTCAGCTGTCACTGCTTATAGCAATATGTATATTTTGAATGAAAAAAATGACGAACGGCAGGTGGGCGATTTTGATCAAAAATTTTTCATTGTAACAGTTGAGAAATGGTTTATGAAACAATAAATAACATCTTTTCGCTTAATAAATATAGATTCTGGATTGTTCACTGTCATGGATTGCAAAGAATGCAGTTGAATTACTTTTCTATTCATAATTGTTACTTTTATGCAATAGCACACTTTATCAGCAAGTGCATAGTCCATATTTGCCATCATCTATCATGGTATGTGTCAATCCCCTAAGAGATGACGATTTTAAGTACTTGCATAAACATGGGATTGTTGCTATAATTAGTTTTATAAATGATTTCATCATCTGCTCATCAGCCCATGAGTTGAAATCGTCTTTGCTAGCATATGTTCTAGAACACGGAAATGTTAATATATATGGTTTTTAAATTTATTAATAGTGAATGCAACATAATCATCTTGACTGGAAATCCCTCGAATGTGCAATCAGTGTTATAAAGGACAATGCCAATATTTTATTTTTTATATTCAAGGTGGCCTGACTTTGTGACAACCAAAAAGTTCTGTAATTAGTTTGGAAAATGTCACAAGGGCATGCCTTGTTAAATTGTATTTTATAATTTAGCTCTTCGTCACATTCATTGAGATGAGATTGAAATACGTAGCCATCTCCCGTGAGAACCCGACATTGTTTGGTGTTGTTCGGTGTCAATCAAATTACCAATAAAACATTAAATTGAGCATGTGCGACACTGTAGCCGTTATGATAAAATATCTGTTTACTGAATGATTGAGATAAAATTCTCTGGACTCAGGATAAACACATGCATGCATGTCAAAATAAAGTTAATGACGAACAAGTGTGCAAGATAAACAACTGTCATTGTAAGGTGGTTTTCACTTCAATCAGCCTACCTGTTGAATGAACAAAACTGCTTTAAATTCCTGCAATTGTTTGAGTATCAAGCCACTGTGTGAACATTTTGGCTCAATCTCATTAGAGTAAAGTTCCCATGGCACGCTGGGAACACATACACACCATGCAAAACGATGTTGTGCTGACGCAGAGAGGTCACAGCAGTGTAGTTCACAAGCGCGGGCATGTGCCTAAAGAAATATATATCTTTGTCTACCGCATGCTGATTGCTAATCTTTGAGTTAGCCATAAGCCCTATGCATCTTTTTGTTTATACTATATTTTGGACGGAGCATCATATGGACGAACAGCAACTTATGTACAGCAAATTAAACAAAAAGGTCTGTTGATGAAGCTTAGATAATTTCATAGTGCAGATAGTATGTGCTCAATTCAACTAAACAACACGTGTCAAAAGCAAATTTTTGCATGCAGTCGATGTAAACAAGAGCCAGGGTGAGAGTGAATACTTTGGGTGAAACAAATCATCAGTAAAAGCAAGCGGCTTTACAAGACCAAGGGCGAAATCAGCGAACACAAGTTTTAAAATTTCATTATTAAACTACCTGTGCGAAATGTTTTCGTTAGTCATGTTTTCTTTAGCTAAATTAAACAAACTTGAGTATGTTAAGTGGTTGGTGTTCCGTAAGAGTGCTAAACGGCTGTTAAACGAATTCTTACTCACGCAAACGTGTGCTTTGTAAACGCAACTCTAACGCACACTCTATCGACTAACTATGGACTTCATTGTCTACATCGATGGTTATAATTCAAATAGCAGTTTCTAACGAAAAAAGCCGATTCTAATTTCCTTCGTTAACCACAAAGGTCATACATTTATTCGTCTCCTAAATTGAAAGTACCCCCCATGGACTAGTTTGTTTTGATATATTAGAAATACAAAGCGCAATAGTCAAACGTTCTTTGACGGCATTGTGAGCCTTGCCGAGCTATATCAAAGTAAAGGCAACAGTTTATTGAGTACAATAATTTGAAAAGTTACTCCCTGCAAACGAAGGTATAAATTATATATATCACTTCTAAACAGGTAATCGTATTTGGAAAATTGTCTCTAAATTTCGAACAGTACGCGGGAAATTTTTGTTATCGTTCGCATAAGTCTGGTATATTTTTCATGGCACGAGAAAATGTGTCATTAGCGTGTCGCACGTTTTGCTGTCTTTGACGTTTTGTTTATGGCTACGTTTCTTTGAGTATAGATTATCGTGATATAATTGAAAACATGATAATGGCCCTGTGATAATAGGCGTACTGTCACAACCATGTTTAACTTGATCAGAATAACGACATTGTGCCATGAAAGCGTGGTCGATTTCTCAAGCAAATCACACTGTTCTTCGTTATATTCTTCCTAACACATTCTTTCCTTTACAGGCCTGATAAGTACACACAATGATTACGATGTACTTGCAAGTGTTTGGAATTATGGCGATGTATGTCGTGTCTTTAGTAGCTGGTGGTGAGCAAATTCCGAAGATCGCTCGAAATAACGCTCTTGTTGTGCCATACGGTAGGTCCGCATGGCTTGACCCACAAGAGCATTTGTTTATTGAAGTTCCTAAGAGATGTCGGTGTGAGGTCACCGTGGTTCGTGATGATCCACTTGCGGAGAGAACCGGTTATTTAACACCGGATGAATTTTCTTGTCGATTTTCCCAAGGCAAAGTAAAATACGTCCACCTTGGTTCAAAAGCACCAAGTGAAGATTTCGTGAAGTTGAGTGTCCGACTTGATTGCCCGACCAGCACATTTCTTCGTCGTATTGCTTTGGAAGTAAACGTGAATTTTGTGCCAATGAATATAGTTCAGATAAAAAAGGATCTGATCGTAAGTGAACCTGGCCGTGTCTCATCAGCTATCGACAGTCAAATATTGGAGTTTACTTACGATCAACAAAGCACAAAAGATTGTCGGATAGTAATTCGTGACTCAGAAAAAGGACTGCCTCGCTATGGTGAGTTGCTCAATGCCACAATGGCTCTTAGAAAAATGATAAATTGTACCGCTTTCCTTGCTGCGGATGTACGCTACAAGCACACGAGAGGAGCTTTATCGTCAAACAGAGACTACATTCCCTTGCTGGTAGAAGTTCTTTTGGAAAATGGCCAACGCGAGGTGGAACACTTTCAACTAGCTGTGAGGATAATGGGTGCAAGAAAAAACGAACGACCAAAGGCCTCTTTTCAGGCTTTAGAGTTAATGTCAGTGGATCAACATGTCACAACGCTGATCACCACCGATGTTCTTGATGCTGAAGATAAAGAAACCAATGCGGACTATTTAATATTCAATATTACTAAGCCACTAATCCCCGAGAAAGGTTACATTGTTAACACTGATGATCTTTACACCCCAATTACATCCTTTTATAGAAAGGACTTAAAGGAATTGAAAATTGCTTACAAGCCTCCGTCGAAAATGATCAATTTTAGGCAAACCTTAGAGATTTTGTTTGAAGTGATCGATGCAGAAGCACTGCATTCTTTGCCTATACGTTTGTTGATTGAAGTTCGACCTAGAACCACGTTAGCTCCGATAGTTACAAAAAACAAGGAACTTGTGCTTTTCGAGGGTCAATCAAGAATTATCTCATCACAAGGAAATTTGGAAGTTATCGATAAGGATAACATAGAGGACGTGAAGGTTCAAGTTGTTGGCGGATTACGTCATGGTGAGTTGTATGTGAATGGTAAGGCAGCAAGTACTTTTACACCAGCTGACTTGGATAATGGAACTATACTTTATCAACATGATGATTCAGATACATATAGCGACAATATCATATTGAACGTCACTGATGGAGAACACCACGTCGAATTTGTATTTGTGATCAACATCATGAGTGTGGACGATCAAATGCCTATTTTGGTGGCTAATACTGGGTTAGAACTAATAAAAGGCCAACATGCAATAATTGACGAGCACTCTTTGAAAGCTTTTGATGTCGATTCTGATACCAGCAAAATAGAATTTCTCGTCGGATCTCAATTGCAGCGCGGTGCATACTGGGTAGAAGGAATGGGTGAACCGGGTCTTCAAGCTGGACTTTTGATGCTTCGGCAAACGGAAACACCAAAAAATCCAGATTTGTGGTGGAATAGAGGGGCTCACTGGGTAAGAAGCAACATCAATTCTTTTACACAGGAGGATATACAGAAAAGAAGATTGTATTATGTGCACTCTGGCACTGAAATATTCGAAGACAGATTTTATTTTCAAATGACAGACAATGCAGAAAAACCTAATCAGTCTAGTCTAAAGGTTTTCAAAATTTTCATAAAACAACACGATAAGAAGAGTCCAAAGTTAGATACGGATAGTACGTTGCTGCTTGAGGTTAGAAATTCCAACTTGGTTAAACTCACAAGAAAAATGATATGGTATACAGATGAGGATTCGAATGATTTAGACCTTTTTTATACAATTGACAAAGCTCCTCACTTCCTGAATTCAGGTGAAAATGAAACAGCGGATGCTGGACACATTGTTTCCAGCGATCATCCCGAAAAAATATTGTCTACCTTTACACAAAGAATGTTACGACACCACAAAGTGGCATACAAACCACCATCTGCACTTTACCGTCACACAGACATTTACATAAAGTTTCATTTCACAGTTTATGACCCAGCTCGTAATAATGTGACAAAGCAAAAATTTTACATTTTGCTTTCAGCTGATGTAAGTCACACCGACCGTGAGAGAGTTTTTACTCTCTACTTTGATAATAATGGAAAAGTGCTTTTACCTACGAAGCAGAACTTGAAATGGCAGCAATTTACTATTGATGCTTTGCCAGCAAGTGGAGCGCTGTACAAAAGTGGACGAAGACTTGACATTTCTGATAGCTTCACAATTGAGGACATCGAAAATCAGAGAATTCTCTTTGTACCACAAAAAACCAACAATGACGGATCAGATCAGATTAGAGTAAGGAAATTCAATGGAAAGAAAATGGCAACTTTGCACATTCAGGCGGGTACGTTAACATTATACAAAGAAATAAATTGCAAATTGTTGTCGAATTGAAATTTTGCTACCAACTAATTTAGTTGATGACAAAATACTCGATTCCACCCCTTGCCGCTATAATAAGTTTTAGAAAATAGGAAATATTTGTTAGGAAGGCTTGAAATTTATGTAATCATACATGAATTTAGGTCATCTCAGCTGCATTAGACGCAGTGTGTAGTAATTTATTAGTGAACGTAGTAGCTAAGCAGCCATTAAAAATATGGTAAAATTTTTTTCAATTGCCAGCTTCTGCTCTGCAATGACAGCGAACGTTATTACGTTTATATTTGACATGCTTTTAATTGCTTTTTGGCTCAAAGCTCAAACTCGGCATCATAAAGTATTGCGGCAACGTTTTGATGAAAGCTGAAAACGGCGCTCCTTTTAGCCATTGTGTTTGGACATTTACAAATGAGCGACTAATGACAAACATCACTCACTCCAATTCATCTGTGCATCGGTATCATAACTTTGCGACTCATTCATTAGATTCACTAATTTAAAAGCAAAACAATAGTCTGTATGAGCATGCATTCAAGTAAACGAAAAACAGACCGTTCCACAAGCAACGTTAATTCAAAGGTCAGAGTAGTTGGTGTTTGTACAATGCCACGATGATACGATTACAGTATTGCATGTCGTCCGGGCACAGATGGTTTTTGATGGTCATGTTTGTGCTAGTATGAAATACATTGATTGCTCATGAACTTGTTTGTCTTTGTGTGTGTAATTTTATGACCAAAATGCCTGGTCGCAAATAATCGCGACTAAGCAAATCATTATAGTTCATGAGCAAAGATGCTGGAAGTTTATATATGAACTCTCGTACCTTTTACTGATAATCACAGCAAGAAAATGTTTGTTTTATAAGTAGTATAAATAGTTACATTGCTAAGGCATTTTAAGAATACCTACCTTGTCGAATTGTTCCAAACAGACGCTCTTGCTGGCAAGTTTTGAAAATAGTTTTCCAGCTGCGATTTAACAAGGAGTTGATTTCTTCGAGAAGAATTGAAAGTGATTCCATTCAAATATTCCAACAATCGACCCTCTTTTTGCTGGAATAGTTGTTCCGCTTGCAAAAGTGTTAGTTGTCGTTTTACCGTATTTGCCTTGCGTACTTGCTATCGTTTATTGACATTTATCAACAAATACGAACAATATCCGGCAATTCAGAAAAACAATACAACATTTAAACATACACATGTTCGTTAGGTTAGTACTAACAGTGTTTCGCTACGTGTGATTGTATGAATTAGCATACTATATGTATACTGCCCCATCAAAGAGAAGAATTGATTATGAAGCAAATGCGTACTATATTTAGATTTCACATTGACAAAGGTACTTAATATATGGTTGCTTATTCCACGCTGGTCAAGCAAACCAATATGTTTATTTTTGCAATAGAAAACTTCGTGTGTTACTACCTCAGATGAATCAGCTCCACAGAAGTGAACGGTTTTTATCGACATTCCTATTTTCTATCTTTAGGCAGATGCAATTTACGTATATATAAATATAACCTTTCGTGTTTAATTTTGTCCCAGTAAATTGCTCTTCTTGATAAGGTTCTTGAAGGGGTTCCTCGGGAAATATGCAAAAAAAATAGCTTGCACGTCGCTAGCTATTTCAAAATTTTACACGTCAAATGTGCTCATTTGTTGGAAGTATTTTGTTTTTTATTTTTAGCCTTATTTTTCCATTTCATTTATAATTGCTCTGGCTCTCTATATATAATAAATCAAAATGCTTAATTAACTAAACATTTACAATCTGTAATAATCGTAATCATATGACGATGTCTAAACGTCACTATAAAAATAGTATTTATACTATTATTTCATATCGCGTGCTGTTATAATATCATTTTAAAAATTCGGATTCCCTCGCAGCACGTCTCTGCTTAGTCTGAATAATGCCGACTGAGCTGTGCGAAGCTCTGTTTTCATAACATGACAACTTTAACAAGCTTTTCGTTTTTAAATTTTTTTAATTAGTAAAGTTAAACAAAATAATGCGAGCCATAATTGAATTAGAGATGAATCCGCCTATTGTCGACATGGATAAGCATATTATGAAAATAACCAATAAATCATTTTTGGGATGTTTTTACTGTTTCTGCATCTTATTGTCATACCCTGGCAACACTGAAATACTTAATGCGTCATTTAAATGGAGCAAACAAACACTTTTGTTTTGATTTACTTATAGCTTGTGCCAACATGTATTTTTGCCAGCATAAAACGGAACTCTGCAGGATTCTGAAACGTGCAGCAAAATGCGTATTGGCAGTGTTTGTGTATATTTTATAAAACTCTTTGTTATCCAGTGAGTCCAATTACCGTTTAATTAGATCTTGTTCCGGAAACATTGCAATACAGACGAAAGCTAATGATTGCTGTATTATTTTGAAAATATGCTTTTATTTGAGGGGGGTATCTTCATATATCTCTAGGCTTTATTAGCAGACTCCAGAGTGTGCTCACATCATGATCATGAATATCATAAAAATTGATGATTTGTGGAAAGCCTGTTTGTAGGCTGTAGAGTCGAATGATATTTTACGAGTTCACCAGATTGACCTGGCTCTAAGAGAAGGGTTTCAGCGTACGTTACTCATAACATCATTTTTGACTTGAAAGCTTCCGCATAACTCAACGCACCTAAGACTTTAACATTCATTTTCCATTAGACTTTGTAAATATTCAAAAATGAGGCAAAATTATTGCTCAACAATTTCATGTTCAAAGCATATATTCCAAATTACTACAAACAAAAGGCATTGCATTATTCCCACAAAGTTTTATACCATGAAAATATCACATATGGTAAAATTATACCAGTCTTTTCCTTGCGACCTGAAATGAGAACAAGCTAGTCTTGCAACCATGCTTGCAACCTGAAATCGCATACTACGTGTGAGAACTGGGGTAGAGGCATATATCTCTATAAATAGAGAATGATGTGGTTGATAAATAGTTTTTAAACACAGACTCGAAGGTCGAGGGTTTCACATGCTCAAGAGTTCTCCCAAACGCCTCCGAGGTTTGCATAAGCCAGTGCAAACATAAAAAAACATCTTTTATTTATTTTATAAAATAATCATAATGGGAAACAGATAAGTTTTGAACAAAAGTTTTAATATTCTTCTAAAATGTATTCAAGATTGATTTGCAAATTCTCTTTGATTTGATTGATTGATTGATTGATGTAATTGGTTCAGGTCAGATTAATTTGTACAGTTTATTTGTGTTTATTTTATAATGTTTTTTGATCGATCATATTCAATTTACAGCCTCGCAGCACAAAACGACGGACACACGTGCAAGAAACCAGCACCCACCCACATTAGTAAGAAATGCAGCAATCAGCGTCGAGGAGGCGGGCTCAGCGTTCATTACCAGCCAAGAGCTTCATGCGAACGATCCTGACTCAAACGATTTGGAATTGCTTTTTATGGTAAATTCACTTCCCACGCAAGGTCACATATTGGTCAACGGAAGCATTGCAAACAGTTTTACACAAGAGGATATAATGAATAATCTCGTAATGTATTTACACGACGCCCGGGAGATAGGTGTGAATGAAGCGCACGATAACTTCAACTTAACCATGACTGATGATCCTGATGGTCTTTTGATAAGCGAATTCCACAGAGTTGGTAATATTTTATTGATTGAGCATGTCTCGAGCTTGTGTATATGAGTACTGCCTTTATTGTTCCAAATGATATATGCATGACGATAGTGGAATAGGTAGTAGTTCAAAAACGGGGGGGGGCACCCAACAGATAGAGGGGGAGGGCACAGGCTAACAAGCATATTTTATTGCGTTAATGTAAAAACTGCTGGAAATTCAAAATACGTATCTCTGGGACAATGAAGTCAGCAGTCAGCACACTAATCAAACCATGACACCGTCTACCTGGCCTACCACACTAAGTATTCCCAAAGGTCACTTCAATCTCTGCTCTCTGCACAAAGCATTTTTTGTTGAGCATAACGGCTGTATTATAAAATTATGTTTTTGCTTGTTTCTTTTCAGCAATCAAGTTCAGCGTGCGAATCTCGCCTGTTGACGATAAAAAACCGATGATCAAAGTCAACAGCTCTCTCGAAGTTTTGGAAGGCGAGAAGGCTCCTTTGACAACAGACAGACTGATTATCACTGATGAAGATACCGTACCCGATGATATTGTGTGTAGTATCGACGTTTTACCTGAGTATGGATATTTCGAAAACATCGCACCATTGCCTGGAATGGAACAGTCACAAGTCGGTATTCCAATAATGAACTTTGTCGTCCGTGATCTAATAAGTCAAAGAATCAATTATGTTCAAAATAGACATCGAGGAGTCGAACCAAAATCAGATATGTTTGCGTTCTCTTGTTCTGACGGTCTAAAGGACTCAACGCGTCATATGATGATGATTCATATTAGAGGACAAAATGATGAAATTCCAGAATTATTTCTGAACAAATTTCAGCTTGAAGAAGGTGGAAGAAAGACAATTAGTTCCGTGTTATTGAATATAGACGACGGTGATGTTCCTAAAGACATTTTGACTCTAAGATTGCTGAAGTCACCAAAACATGGTGACGTTTTAGACCAGTCAAAAACCCCTTCAGAGAGTATACGTAGCTTTTCTTTTGAAAAAATACGTCGAAATGAAATAGCTTACGTTCACGACGATTCAGAAACCAACAGAGATGTCTTAGCGTTTTTGCTTACGGACGGTATTCATGAAGTGAGAAAAGATGTCGTCATCAGCATTCTTTCCATCGATGACGAAACGCCACGTCTCGTGACCAACAATGGGATGATGCTGAGGAGCGTTGGCGAAACTCGAATGGTATCCTCACAAATGCTGCTTGCAGAAGATGACGATTCTGACAATTTTAACTTGACTTATAAATTGCGAAAGATTCCGGAAAAATCACAGTTGATGCTTTATGGACAAAATACTCTTCCTCGTAATCTGACCAAAGGATCAAAATTCAAACAAAGTGATATTAATCGTGGGTTGTTGTTTTATACAGATATGTCTTTGTTTCCTTCTACACAAAAAGAAATAATTTTTGACGTGACAGATGGCAGGAACACTTTGGTCAATCAAGTGTTTTATATATATTTCAAACCCAAAGATAAAGTCCACCCAGTCGTAATAAGCAAAGGTATGGTGCAATTTATATTGTTAGCCATTCTTAAGACCTTTGAATATTGAACATGGTGTCAAAATGAATGTCTGAAAATTGTAGTCATTGAAATATTGCACACAGAAGTTTGAGATGTATTCACAAAAATTTTAAATCTTTTTCAAAAAATATTTCATTATAAGACGCATTGTTTTAAATTTAGGAATCAATCTGAAGAAAGGCACATCAATTACTTTAACTACCAATGTCATAACAAGTACAGACGTGGACAGTCCTGACGAAAAACTTGAGTACTACATCACTCAGCCTCCAAAAAAGGGAATAATTGCAATGGCTGGTAGACCAACCGTTCCTATTAGCAACTTCACTCAAGTCCATTTAGCCGGTCTTATGGTCAAGTACGTTCACACGAGTGAGGACGGCAGTAATATGGACAGCTTTCAATTTGAAGTGAGCGATGGTCGTCATCAAGTGTTGAGGAAGTTTTACATTTCGCTTGTAGATGGCGACAACACACGATCGACAATCAAGTACAATACGTTAACTTTGCTTGAAGGAGAGACAAAGGAATTGACATCATTTGAGCTGCAAGCGCTAGATCCAGACAACGCACCAAATACTCTTGTTTACACCATAACTCAAATTCCTGTGAACGGCTTCATCAATAAATTTGGTAAACCTGTCATGACGTTTACACAGGAGGATGTAAATAACAACCTTATAAGTTATCAACACGACGGTTCGGACACAACCACTGATTCATTTTCATTCACACTATCTGATGGCACGCATTTGGACTACTATGTCCTTCCAGATACAAAGACTTTAACTCGTAAACCGCTGAAGATTGAGATCTTTATACAACCGGTTGACGACAACACCCCGCAGATTATTATCAATCGAGGTGGAACGACACTTGAAAGAATTCCAGGTGGATCACTTGGGTTGTGTTTATGCAATGATATCCTTAAGGCTTACGATCAGGATAGCAACAGTTCTCAAGTAATCTACTTCATTTCAGACTTTCCCAATTTTGGAAGACTAGTTAATTTAGCCTATGAGAGCAAAACTATCTTCGAGTTCACCCAAAAGGATATTGATGACAGTTTGATCCACTTCGTCTTAGAAGAAAATGAAGTCAATGCGACCTCAGATAGGTTTTTCTTTGATGTCGTTGACTCTGGAATGAATGAACTATCCAACCAAAAATTTTCCTTCCATTGGGCGCATATATCGCTCGACCACACTGCTATTCAAGTTAGTGAACTTGATCGCTCAGTAACGATAGGTTTGCTCAGAAACGGATTTTTGGGCGAGTCATCTTTTGTTAGCATTCGAACTGTGGACAAAACAGCAAGAATCAACGAGGATTTTGTACCAAATTCAGCCGACCAAGTTCAATTTAATCCTGGTGAGAGGTATAAAACGTGGACCATTCTTCTCATCGACGATGATTTGTACGAAAACAATGAGCATTTCATTGTCGAGATTCATTCACCAGTAATGGCAGTGATAAGTGGGAGAAGAAAAACAAAAATAACTATAACTGATCCTGAAGATAGTAAGTGAAATAAAAATGACTAACTAAATAGTTTGGAATTAATCAAATGGAACTTTGAGAAAACTATTTATACAAACGTCATACGCGTTGCTGATTTTTCTACTTTTTCTTGTTTACTTTATTCTTTTAATGCTACTCTTTGTTTGCAATGATTCACACTGGTAGTTTTTTTTTATAGTAGTTTTAAAAATTGTCTAAATTGAATTAAAAAATTAGTGTCTTGCAAAGGCATATTCCTAAAGTTTAAGGCTACATGATGATTCTATAATATTTCTACTTTGAGGAGTAACAAAGATTCAACTTTTGTTATAAACAACAGATGCTTATTCAAACTTATAGATAGAATGATTTCTAAGCCAATTCTAACCATATTTCATTGGTCACTTTTTCAATCTCTCTCTCTAGGAGCAGTGATCTTCATGTCCAAACTCAGACAAGAGGTTGATGAATTTGCTGGTGTGGCCAATGTTGCACTTTACCGCAAAGGCGATACATCAAAGGAAGATCATATTTGGTGTGTGACCCAATCAGGTAATTGGTCCCTGCGCAAAATCATAAACCACGTGACTATTAACAAAATTGACCTATATGATCAGGTGCAATGACCTGCAATACATCTTTAAATGAACGTATTAAAGATTTTTTATTAATTTAGCTACCGCAGATGGCACTCACAAAAATGGAATTCAATCCTATTCTGACTATATAAGCAAGTTCAAAGATAAAACTGGCCTTGTCGTGTTTCATACGGTAATTATATGAAAGTAGTAGATAAAATACTTCTTAATGATCGATTTGATCAATGGTCAAGAGTAAAAATAAAGCCAATTTGTTTACTTACTACTTCGAATAGTTGAAAATTAGATTTGCGCTTTAGATATCTTAAGGGGGAGGAGAATCAAAGAACCTTGAATTACCCTCCGGGTTGACCTCAGTATCCTGTTGAGAAGATCCCTTTTATCAATGGAAGTCCTTCAGTGATGCATTATTAACATAACTAACCTTGATTGAAACGTTTTCTTAAATCTTCTGGAAGGGTGAACGAGAAAAAAATTGTTCTGTTCGATTGATTGACGACTCGCTTTATGAAGATGACGAGGAGTTTTCAGTTTCAATTTTTCCTCGTTTTCATTCCTTTATCGATCATAAGTACAACTCGTCAACAGTGGTGATCAAAGCTGACAAAAATGATGGTAATGCCTTTTTTTTAATATAATTTATACTCGTTTTCATGTGTGCACTTTGGTGAGAGAAACCTGTATAGGTTTTCAAAATACGTTTCTTTCTAGGTCGTTGTAATATTTATGTATCAAACATTTTTGCAGAACCTCGGTTTTTCTTTGAAAAAGCGAAATACGTGATTGACGAAAGCGCAGATTTTTGCGAAGTTGCTGTGAAAAGATTCGGCAGTGATCTATCTCAACCATCGTCCGTAATTGTTAGATCAAGAAAAACAAATCCACTTTCTGCGCAAGGTGTGTATTTTTATATGTACAGAGCCTCTCTGACTTGAATGGATCTACAATATTTATGATATAGCCCTGATCCAGCTTGTTGTCTTTTATTTTAATGTGACTATACCTATTTAGAATTTGTGTTCACATTGTCAAAAAATATCTGCAATGAGATCTACTGCTACATTCTTATATATGACTTCTAAAGCAAAGTCTTTCTTTTCAGCAAATAAGGACTATATTCCGGTGTCAAAAACGTTGTATTTCCCACCTGGATCGCAGACGAAATCTGTGAGGATCATGATACTTGACGATCTTGGTTTACCTATTCGGGAAGGTCTAGAATCATTTGAAGTTGTTCTTGCTTTGCCCATCAGCGCACATACTGCTATCGACCATACTGCTGTGATTATAATAAACGACACACACTCGGATTGTAAGTAAGCTTTTTATAGTTAGGTAAAAGCAATACCGTTCTCATATTCGGATACCAGACTAATTCATCACACACTAACGATGTCGTTAGAAATAACAAGCTGGTAGTAATTTTGCCATGGAAGAAATAATCGAATAAATTTTCGTATGGAAAGCTGGGTCATGATTAACATTGGAAATATAGTTTCTGAAAAATTGTACCACAATGATTAATATGCTTATTTTAGTGCCTACTATACAGTTTCAAGATTCGTCTTACATAATTAATGAAGAAGACCGAATGCTGACTGCAATACTTGTGCGTAGCGGTGATCTGTCAAAACGCTCTGCAATACGATGCTATACAAGACAGGAGACTGCCAGTGCTGGAGTGGATTATTATGAAAGATCAAACACCGATGACGACGTAGTAATATTTGAAGCAAATGAGAAGACGCAAGAATGTGTTGTTGCCATTATTGATGATTTGTTTTATGAAGGAACGGAGCAGTTCGGTCTGGTTCTGGGACAAAGCCAGCTACAGCATGGATTTGGACAAAGTTTGATTGGAAAGAGACGATGGGCTGAAGCTAAAATCATTGATATCAATGACCGTAAGTTATGAGAGGCAATCAAATCGTTGGATTTCGATTATTTCATATTTGCTCAACTTCTAATAAGCACTAGTGAACAATAATTGCCAGCTAACTTATCTTCTTTGCATACCACTCCATAAATCAATGGACCCATTCAGTTTTTCTTTATAATTATTTGGAAATTTTTTTCAGGATCGGGTATTGGATTTTTGAAGAAACGACATTTCATCAACGAACCAAAACTAGAAGATGACGAAAGGTTCGTGCGATTGATTGTGGCACGGACTGGGGATACATCAAAAACATCTAAAGTTCGACTATACACGAAGGATGGTTCTGCAAAGGCCGATGAAGATTTTGCACCTTTAAGTAAAGTAAGTTTGAATATTTCATTGCTCTACTTTTTGTGCAACAGTATACGTTGTTTTGTAATAATTTGAGTTGTTAAACTTTTAATTAATGCATGAGAGATGTAGAAAATTTATGTGGCTGTGATTTTTTTATTTAAAAACAAATCAACTGGCATAGTTTATATATGAAGATAGTTAATGGAAACTATCGGGGTCTACTTTTCTTCCATTGAATTTTTCTTTTTCCCGTTTTCATCAAGGTTTTGACTTTTGAGAAGAATGAAACAATCGTGGAAGTAAAAATAAAAATCCTTCATGATGAAGAGCGTGAAATGAGAGAAGCGTTTACTGTTCATCTTACGAGGGACAAGAACCGCGTGGCTATAATTGATAATGACAAGACAATTGTATACATCGAGGAAAACCTTCACAGGACTGGTGTGACATTTCCACTCATTCCGACTGTGGTATCTCTGAAAGATTATGACGACATAAGCAAGGCTGATGCTAAGCCTATACAGGGTTATCCTTTGATATGTGTTACGGTGAGTTTATGCAATATGTTATTTCATATGCTTAACTAACAAAAATTTTACACGTAAATATCTAGAGCAATATAGAATTTGAGTATGAAGATTTTTAATGGCCATGTCACAATCAGTTTTTTATTATTTTTACAAGTCGTTTTAAATGCAATGCTTTCTTTTCTATGTGTAATATGATAATAATTTTGACTGCAAATGAAAGTATAACATTGACATTTTTGTGTCGAAGGCCTGCGATCCCAAGCATCCTCGGTATTCTGAGACAGGTTCGTTATGTAGTCGACAGTCTATCGATAATGCAAAGACATGGTACAACTGGGAGGTTGCCGCAGCGACGGGACCTGATGGCGTTACGAGTGATTTTCGATCTATTGATTCTCAAACATTCTTTGCGAGTACCTCAATGATAACATTGGACAGTATTTATTTTGGTGCAGGTAGTCGTGTCCGTTGCACGGCTCGTGCTATCACATTTAAAAATTACAAGGGTATCGACTCGACCAGTGACCCAATAACGATAAGCCACACCAATGGTCTGTGTTTACCACAAGAAGTTGGTGATATCGGATCCGAGTCATTCTCTGCTAAAATCACCTACACTGGTTTGGAAAGTACGTCTTATCCCAACATGATCCGTGTTCGTATCTTGGTGCCTCACATCGACGGCCTTCTTCCTGCAGTATCCACGAAATCGTTGTCCAACTTTGAGATCACGTTAACCGCTGATGCTTCGCGTCGCGGGCAACATTTATGCTCGAACCTTCTTGATACCCATGAAATCCAAACAAAAAGTGGATTCTTGACCGATCAAGTAACTCAAATGTCGATTGCAACAGAACCTTATCAGTACAGCAGTAAATTACGTGGAGAATCAACTCTACGTTTTTATCGCAATTTGAATCTCGAGTCGTGTATGTGGACGTTTGAGAACTATTATACAATGTCTGAATTAATCAACAAATGTGGTGGCAGGATATCAACTGATGGTCAAGTGCGTGACCTTACGCGTTCCTATTTGTCCGTACGTGTCCCTCTTTACGTGTCCTATATATATCATTCTCCAAGTGCGCTTGGTGGTTGGATGCATCTTGATCATTCGTCCCATCTAAAGATGTCATTCACTTACAATACTGCGGTTGTATGGAAAGACGGCATTGGTCCACCTGAGGATTCAGTTCTAAAAGGCTACTTATATCCAACAGGTGTTTTGATCCGTCCACAAGACAAACGACTTGTAGTTAAATTCAGAACTGTCGCTAGATTTAGAGGAACGTTTATTCTATCGACTGAGGGTAAGTCCATTTTTCGTTTTCTACATTTCATTTTAGCTGCATCAATTCGCCCATTCAATATTACTGCTTTGACCTTTGGGATACGCGAAGGTCTTGTTTAAACAAATGATTGGTTTTCATACATTGTTTGTTTGATTGAAATCTGCATGGGAGCTGAATAGATATATGAAACGTCTGCGTATTTAATTCAGTTGCTACTTTTAAATTTTAAGGTTTCAATGTGTCATTATTAGAAATGATGCAGAACCATTTTACATTCGTGAAGAATAACAAATCGATTTATATTGAACAGAAATTTTAAATTTAACATTTTCAACCACTTGATTTGTGCAAGAAAGTATTATTATATAGTATTATATTTCACATGCTGCCGTCTTCAAAGCATCATAGTTCAGTTCCATGTTTGTAAATGTAGATCGCCCAGTGACTCTGAAAACTACTATACCTTTAAGGTTGTAGAAACGGAAGTCAACACCAACATCAACCGTCCTTTTCAAAAATACACTAACCTGGATGATCTAATCTATAAACATGGATGATTTACATCTATAAAACTCCAGGGCTCAAACCACTTTATTAGATCATTTCCATTGATCATGGGAGCAGGGGTAGTGATGATTGGTGTTAGTGAGCTTTATAGAGACTCTCTGTTACTGTTAAAAATTATCATGGCATTTGTAATATTGTGCAGTATTTCCTGCTTTCTTTAGATCAAAGCAAAATCTCAATGGTCATTTCACCAGATCAGCCAAACCTCAGCTTTCAAATGACTTTACTTCGCAGTACACCAACGTACAACTCTCCGGAACAAATGTGGGAATTCGTGTCAGAGTTTGCTGTTCGTGATTACAGTGGAACGTATTATGTCAAACTTATTCCTTGCACTGTTACACAGGTGAGAAAACATGAGGGAAGACCTGCATCGTGTTTTGTTTTTGTGACTGTTCAGACCTCTGACCACTTAAGATTTGTACAACATTTCCAAAGCTACTTCGAGCGACTTTCAAGGACTCATTTAGGCGGATTGTGTGATCACAAAGGCCTCTTTTTTCTTTTTAGAACGTGAAATATTCTACTCCCCTAACTTGCAATCCAAGAATGCCTATTACGTTTACACTACCAATCAGATTTCAGCAGACAAGTGACCCGGATGAAGTTGAGTTCAGCATTCAAACTCAATTCGTGTTGCTCTCTCGACGTGATATATGGTTATCTAACCAAACAAATAAAGTGCTGGAGCAATCCGATGCAGCGTTTTCATTGGGTAATCATGCCCTGGATTTTTTCTCTTTGATGTCTACCGTCTATGGTTTATTGCATTAAGCAAATCACCTAATCACCCAATGTATTCTTCACCTTATCCAGACCAAATTCACGCGATGCTTGATATTTAATTTGGCTTTTGCGTCTGCCACAAAGTTTTTAGTGCGAGCTCTTTCAACGTACACAGAACATGCGGCGTTAATACATCGGCGTACTAAGCTGGGGGGTGGAGTGGCAGTCTTCAAAATGTCAGGCAGACAAAGCTAGTCGAGTTTTCGTGGAAAGCTGGGTGAATTAGGTCATTTAAGATTAAAAATGTTCCTACCGCCCCCACCCCGAAAAAAAATATTGGCCCTTACGCCCATGAGTTTATACGTACGTTCTCTGTTCTTGAAAGTTATGTTTCATATTCTATCAACAATATAATTTACATGTTTGTGGATGTAGAGTCCTGAGAGGAACTGTTGTTGTTGATGTAGACTGCCGTTTCGACAACCTTAGCGGTGGACATTACTTGACTCAAAGATGACTTCCGCTACGGTTATCAAAACGTCAGTCAACATCAACAACAACAGTCCTTCTCAGGACTTTGCTAACATGGACGATCTATATCCACAAACGTGTAACGATACTCCCAGGCTCAGACGATTTACTTTTTAACAATATAATTTGTAAATTGGTATTTTTAAAATCGGGTATTACACTGTGGATTGTGGATCTATGTCACGGTAAAGATTGTTCAAATTACAATCCATATGCCTGTGAAAGGAACGTTCAATCCTAATCGTAATTCATCGATGACTCTCATTGCCAAACTTTATTGAATTCATTTTGGTAGCTCATATAACATTAAACTCAATTTTCAGGCTCAATGATCTACGGTCGTATTATGGTGGATCCACAGCAAAGTTTAGGAAGTGCTTATCGCGTATCAGTTGAGAAAATATTTGTATGCAGTGGTCTTGATGGATATATTCCACGGTATAACCCAGATAGCAAAGAATATGGTTGCCTTGCAGACTCAGATCGTCTCAGTAATCGATTCAAAATTTTGGTGAGCTTTCTAGAATTTTGGCCGTTTATCTCTTCACAGTTTCGTTTCTGTTGTCACAGATGATCTTCTTATAAACTTATGTCGTATCCATACCTCTTAAAAAATGCACCTGTCGAAGTGTTTCTTATGTGTAGATTGCCAAACCTTGAATTACTTTCTTATCAAATAATTTCTATTACGTATTCTCTGGATTTTCATTGCGATGATTCATTATCCTACATGACTGCGGGCTTCAAACATTTCTTCTTTATTTTTTATGTACAATAGTTTATTATGTTACACGATCGTTTGCCTACATACACGTCTTCTCTAACTTTTTAATCTTTGCCACAATTTATTATATTACCGGTCCGTTTGGCTTCATAAATATCTTCTATATTTTTTCATTACGATAGTTCATTATCTTACAGGACCGTGGGGCTCCATACATGATAACACAAAAGTTTGGTGATGTTCCCTTTGCCGCACAATTAGCCGTTGATGATGAAAATGCTCAAAGCTTGGTGAAGCAGCCCAACTCTGACGGTTTTAGCTTTAATAGTTCTCCGTTATTTGAAGTTAGTATTAGTACTTTTACATTATATACTTTTATTTTTATTAGTACTTTTACTTTATATAAACATGCCAGGTCCAAGGCTCGCTTGGGCCCAAGGTTTAGAAAAATTTGCTATGCACTAACTCCTCCAACTTTTTTGGAAAATGCGAACAATTACCCTTTCATTGTAAACTTCGTTTTCTTTTGGTAAAATGCCATAATGAAAACAATTCGAGTCAATGCAGTTTGAGTTCATGAAAGTTATTAACATATCGATTCGTAAATTTTGAAAATTTTGCGTTTAGCAGTTGAGGTTTGCCGCACCCTAAATCCGCCATTGGAAAAAAAACAACCCAATATAACATGACAATACAAAGGAAAAGTGTACCAATATAAAAACACAACATCAATTTTGTTTGGGTTGACTGTGACTTGAATGTACATAAAATCACAGCTCAAACATGTCTAAATGCCTTGTAAATGTGAACACTTTAGTATTAGTTATCATCAGCTTTTAAAACAGTAACATATACAAGCTTTAAAATTTTCCAGAAGGAAATCTAGAGATGGTCTCTCATCATGGTCACTTGAAACTTCTCTACGATTATCCGCATTCCCTGTAGCTACCTATAAAAATTAGTAAACTCGTTGATCCGAGATTTCGTTTTTGAGATCATCTGAAAAATATTTATGTATAATTAACGCATTGACATTTTAGGTTGCTGGCGGTCGTCAATGGTATTTACATGCAATTTACACAATCAGATCATACGGAAGCTCGAAGAGAGGCATTGGTAAACGTAGTGCAGTCTCGCATGAGATTCAGACTTCAAGAAAACGTGCAATTCGAAACGTTGCACAGTCCGACCAGGAATCGTCACACGGACCAGGATTGTTGCGGTCAATCAAACTAGTTTACAATATCAACGAAGGTCGTGATAAAGGCGTTTATGGTTTCGACGGACCTGCCGAGGCTGGAAATGGTGATTTTAACAGTTCGTCACGTCTAAAATGGGTGTTAATTGTGGTCGTTGCCGTTTGTTTCATACTTATAATTGCTGTTGTTGTTCTTGCCATGTTGTACAAGCGAAAACGTAGAACAGTGAATTCTAAGGTTATTCAACCTGGCCAACAAATGCAGGGGACTGAAGTCTAGAAAGATCTTATTTCTCGAAGTCCCATGTAATCGATTGCACTCATTTATGGTTAATGTGTTGCAAATTATGATATTCGTGACGACGAGGAAAGTGAGAGAAGAACTTCCGACAAAATACACGATGTCCATTTTTATTCACTTTATGGTCATCGTGGAAAATGTACAAAAGATTTTTAAGACAATTTAACGATTGAGTGTCGGTAGTTAATAAAATTATGCGATTTGCAATTTAGATTTCTTTATCCCAAGGGATGAAAATTTTTCCATTTGAGCCTATTTATGCTATGAGAATACTTATATATTACTCATTACTAGAGACTACCATTAGAGGGAAACAGTTGTAAAATTCTTTAAATATTCAAATATTTTAGCTTAGTGAGCATGTCGTAATTAGCATACCAACTCTGAAAATATATTTTGTACAAGTGCATGCAGCATGACTGACCGTTTCATTATTGATGAAAGGCGTGGCGTGTAGGAGTGTAAAGTGTAGTCACAGTTGATACGTAATTTTATTCAAACGAAGAAAGAGGAAACTAGTCAAACTACTTCAAATAATTATATTCAGCTATATTGTTATGAACAGCATCGATGCTACTGAGTCTAGTATTATACGACATAATAAACTAAACCTTTAATTTGTAAGAATTTTGTATTTTCATAAATTGTTCGAAAACCCAAGTGAATTAATGGTTCTTATTATATTCTCTCTGTAGAGAGGTCTATATGTAAAATGATTGATTCTAAACGTTCAGAAAATAGTTTCGACCAGGCATTAAAATATTTGGGTTTTTTACACAGAAGATTGACCGCAAATGAGCTGACAATTCTGAAAAAATATGGAAGGCAACTGCAACGCACTAGAAAAAACATTAGAGGGATAAAATGTATCCGTGTGACAATTTCTAATTTTAATGCTTGATTTTGGCAGAGCTTGTTTTACCTCGAGATCGTGACGTAAAATTGTGGCTTTCTCAACAATTACGCACACACTTCCATGCAAGAGTTTTGGGTGTGTCACATGACTAACACCGCTTGTAAGAAAAATTTTATCAAGCCCCAACCTTGCGAAATTCAAACGTATGTTGTGGATTAGTGACGTCAGTAATCTTTGACGTAGGAATATGCAAATTACAAAAATTAGGAAAATCGCACCGCGTTACATAAAGAAATGAACTCCAAAACGGAATTTGTGCTATAATTATAAATGTAAGCTTGAAATTGCTTCTGGAAACAGCATTCATTATTATCATTTATGTATTAAAAATTCCACGCGGAATAGGTGTTTTCCTATTTGGCACTTATAATGCTAAATATATGGCACTTATAAACTAAACACTTCATTAACGGAACAACTCCCTTTCACCGGAAGTATTGCACCATAATTACCTTAGAGGCAATCTGTGGTAAATACATAAGATGGCAATGTAAATAACATCTTCATAAGCGTATTTTAACTTGATTTCGAAGTGAATGAATCTACAATCGACTAATCTTTTTAATACAGTAAACAATGAAAGTGTTCGAAGCATTGGAGATTTTGTGCGGCGTATTGATGATAGTAAAACATGGATTTGCGACACCCGGAGGTGCTCCTCGTACGACTTGTCGTTTGATGAGCTTTGGTCACAGCAAGGAGAATGGTGACCTCATTCCTAGACAGAAAAAACACACTTCTCCATATGAAATAAGGGCTGAAGTTGTCGACAGCGCCGTTCGTCTGTTCATTGAAGGAATAGTTCGAGGATTTCTCATACAAGTCCGTCAAAACAGTTCAGGTCCTGCTTTAGGGAAATTCACGCTGACTGACGGAAACAATTCGATCGCTCAATACCAGAACTGTTCACACGAAAAGGTAAATGTTACATAGCCGCTACTCAACGTAGTATCGTAAAAGAAAAAGTAAAAGCTAATCAGCCAGCTGGCCCGACGGCTGATTACGCTTCTATAGGAAGTGATTATTTCGTATGTTACAAATTCTAACATTAGAGTTAAACTATATACATTGAGTAGAATTTACATGGCAGAATTATTTATAGAAGTTTTATTCGTTATGTTATTGTACGTTAGTTAATTAGATATTTTCATGACGTTCGACATATCTCGTGACATCCGGGATTTGTTCGAAACAATACGTACTGAAACAATAGCAGGAACTTTGTGGCAATTCTAGTGCAGTAAACTATTATCGATAGACTGTAGTAATTTATTTTCTTAAATCTGGACTGGACTCCATGCATTGATGCACGATTAAGTTGCACGTCATTGTGTACATTTTTGGGTTTTTAATAACTGATGCATTCATTTCTAGTAAGTTGCATTCATTCATGCATTCTTTACTTTCATTACAAACTTTCTCCTGTCACACAAACTGTATTTACTGCTGAATACATTAAAATCACCCGGTCATTTGGTTAACCATTTTAGTATCCAATTCATGCGAGCATAACAAATCGAAATTACAACCCAAAGACAAATCTCACATTCTTATGGCATCCAGTGGAAAAGAGTGGCCAAAATATCAGCGTGAAATTCTATGCTACGCTCGCAGAAACTTATGAATTATTTTGGGTGAAGCTGGAAAGTAACCCAATCAATCCTTCGGACATTTCGGTAAGTAAATGGTTTGAACCCGGGAGTAACGTTACATGTTTGTAGATGTAGATCGTCCAAGTTGGTATAGTCCTGAGAAGGACTGTTTTTTGTTGTTGTTGACTGACATTTCGACAACCTTAGCGGTTAGTGCTAGAAAAATTCTTGTTGAGAAAGATTACTTGAATTTTTTCCATATACAATTCACTCCAACTGACTCCTCCTGACTGACCACTATTGATTATATGTGACCACAATTAAACGTGATCATCGGCAGCAACTTATTTAATGTATTTTTTTCATAGGGTTACGGCGTCACGGTTAGTATTATTTTGAGTCTTTGGCATGTTATTTTTGTCATTAAAATTTGGTTTGGATTTATTATGTATTTTTTGTATTCGAGAGTAAATGTGAACTGAGTGACCACTATTTACGGTGGCTCACAAGGGCCACCACACAAAATAAAAATATTAATATAAAATACACATTTTGAGTCTTTGGCAAAATAAAAATACACACAAAATATGATTGCGGGCGCTTGCAGTGTCGGCTTACTCGGAATTGCTCGTAATTGATCGCATTTGTTTTCAAAGTTCTAAAGGTTCCAACTTCCAGAGTACATAACAAAATTCACTGATTTCACTGTGATCAATTATTTCAAAGTTGCTTACGATATTGCTCCCCGTATTCTGGTTAAAATTAAGGTTAATGTGTTGTCCTTGAAAGGACATTATTGCTCTAGCCTGTCCTGTATTTGTTATAAACAGCTTTGGGGTACTTGAAGTTGAAGTTAACGGACTTGCAGAGCTCGAAGGGCAACTGCTTGAAGAGACGCTACTCGTCATTGACGCTTCAGAACATTTTGGCAAAGAAGTTAATCTTCCCAAACGCATACCGCTTTTGTGACAAAAAGAAGCTTCGTCAAGTGATTGTGCACCACAGTTGGCACAAAACATAATTATGCCAGGATTATGCAAGAGCTTGCTTTCGATTTCTTTCCAAATGTAATTTCAAATGTTTCGCAGTTGAAACAGTTAAATACGACGACAAGTCGACCACATGTCACAATTAGTGAATTACATATATCTGATTACAATTTGATAATATGATAGTCAGACGATCCGACACTGCAAGCGCCCGCAATCATATTTTGTGTGTGTATTTTTATTTTGTGTGTGTACTTTTATTTTGTGTGTGTATAATGTATTTTTGTGTGTATTTTATTTTGTGTGTATAATGTATGTGTGTGTATTTTTATATTTGTGTGTATTTTATTAATGTATTTTGTGTGTATTTTATTTGTGTGTATTTTATTTTGTGTGTATTTTATATTGTGTGTGTATAATGTATTTTGTGTGTGTATAATGTATTTTGTGTGTGTATAATGTATTTTGTGTGTGTATTAATATTTTTATTTTGTGTGGTGGCCCTTGTGAGCCACCGTAACTATTGATTATATGTGACCACAATTAAACGTGATCATCGGCAGCAACTTATTTAATGTATTTTTTTCATAGGGTTACGGCGTCACGGTTAGTATTATTTTGAGTCTTTGGCATGTTATTTTTGTCATTAAAATTTGGTTTGGATTTATTATGTATTTTTTGTATTCGAGAGTAAATGTTGTTCATCTTGTTTATCTAGGTACGACCTTCCATTTTCCTTTGGATAAGTACCTCTCTCCTAATTTTCCTGTCTATGTGACAAAGACAAATCTACCTTGAAAATAAAATGAGATGCGTAGGCTCTCAGACAAGCGGAATTCCAGTTATTTTCCTACGGGAAATGCAGAAAAATTTTTTAAATTTTTCAATATTTAAATATTACTAATTCAGTTGTTTCGTAATTATCAATGGTTGTTAACTTTACGAACTATACTTGCATTCCACAGAAGTAGAAAGTTTTCAATTAAGAGTCAATAGCATCGTTTAAATTGCATATGAAAAGGTCACGACGACCCCCTACTTGAACGCATCATTACGTGTAGCCTAATAAGGGAGTAACGCCGCACGGAAGAGCAAAACAAGGAAATCCTGAAATAATTTATTATTCTTTGAAGTTGTCGATATTTACTATGTGATCTTATTGAATATAATTATACGGTTGTTGATTTGATTACCGACAGGCACTATTTTGTACTCCGTTCATTTGTATATACGAAGCACATCATAGATTGAAAACAAACAATTGAAGAGTACGGTTAAGTATTCGTAATGGAAACTTTTCTTTGTCGAACGTCCCCATCTTCAAGGCTCGTTTTCTACTATCTATGCGCGTTCATGTCAAGCTTGAAGTTCGCGTTAAGTCGTCCTGATGGAGCCTCGCCTTTGAGTTGCTGGAGTATGAGACCTGGCCATTTCGATATTAATGGAGATATCGTTGAAAGTCGGCAAGATGTTAGTCCATACACAATAACAGCGACATGGGAAAGAAATTTAACAATGATTCACATTTCAGTCATTGGCGATTCTATACAAGGATTTCTCATGCAAGCGAGATTAAATTTAACCGAACCAGCCGTTGGAAAGTTTGTTAGCGTAACTGGAAATACTTCTGCTAAGTTTCAAGATTGTTCGCAAGAACCAGAGGTAAGTAAGAACGTGAAAACCAGGGATGGCATTTATTCTTTAATCATTTTTTCTTTAATCTTCTTTAAAGGGGTTATATCACGAATTTTAGCCCCCCTTTTTTATTAGCTTAATTGAAAATTTGGATTATTTGAAGAACTATGACATGTCGCTGGACTTAAACAGATAAATATAAGTTCCTTAATTTTGCCTCCAAAGTCGGGTACTTTTTGCGAATTTTTTACGACGCCGTATTGATACTTGTGACGTAGATAGTTGAACACGTCTGTTTCCGTCAATATAATATTATATTATAGGAGGTGATTTTGTTGTCGTTTTTCTTGTGTTAAAAACAAATAATGACAGTATTTTCAATAAAATATTAAAAAACAAGTTGTCCGGAAAGTATGGCTTCAAATCAGTGCTCAGATAATTCGAATTCGATGTCTGAATGCGTATCTGATTCGAGCTCGGAATCCGTGGGTTATGTCGAGCATTTAAACGACTTCGCATATGACGATGAACCGCTCGCAGGAGATGGTGATGAAGTGCATACTCCAGATGATCCCGATGGAATTCTCCCTGCGACCTTAGAACAACGAAGTGATGGCGTAATTCCACTCGGTGAATGGGTAAGTTGTTGTTTTCTCCTGTTTGTAATATACATAAAGTTACTTTATAAACCACAATGCTCCCACGTTTCAGGTGTAATTGTCAATGCTGTCATACCGATTTGTTAGAAGGCGCATTAGAGTACAGATGCTGTAAGGAAATAGGACCAGCTTTGCAGGAAATGACATTCGATGGCAGCATTGAGAAAATATCATGCATAACACAGCATGCCAAATTTGGGCCTTTAGTTCATGAGGCTGTCCTTGAAAACGTCGGGCCACTATTGAGAGATAGGAATGGACGTGCTTATCGCCGCCAAGCATCACAATCATTAAATATGTAAGATTGTAAATTGTATGAGAAAGAATGTTATCATCAACATTGTTTCATCAACAATAATTAGTCCAACCTTTTTATTTACTTCAGGTACTTGAGAGCTGTGGCATACAGATGGTTGATGCGATGGTTTTGTGGGTCTATGGGATGGGAGAATACTCGGCCTTTACCTGCTTGTGTTTACCACTTTATTCGGAAAGTATATCCAAGTGGTAACACAAAGGTTACATACCATCAGAGGGCGATGATGGAAAGGTCTTTTAACTTGTGCACTGTAGAGACTGTTGGCCTTCTTTGCTGAGTTTAGAATGGTCAGGAAATATGCCTAGATGAAAACCAAATAGGAGATACATGGATGCACTATACGGTAAAGAAAATCTTTTCTTCAATGTCAGTCTGGGAAAAAAAAGAAAAATTATATGGAATTAAATCATAGCATAAATGTAAAAATGGAAAATAGCAAGCCACATGAACTTATCTTATAAGGTCTTCACACTTGAGTGCACTGCATCCACAAAGGGCATGTTGAGCATTTAACTACAATAAAAAAAATTATTCATGAAAATTAATTAGTTGCACAATCGAGTGAGATAGTCATCTTCAATCTGACAAGTATACATACCATTCAATGTTATATTAATACTGTAATCATCAGGAAAGGTGTGTATATCAGTGCCCAGATAGGGAGGCTAGAGGGTACTATCACTTGCCTAAGGTGAACCCTCAGGCTGGTGGTGGGAAGGAGGTGCCTTACTTCTCCATTCCAGACAGGCTCCAAGCAATGTCTGACCACTGCCTCAGCCTTGGATCGTTTGTTGGGAAACTGGCTGCACAAAGGTTCGGGTGCTTTTCCTCTATATCTTTCCATTATAGTTGAAAGTTCTTGTTTATTAGACATGAAAGAACATTCTTTACTTGTTCAACATATTCTAGAAATTGATATGTAAAATAATTTGTTACTGATGCTTCAATTCTCATATTCTACTTCTGGGCCTTTTTCTTCAAAGATGCTTTTGTCTTTTATACCAGCTTAAAGTCTTTGTAAAGATGTAAGTTTTTTCTTAAGACGATGGCACGATTTACATGGAGACTGGGATTCACAAATATCTTCACCAACTGCATGTAGTTCTTCTTCAAATGGCGAATCGTTTGCTTCCCCAGTGCATACTTCAACATGCTCAGCTCCATCACTAGTAGATGGTACTTCCTCATCGAGAGAACATGTTTCCTTCGGCGATGGCTTATGGAGAGTATGTCGAATAATCTACAAAACATATATCGAATTTACATATGACAAAAGAAAAATTAACATAAACAAGCGTAAACCATTGAACTAAATATAACTGGAAGGCTACCTTCTGATATATCGGTAACACACGAAATGAAGCCAAAATTTTGCGTGATCTGACCTCCAGACACGCGTTTCTGGTAGTCAAATCACGCGAGTTCGGCCTCGCGATGCGTGATTGGAAGGAGTGAGTAAAGAGTCTGAACGAATAAACTACATGTTTTGGCCAAGCTTTAGAAAGGAAAATTACTGAATTTATTTAGTTTTGCTGCGTTTTCTTTTGATATTAATACAGGAAATTTAAGTTTCTTGCCGACCAAATAATTTTTACCCAGAAGGCTTACCGATGGCAAAGGATTGTGCTCGGATATTGGCGAAAACTTTCAAATGTAAAATCCCAATGGGTAAGTGTTTATTCATTGTATTCATAAAGTGTTTACACATTAAATTTATTCATTGTTAAACAAGATTAGCTTATTGAGTCGGTGCCTGTCGCTTGTTTTGCCTTTATTTACGATCTCCCTCGTATATTTTTTACCGTAGTTGAAAAGACGCAGTGTGAAATATTTGTCTGCGATATGCTTTGTCAGTTGAGTGCTGTGATCGTCTTCGATAACAGCCTCGTTAACACCATCTTCGTGATCTCTGAATAGAGGAAAGGTCGATTCCAGATTAAAATGTTGGCAAACTGCAATAATCATACTGTTCTTCAACTTTGCCCTGTTACTAATATGCTGATTGTCGTTGCCTGTCACCGTTGCTTTGAAAACGTGTTCGCAGAACTCTATACAACGATACACCGCTGTGGATGGAATCTGTAAACCACCGTTGTTCACGAAGTTGACGAAAGCTGACGCTTTTCCAGCTTCATGATATTTTGTGGCAGTATAATCATGGTCATCTACGGATAACGATTTTGGTAAAGGACAAAGGCATCGTTTGCATTCTGGGCAAGATAAATTGTTGACTAACTTCGAAACTATGTATCCTGCAATATAAAATATAACGTTCGAAATAAATTCGCTGTTGCCTTCTTGGAGATGTTGCACCATTGCATTAATTTTATTGTCAGTGTCTTGGGCAGCAGTTTCTTGTGACTGATTATGTAATGTGGGTGAATGTTTTCTTGTACGAAAAGTGGTATCAGGTTGTTGCAGCCAGTAAAGTCCAAACAGTTTGCATTTTTTGATGCAGTAATGGCATTTCTCATCAACATTTTTCGAAGGGCATACTTCATTTGGAGACTGTTGGGGTTGTTGTTCCATCCACCTCTTGAGCGAATGCAGGAAAACAGGAGTTCAATATGGTCCTGTGAATATTTGTAGGTTAAGAGATACTTGAATGGATTGATGGATGAAGAGAGCATCTGTGTTGCCATTGAAATAGTGGATTTGATGCAGGTAACAAACCCAATTACAAATGTTTTTGCTGAGATGTACAAATTGGTTGAGAGGAAGCTGTGTTGGTTTTAATGATAGTAAATATTCTGCTGATGATGATAACACTTCTTGCCATGTTTCCTGACTTGAAAGCGAAGAGGTGCCTTAAAACCCTTACCCAGTGGATTCCGGGAATTAAGGATGTCAAAAGTCGGTCGATAATGCGAATAAATGTCACTGTCCCATTACTGCCAGAGAAATTTGGTTGTTTAGCGGATTTGTCTAAAAACTCAATAGCATTTGCCACAGAGGAGCTCAATGTTTGTGCAGCAAGTCGCACATTCATTTTGTGTTTGTGAAAGTTAAGGTGATTACTCGTAAGTTTGTTTGTTAGGTTTAATCCTTCTTCCATTTGTAGGTTTTGAAGTTGTTCTATGTAACTCCACTTTATAATGTTTTCCTTGCCATCCTTAAAAGAACCAAGTTGGGCCAGTGCATTGCGTGCAAGCTTTAACATATGGCAAGGGTCAAGAATTACAAACACATCTTCGCCAGTAGTTGGATGGGTAAATGAAGACCGCATTTCATCATATGTACCGTTAAAGTTGCAACCAAGACTTTCAAATGTATGAAGATTTACAGCAGTACCATCAGCTGTTACAGACCATACCTTTAAACCTGCCTTTGATGCCTTTTCAAGACATTGTATTACCAATGATGCTTGGTCTTTACCATTGATTTTGTCAACCAAAAGTACCCAACGGGCATTTCCAATGACTTCTGGTGCCAACTAATAAAAATACTAGTGCCTCAGAAGCCAATTTCTCTGTTTTATGATTAGGGAGTGTATCTCCAAGATTAACAAACCCTGAATACTGGTCATCTTCTGGATTCCATATTGTTTGTTTTCGTATTGACATTGCATCAATAACCAAACAGCAGTCTCTGGAATTTGGGGAAGCAGCAACTTCATTTGATAGTGATTGGAATGCATCTTTAATGAAACCAGGGTCACATTTCATGGACGAGACCATTTTTCATCAAAGATGGATTGGGTAGTGGAACAATGGATCGAACATATTTATAAGCTTTTGGAGAATAAAAATATAAAGTAAGTGCAAATTCTTTGATTTCATCAGAGTATCTTCTGCCTGAACGAGGACATTTTAAATTATCTCTAATATTGTATAAAAATCCCAACTGAGTATCATTGAAAGTGGACAAAAGACTTTCTGCCTCTTTGAATTGATCACCAACTTATCTTTTAAAATCTTGACAACTTCACCCATGGTTTCAACCTTTTGTTTTGTGCGTCTCAGTTGTTGTTGCAAGTTTCAATTTTTGTTGAAGCTTATTTTTAAACAAATCTCTTTTTCTTCTGTAGATGTTTTGGAGATTTTTGGGTGGAGAAGTTTCATCAACGGAATCAGAGGTAGCTGCAAAAGGTCTTTTATTTGAAAGCTCGAGTCTATTCAGCAGTGCGCTTGAGTGGGTTGTAGAAGTTGAAACATTTTGAACATGCAAGCTATTGGACATGGATGGTATGGCATACTTTTTTAGTCGGCATTTGCCATTTTGTGAGGGGGGGACAATGTAGTCAGTTAGTTGAAAATGGTCACTGCATATACGATGTGCACTTTTTGCTGTCCATGGTACTTCAAGATGGTTTACTTGTTGAACAAAATGCTCCCATAATTTTATGGCTGCCTTGTTTTTCATGGGAAATCTGTAATACATATAAATATTCATGATCTAGTATTTTAAATATTATACTTCCAGTAATTTCACTACAAATCCTTGTCCAGTTAAATAAAGTTGTAAGCCCTGTACTAACAATATGATACCAGTTATATCTACTTTACACTTTTACTGTGAAAAGTATTATTTTATTGCAATTGTGACCAGCTAAACAAATAAATACTGTATATGACTAAACTGTCAAAATATAGAATTTATATATGTTAGTATTTAACTGAATTTTATTAAAATTTCATTTTTGTAGTTGAAGCATGTTTAATCTTTCCAAATTGCAGTTTTGTTTGATGTCATTTTTTCAACTTATGTATTGGAATTTTACCTGTGAAAAGCAACAGTTTCTGCACCTATGTGGTGAGAAATAGCCCTGTTCCTGCACCCAATTATCACACATGTAAGTGGCATGTTTACTGAACAATCCTGAATACTTATCTTTGTCCTAAAGACGACAATTATGCAGTGAAAAATAACTTTTGTTTGCAAAATCAAGGAAATATACGCTCTAACGTTAAAAAGGACTGGGGTGAGAAGAAGCTATACTTGTTTTTTCTTAAATATTACTTTAAAACATAATTTTGCTAACGTTCTGTTATGTTAATGTCATTATTGGTTTAACGTTTTTTAAGAAATTTTTAAAACAATACCATGCAAATTTGCAAGATGTCAAAATCGCATTTGTCGAGGCTTGTTAAGTTTGTTTTTTTTTTCAAAAAAGGCACGATTGCTTGATTGATCTATTACCGTAATCAAACTTACTATAAATGACCTGGAAAATTTACATTTTGCAATTTACTTCCAGTTTTTTCATAGTTTTGCAAAATCCGCTGTCAAAATGACTAAAACACTGACATATTTTGTTTTGGTCGTGTTTATCACAAGCGTGGAAAGACTGGGAACGATACTGTCGACTTAGGCTTCAAATTTCCGGGCGAAGGTAGCCTTCCAGTTATATTTAGTTCAATGGCGTAAACTTACTTGTCTGCGCTTTCGATCGGTTATTTCGTCCTGTAATGGTTCAGGAATCCCAGCCACGTCAATGGTTGGGATAGCATCTTTCTTCAACCTTCTTTTGAGCTTGACTTGCACGCTCAAATTAAGGTCAAAACAAGAATCTTCAAAATGCGCAGAACACAGACACGAGGTAGAGGAAGCCTCAAAACCCGGTCTATGTTTACGCACAAAATTTACCCATTTTCTATGTCTTTGCGGCTCTGTTTCTTTATTAGGAAACAGATGCATCGACATTCCTTCTGTTTTTGAGTCATTGGCGCAACTAATTTGATTAGGTCCGCCAGCAACACAGCGTTTTCCTCCGCGTTTCTTATTAAGATTACTAGCAGAATACGCCATGTTGATATATGTGTTCAACTATCTACGTCACAACTCATTAGCATACCGATCAAAAAGTTCGCAAAAAAAATGCTGAAAATCGTGACTTTGAACGTCCGTAAAATCACTTTCACCAATCCAATTTCAATTATAATTGCAGATTTAAAATCACTGAAATAAGGTCTTTCAATTTAGCTAATAAAAAAGGGGGGCTAAAATTCGTGATATAACCCCTTTAATGATTAAAGATTTGAATCAAAACTAAAAATTGTCTTTAATGTTCCTTATTTATGCTCTTACGTCTGAAATAGTGTTTATCCAATGTCACATTGAAATATTAAATAATAGCGTATTTTCTCCGTGGTTCACTTGTGCATTCACTATGTAATATGAGGTTGTCTTGATGAGAATACAGAGCCTACTGACTCGTTAAAGTCTCAAGATGGTGGCACAACAAAGTAAAAAATTTATATTTCATATTTGCATTTTAGCACTATTGAATATTTAGCTCAGGAATAAATATTTCCTTTTTGACAATTTGTTTGAAATTTTGTTAAAGTTTTAATGGTTTTCTCAAAAAGTTTTCTTTAATTGTCTTTAATTGAATTAAAGACAATTAAAGAAAGGGAACAACCGTAAGGGAACAATACCGTAGGGTATCGAGAAAGTGTTATTACACTGCTCGTTTTCATCTTTCACAATGCCATCATCATTTTTATGATGGTTTGTGATATATACAGGGGGGTACGAATACCACAACAATTGGGATGATGTTCTACATTCAGGGACTTGGGACTGACTTTTGAGTTTATATTCGATAGAATAGACGTTTTGACGTATTTCACCAACGATAAGGAAGTGTTACTCACACCTCCTAATGTGCTTCACCAAGATATTGATCTTGAGAAGTAGTTTTTGTTTTTTTCATAATTTATTCATTTTATAACTCTTTCATTCCTCCTTGTTGTGGAACAATGCTTAACTAAAATTGTGCTTGCAATCTTGATGACTCTTAAAGTATATAGTGAATAGGCGGTCTATTTTGTGGGGCTTATGGATCTCTTTCGAAAAATATCCAACTTTCTGAAAATCGTTACTATTACAGTAGAAGGGCAGGCAGAAAGCACTCATCTGCATTGATTTTTGTGTTAGCTCTGTACGTGAATGATCTTTGTTGTTTTTCGCTCGAATCTTCTGCGTCCAAAATATTCAATGTATCCAAGGCGGAGATTCCTTACTTTCTTGCTCCTGCTGTCTGGCAAATCATTGACGTATAGAAAATGTGCTAAAATCAACGGAGATTACTTTATATGAACAGTTGGCACATGAATAACGTACAATATTTATTTGGAAATCGGAGCAAGTAAGCGTCGGAATAATACTTTGACATTTTCATAACGAAGTACTTACTCGATATCATTTTAAATCGATCAATACAAGCCATATCTCCTCCCATTACAAAATTCCTACTAAGTAGTATTTTGTGCAAGTGCATTCACTATTTAACTTTTGGGAGTTTTGTGCTTTCTTTAATTACGCGTATGTCTTAACAGGCCACGAACATTCAGAGATTGTGCTTTCACTTTGTGATTACATTTTCGTTAGTAGATTTTCTCGTCACTACACATGTTAGCCAATAGAAAAGGGGAAATTTTTAAAGAATCATATTTACAGTTTTGTATGACCCTTAAATTTCTTTTTTTTGTTTTTACATTGTATATTAGTTTGGGAATTATTCAAGTGTGACTCATAGGAGTCCAACTCCCAAGCAAAGACTGGATTTCTATTGGCAACCAACCGCAGACATTAGCAAGAACAGATCGATCACATTCTTTGCAACATTAGCAAAAGACAAGGCAAACTTCTGGGTTTCCCAGAAAAGTAACTCGGTGCCACTGGTAAGCACGTGACCTACAAACGTAATAACGCCATGTTTTTATTATAAGCTGGAAGGGTGTGAGTGTCAGAATCGATTTTAGAGGCAGTTAGAGAAAAAAATTAATTGCACTGGCTTACACAAATAGAATAAGATAAATTATACAGAAAAGAAATGGGGAACAAGAAAACCAGTCACGAGAAAAGCCAGAATATAAACGTCAGAAAGGATAAAGGCCGAAAATAAACCCTTTCAAACCTTTACATGATTTAAGACATTTAAAGTCATTTTTGAACAATGTTCAATTAATAATACAATAAACTGAAAACATTTTAAAACTATTATCTACACTATATATTAAACGTAAGTGCAATCTACAAAGTTCTTTCAGTCATAATTGAAATTTTTTTTCATATTTTCATACTGCAAGACTTATAAAGCGAAATATACTTGAAAATATTGTTGATAAAGCATACTCATGATGAGTAGATGATAAGAAGATAGATCATTCTTTTGTGCTTTTGGCTGAGTAAAAGCAAAAACTGATTAATCTTTTTCGTGCGTATTCTTAAAAGATTTCTGTTGAGTCAAAACGGACCCAAAACAGTCCCTAATACCCTTTTTAAATAGAAAATTGGTTACAAAATTGAATGTTCACCAACAATTGTGATGTAGAAGATGTAGTCAGTGTAAATATTATGAGATAGTTGGACTGAATTGAGGGGGAAGTAGCTATTACAAACAGTGAAAACCTCTACTTACGAACACCTCCTTCACTCATATTTTCACAAATACTCATTGCCACGTGTGCTACTCCTCCACTGGCTTGGATTTAAATGAATTGATGGTGTCATGTATGTCATTCATCCCTGTTTGATTGTTTTTTGATTATTTAAGAGAGGCAAAATGGCCACTTAAGTTATGCAGTTATGCATCGTAAAACGACACGTTTCTTTTTAGATATCGGCTTTTCTCATTTCCGGTTTCATGTTTCCTATACCATTTCTTGTTGCTGTTTTTGATTTTCCCTTCCAGCTTTAGATAAAGCCTTACGCAGTAATGTCTTTTTTCTTTTTCCAGATAATGCATAGTCCAGAAAACAGTCCAACTCCAGAAAACAGTCCAACAAGCTGTGGATTTTTATTGCAAAGCTTTGCGAGTTATTCATTCTTGATGTCACTTATTTTTATTGTTGTTGACAATTGTACATGAAATCGTGAAGAGCTGTGTTTTTGAGAGGAGTATACCATCAAGTCATTGTCATCGATTGTATTTATGTTTATCGAACTAATATACTTTATTTATAGTATTAACATAAATGGTTAAGAAATAAATACGCATTGCGTACATGCAGGTAGCTCGTAATTTATGTTAGTACCATTGAGTTCTCTAATAACTGGAGGGGCTAAGTGGAGTGGAGCGTTGATGCCAAAAAAATGGCGGCCAAAGGAACTATTTCCGCTGAAATGACTGCTTTGCAGGAAAAATATTCCCCACCTCCCGGGCTTGATGTTATATTGATTTTCCCGTCTTAAGCTGAAAATTTCAAATACAATATTTTTCAAGGACGATATTTCTTTCAAAAAATGCCCAATCGTTGTTCAATTGTTGGATGTCCTAACATTCACGAAAAAGAGCACATCGCTTTTCACAAGTACGATATTTGCATATTTTGTTTGTTGAGAAAAGATTGAAAAGCGATAACACTTGGAAGCCACAAATTCTATAAGGCTGTACTAAAAACATTGTCTTGAATATTGCATATATTGATGCTTTCCTGTGTTTTTTTTTTTAATACAATTCAACACATTTTCCTACTTATTTGTCGCGTCAACGTAAGAAACCGTAAATTTATCAATCTATTGCAAAACAGTTTACCTGACGAAAATAAAGACCCTGTACTTTTTGCTGAGTGGGTGGAGAACATAAAGAAATGGTCACCCCTCACATTACTATCGAAGTAGAGCAAAATTTGTTCAGATCATTTAACCGATAGCATAAAGAGAATATCAGGTAACAAAGTGTGTCTAGAAGATAGTGCTGGGCCCACATTATTTCAACAGGTGCCGAATGTTGAATGTGCGGAGAGCACTGAAAAATAGGTGAGTGGTCATTTTTCTCTTCATGATCACTCATATTGTCTTAAGTCTCCCAGGAGACTGAAAAGACACTTGGAAGTTGTTATTGACCGGGCAGAATCTTATAGAAAAAGGTTGAAAGTCTCTAATACAGGAAAAAGTAGACTGAGAAAGAAAGTAAATGGTTTACTGTAAATCATTGATAGCTTGAAGGATGAGAAAATGATCAGCTCTGATCAAGCTGAACTTCTCTAGCCTTACCTCATCCAAGAGTAATTCGATCTTGGTATAATTCTGCCTACAGTGACCCTGGGTTCACCAATGATGCCCTGAATGCTTTGAAAGTGAAAGTTCAAGAAGCAAAAGAAGGAGGCAAAAACGTGTGCGCTTTGATGTTGGATGAAATGTCAATTCGCAGACACGTAGAGTGGGATGGTCAGAAAGTTTGTGGTTATGTTGGTGTTGGTACTGGGATTGATAATGATTCACTCCCTGAAGCAACAGAAGTTTTGGTATACATGGGCTGCCCTACAGTAGAGGGATTTAGTGGTTTGTAGGGAGTAGGGGAAACCTACGGGGAAAACTGTAAAGTGAAGGGGGATTGCAGGGAGGAAAGAAAATGGTTTAAAAATGAGCCTCATTTTTGCCCAAAATACTCTTCTTCGTGTGTTCTCACCATTTAGCAAGTGATTGTAACAGAATCTTTCTTTTGGCACATTTTGTGACCACATATGGCAATAGAAGATTAGCAACTTAGAACAGTGGTCTCCAAACTTTACAGCCAGAGGGCCACATGAACTTTCATCCAGCATGTTGAGGGCCGACGAACCGTATACCGCTGGTCAAAGAGCGATGAAGAAGTATTTTACACTTCACTCTTCTTGAAATCGCCGACATTCATCATCTACTTTTTTTTTCTTTTATCGGCCATTATGAAGCATTGAAATATAAAAAATTTCCACGTTATCCTTCAGCTTTTTAAATTTTGCAATGGGCTTGAAACGGAAGTAGGAAGTTGGGACAAAAATTGATGTAAGCCACTCTTGCTAGTTGGCTTGAGTCATAAAGTGAACTTTCTGCACAAAGTTTATTTTGTTTAATATTATTATTTTTTTCTTAAGTGTCACTGCGGGCCGGATTGAGAGGCCTAACGGGCCGCATCTGGCCTGCGGGCCGTAGTTTGGAGACCCCTGACTTAGAATAAACTCGGTGTGTCATTACTTCCTACGCCAAATTACCAACTTTGTCGTCTAGATGTTCTTGGTTTTCAATAATTTTTTTTTGTATGCATTTTTTGAAAACAGACTAAAAATTCAATGGTCCTACCCGGTGTGGGTACATAATAGGGGAATATGTTGCTGTGTAGGGGAAAGTAGAGGAAAACAAGGAAAATCATCGTAGGGAGAGGTAGGGGGAAAATAAAGTTTTGGTAGGTGAAATGTGCATACACAGAGTGGCAGCACTGTTGGGAGTGGCAGCACTGTTGGCTGTTGCTCTAGATTCATCTTGGAAAGTACCAGTTGGTTACTTCTTAGTAGATGGCCTCCCTGCAGAAGCAAAAGCCAATCTAACCAAGGAGTGTTTGATGCAGTTGCATGATGTTGATGTTAAAGTTGCAAGTTTTACGTGTGATAGTCCATCCACACATCTTGCAATGCTGAAGTTGCTTGGAGTGAAACTTCCACTTAATGATTTCAAAGCATATTTTTTGCATCCATCTGATTCAATGTTGAAAATTCATGCATTTTTAGATCCTTGTCATATGATCAAGCTTGTGAGAGGAGCAATTGCTGAATTGGGAACTCTGAAGGACGGAAAGGATGGTTTGGTAAGGCGGCAATATTTAGTTGAGCTAGAAAAACTGCAAGCCTCAGAAGGCTTGCAACTTGCTAACAAACTAAAGAAAGCGTACATAAACTGGAAGCCACAGAAAATGAAGGTAAATTTAGCAGTACAAGCACTCAGTTCTAGTGTTGCAGATGCTTTAGAGTTCTGTGAAGATAAGCTCAATCCACAGTTTGAAGAGTGGGAACAAACCGTCAAATTCATTCGAGTATTTCATCGCTTGTTTAACGTTTTCAATTCCAGGAATCCAATTGCTAAAAATTACAAAGCACCAATAAGGAAAGCGAAATACAAGTTGATAAAAAACCTTCTTGGATAAAGCAAGGCAAAACATGTTACATGTAAAGGGTGCTGATGGAAAGTCGATCTTTTAACACAAGAGGAAAACAGGATTCCTGGGGTTTCTGTTGTGCATTGAAGCAGTGCAAGGGCTTGCTGAGGATCTTGTTATAAATGAAAACCCTCCCCTTAAATATTTGCTTACTTATAAAACAAGTTAAGATCATTTAGAATTGTTTTTTCAGCTGTACGAGGTTGGAGGTTGGAATAACAACCCGACATCTCGACAGTTCAAAGCAGCGTACAAGCAGCTGTTGATGCGACATAACATTAAAGGAAGTCGTGGAAATTGTGTTACTCAGAATGACACACAAATTCTAAGTAGACTAGAAGATCGGTGTGAGAGTGAACAAATGTCGGCAGATATTTCCGATGTAAATACTGCAAGAATATATGATCTGGAACTGCGTGTGCCGGAGCGATTATTGGGAAACATCCAACTGCACTCAGCTTTCAGAGTAGAAAGCTATTAATGTGGTTGTGTGGACTGTATTGTAACTGCTTCAAATACAATTTACTATAGTCTCTGTTGTAAAAATTCATGAATTTGTGTGAATTCATGAATTTATGAAAACGTATGAAAATGCGTGAATTATAGTCTTTCGTGTGAAAATTCATGAAGTATATTATAATCCTTGATGTGAAAATGCGTAAATTATACTCTTTGGTCTGAAAATGCATGCACTATAGTCTTTGGCGTGAAAATGCATGAAATATAGTCTTTGGCGTAAAAATTCATGAAATATATTCTTTGGTGTAAAAAGGCATGAACTATAGTCTTTGGTGTAAAAATGAATGGACGATAGTCTTTTATGTATAATTGCATGAAATATATTTTTTATGTGAAAATGCGTGGAATATAGTCTTTTGTGTGATAATGCACGGACTATAGTCTTTTGTGTGAAAAAACATGGACTATAGTCTGTTGTGAGAAAATGTATGGACTATAGTCTTTTGTATGAAGATGCAGGAACTATAGTCTTTCGTGTAAAAATGAATGGACGATAGTCTTTTATGTATAATTGCATGAAATACATTTTTTATGTGAAAATGCGTGGAATATAGTCTTTTGTGTGATAATGCACGGACTATAGTCTTTTGTGTGAAAAAACATGGACTATAGTCTGTTGTGAGAAAATGTATGGAGTATAGTCTTTTGTGTGAAAATGCATGGACTATAGTCTTTTGTGGGAAAATGCATGGACTATAGTCTTTTGTTTTAAAACGTATGAACTATAGTCTTTTGTGAGAAAACTCGTGGACTATAGTCTTTTTTGTAATATTGCATGAACTATAGTTTTTCATATGAAAATGCATAGACTATTGTCTTTTGTGTGATAATGCATGAACTATAGTCTTTTGTGAGAAAATGTATGGACTATAGTTTTTGGTGTTAAAATGCATGAACTATAGTCTTTTGTGCTAAAGTGCATAGACTATAGTCTTTGGTGTGAAAATGTACGAACTACAGTCTTTGGTGTTAAATGCATGGACTATAATCTTTTGTGTGAAATTGCATGAACTATTATTTTTTGAGTAAAAATGCATGGACGATACTCTTTTGTTTGAAAATGCTGGAACTATAGTCTTTGGTGTAAAATTGCATGGACTATAGCCTTTTGTGTGAAATTGCATGAACTATTATTTTTTGAGTAAAATGCATGGACGGATACTCTTTTGTATGAAAATGCCGGAACTATAGTCTTTCGTGTAAAAATGCATGGACGATAGTCTTTGCTGTGAAAATGCATGGACTATAGTTTTCTCGTGAAAATGCATGGACTATAGTCTTTTGTGTGAGAGTGGATCAACTATTGTATTTTGTGTGAAAATGCATGGGCTATATTCTTTTGTGAGAAAATGCATTAATTATAGTCTCTTTGTGCTAAAATGCATATACTATAGTCTTTTGTGTGAAAATGTACAAACTATACTCATTTTTGTGAAAATGCATGGACCATTATCTTTTGTGTGAAAGTGGATCAACTATACGCTTTTGTGTGAAAATGCATGAGCTATAGTTTTTGTGTAAAATGCGTGGACTATAGGCTTTGGTGTGAAAATATATGGATTTTAGTCATTTGTCTGAAAATGCATGGTCTA